CAACTCGCAGCTCGGGACGTCGCCCGACGCGCCGCCGAAGCGCCGCAACGGCGACATCGGCTCGCTCTGGGTCGACGTCCAGCGCCACCTCCGCACGATCGGCCTCCAGTTCGCGACCGCACCGGCGTGCACCGACACCGGCACGGCCGCGGCCACGCTGCAGCTTCGCGTGCCGCACCACGACAAGTGGCTCGACCACCGCACGGTCCTGCGGCACGTGAAGCTGCACATCAAGCACAGGCACTGGACCAAGTGGGCGGCCATGCGCGACCAAGGCAGAACGGCACGCGCGCACGGCGGCGTCGGCAGCAGCTTCCTCACGCGGCCGCGAGGCATGTGGGAAGCTGACTATCGCTTCGCGGTGGCCGCCCGCTTGAACCAGCTCGACACGCACAGTGTACTCAAGCGCCGGCGCCTCCGGGCCCACCACCGATGCAGGCAGCCGGCAGAAAGACACAAACACCCTCCCTTTAGTGACATGCATATTTTAGCCTACATTTCAGTTACGGAGAGGTTACTAACTGGTAAACACGAACACACATTCTGTTCTAATCGGTGTGAAAACTGGTTTCCCTGCTTTTGGTGGGGTCTTTTTCACATTCATTTTTGGAACTACTGCTTTAGGTTAGCTTGCTAGCCAATCGCGGTACGGTCTCCGGGGGCTTTCACCACTCCCCCGCGAGGCCAACCACTACACTTATCTTCTCCGTTTCCTCTACTCGTATTTTTGCATCAACTATTAATATTGACATACTTCAGCCTATTGCTATATTTTATAATGTTATTGCTATATTTCGTAATTCTATCGCTATATTTCGTAATGCTAGTGCTATATTTTATAATGCTATTGATAGGTTTGGCATTATCCACCGCAGCTTTTTGCAATTTAAAAGTTTCACTTATCCGACGTCACAACGGAACAGCTGGCACTGTTTAGGGTTGTGGACCTTCTCGGCCTTTTGGCTAAGATCAAGTGTAGTATCTGTTCTAATCAGCGTGAAAACTGGTTTCCCTGCTTTTGGTGGGGTCTTGTTCACATTCATTTTTGCAATTCCCATAAGTACTTAGCTTGCTAAGTGTTTACGGGACGGGCACGCTCCACGAGCACTTCACGGCGGTGAACTCGCCCCGCATCAACTTCCTACCAGATGAAGCTAGCGGGGCGTTGTTCCGCGGGGCGATGACCGACGTCGGGACACCGCAGGAGCGGCGGAGCGCGCTCACGGACGAGCTGACGATGGACGAGGTGGAGGACCAGCTCATGCAAGCGGCCACGAACTCCAGCCCCGGCCACGACGGCGTGGGATACGACATCTACAAGAAGTTCGCGGCGCAGCTGGCCCCCCTCCTCCACGCAGCCTTCCAGTTCTGTTGGCGCCACCACCGGGTGCCTGCCCCGTCGAAGGTGGGGTTCGTCCGCCTCATCCACAAGAAGGGTGACCCCAACGACCCAGCGAACTGGCGGCCGATCTGCCTGCAGACCGCGATCTACAAGCTCTACAGCGGTCTGCTGGCGCGTCGGCTGTCGGCGTACCTGGAGGCGAACGGGCTGCTGCTCATGGCGCAGAAGGGGTTCAGGGCGTACAATGGTTGCCACGAGCACAACTTCGTGGCAACCACGCTCCTGGACCAAACCCGACGCATGCACCGCAGGCTGTACCAGGTCTGGTACGACCTGCGGAACGCGTTCGGGTCCGTTCACCAGGACATGCTGTGATATGTGCTCCGCCTGCTCGGCGTCGAGCGCGCGTTCGTCGAGCGCTGCGACGACATCTATGAGGATTCCTACTTCGTCGTCGGCAACGCGGCCGACGGAACCAGTGCGGCAGGAGGTGGGCGTGTACCAAGGCTGTCCACTCAGCCCCCTCCTGTTCATCGCCGCGCTGGTGCCGTTGCTCCGAGCATTGGAGAAGCTCGACGGAGTGGGCGTCGCGTTGGCGGACGGGGTGCGGCCATGCACCACGGCCTACGCCGACGACCTCAAGGTGTTCAGCGACAGCGCGGCCGGCATCAAGCGCTGCCACGCTGTCGTTGAGAAGTTCCTGGAGTGGACGGTGCTGCAGGCCAATCCAGGCAAGTGCGCCTTCCTGGCCGTGACACGCAACGCGCGCGGCATCCTCGCCCACGACAAGGACATGAAGCTGTCGCTCCACGACGAGGAGGTCTCAAGCATCAAGCTGCACGACAGCTACCCCTACCTCGGCGTGGGCGACGGCTTCGATCACGTGCGCCACCGTCTCCAGCTCGAGCCCAAGCTACAACAGATCAAGCGGGAGGTGGTGGCGCTGATGCAGTCGGGGTTGGCGCCGTGGCAGGTGGTGAAGGCGCTCAAGACCTACGTCTACCCCAAGGTCGAGTACGCGCTTCGCCACCTCCGCCCGCTCCAGTCCCAGCTACAGGGCTTTGACCGTACGGTAGCCAAGGGCCTGCGGCATCTGTTACGCCTGCCCCGCTCGGCAACCAACGAGGTGCTCTACGCACCAACGTCGAGCGGTGGCTTGGGGCTCGCTGCACTCGAAGGACCCGGCGATCCGGGAGGTGGCGCGCGCACAGGTGTGCCAGGTGGTCCGCAAGCGCCACCACCTCCGCGAAGAACACTGGCGGGGGCGTGACGACGAGCTCGTGCGGTGCTTCCTCAACTCCGAGCTCGCCGCCTCGCCCCACGCGGAGGCGCTGCGCCGCCACGGCGACATCGGGTCACTGTGGTCCGACGTACAGCGGTGGCTGTGCGTCTACCACCTCAGCCTGGCGGTGCAGGACGACCGCAACGGCCAGGACCCACTCGGCCTCCGCGTGCCGCACCACGCCAAGTGGCTCGACCACAAGTCGGTGCTGCGGCACGTAAAGTTGCACCTGAAGATCCGCCACCAGACCCGATGGAAGGGTCTGGCGGACCAAGGCAAGACGGTGAGGGCCCACGGCGGTGCCGGCGCCAAGTTCGTGTCGACGGTGGCGGGCCTGTCGGACGACGACTACCGCTTCGGCGTGAAGGCCCGCCTCAACCAAGTCGACACCAACTCGGCGCTGAAGCGTAAGCACCTGCGGGCCCACACGGCCTGCAGGGACCCGACCTGCTCCTCAGCCGAGACGCTGGCCCATGTCCTCAACCATTGCGAGTCCAACATGGACGCACTCCGCCAGCGTCATGACGACGCCCTGGAGCAGATCGGGTCCAAGATCCGTAACGCGCTCGAGCGCGGCAAGCCGGTCGCGGAGCTGCGCCTGAACCAGACAGTGCCCGAGTACATGGGCGCAGCCCTGCGGCCGGACATCGTACTGCGGAACGTGGCCGCCAAGAAGATGGTGATCGCCGACTTGGCGGTCACGTTCGAAGAGCACGCGACCGGCGCCCGCCACTCCTCACTGCAGCTCAGCCACAATCACAAGATTCTTAAGTACCAACCGATCGTGGTGGAGCTGCGGCTCAAGGGGTGGCAGGTGCAGACCGCGGCGATCGTGTACGAGTCGCTGGACTCGGTGCAGCCCAGCAACTGCAACACCTACACGGAGAAGTTGAAGTTGCACAAGCGCGAGGCTCGACAGCTGGACCTTCAGCTGTCGAGCCACTGCATCCGCACCAGCCACCGCATCTGGGGCTGGCACTGCCGGCGCCACCGCGAAGGACAACGGAGTGGCAACGCCTCGCGAGCGCCGCGTGGGGGGCGCGGCGCACATCGCAGGCTCGGGCACGGCGGTAAGCTGGTCATTTGACCAACAGGGCACTACCCAGGTAGGGAACCGCCCTTCAAAAACCCAGGAAGACACAAACACCCTCCCTTTAGTGACATGCATATTTTAGCCTACATTTCAGTTACGGAGAGGTTACTAACTGGTAAACACGAACACACATTCTGTTCTAATCAGTGTGAAAACTGGTTTCCCTGCTTTTGGTGGGGTCTTTTTAACATTCATTTTTGGAGGCACTGACCCAAAGGCGCCCCGCATTTCAAAATTTTCAAATTTCAGAAAGATCATAACTAAATTATACTTTCGAACTTCTGGCAACAAAGAGTCAGTGCCACATAACCAGAATCACCCCGCATCCAGCACGGCACCATGGCCCCCCGCACTTCTCGCACCACGTACACCGCCCGCCCGGGTCGCAGCCCCCTCGCCACACCCAGCCCCCACGAGTATGATGTTTCCTCCAACGCGCTCTTCACCTTCAACTCTGTGATGAGCGCGTGCGCGACGGAGAAGGGCGCGCTGGAGTGGGCGCAGCGAGTGGGGCTTCTGGCAAGCGCGCCTCTGTGTTCTACCTGCACCAATGGCATGACGTTGTACGTCGCTGTGAAGCGGACGCGCTGGCGCTGCTCCCGCACGGGGTGCCGTCTGGAGAGAAGCGTACGGGCCTCCTCCTTCTTTGCCCGGTCATCAGCTCCCTCTCGAAGCTGATCAAGCTGCTGTTGTTCTGGGCGTTCCAGCACCCAGTCACAACGGCAGCACAGCAGGCGGAGGTGTCGCCGACAATGGCAGGGCAGTGGTATGTCTGTGCCCAGGACATCTGCACCGCCGAGATGAAGCGGACGTTGCCGAAGGTAAAATCGTACATTATTCTGTTGCTAAATATTATTTAGTTAGCAGTGTTGGGTTGTATTTTTAACGGGTTGAACAATGATGTTAAACTGCTAGATCGGAGGGGATGGGCACGTGGTCGAGATCGACGAAACGTCCCTGAAGAAGAAGCAAAAGTACCGACGTGGTACCCGCCACCCAGACTTCTGGGTCTTCGGCGGAGTCGACCGAACCACTAAAAAGTGGTTCGCTCGTGTCGTTTATAACGACCGGACGAAGCCGACTCTGCTTTGATTAAAGCTCACATCAAACCTGGGTAATGACTGTACAACTGCGTATGATTTGACAAGATATCTAACTCTTTATGCATGTTTATCAGTACTTTGATTGTCTCCGATATGTTTAAGGCGTACGTGACCCAAGTCCAGAGTGGGCGCAACAAAGGAAAGTTATACACCCTTATCAACAACAGGCACCTGCGTGGGATGCGGTACCAACACCTGTGGGTAAACCACACGAAACACTTCAAGGACCCCACGACTGGCGCCCATACGAACCGCATCGAGGGCGTCTGGGAGGTGAAGATCAAGCAGCGCATCAAAGCTGCTCGTGGTATGCGGAAAAGAGTGGTAGCTAGCTACCTAGACGAGTGTATGTGGCGCACGTGGTACTTCGCGGAGAAACCTGCAAAGAGTCACATTTTCCAAGGGCTAGTTACTGGTATTAGGAAGTACTACGAGGTCTAGTTAAACCAATACAAACTGGGATGAAAAGTTCTGAAATTTGAAAATTTTGAAATACGGGGTGCCTTTGGGTCAGTGCCTTTTTGGAACATCCGAGAATGCTAGCTTGCTAGTTTTTCTTGGAACGGTCTCCGGGGGCTTTCACCACCTCCCCCGCGAGGCCAACCACTACACTTATCTTCTCCGTTTCCTCTACTCGTATTTTTGCATCAACTATTAATATTGACATATTTCAGCCTATTGCTATATTTTATAATGTTATTGCTATATTTCGTAATTCTATCGCTATATTTCGTAATGCTAGTGCTATATTTTATAATGCTATTGATAGGTTTGGCATTATCCACCGCAGCTTTTTGCAATTTAAAAGTTTCACTTATCCGACGTCACAACGGAACAGCTGGCACTGTTTAGGGTTGTGGACCTTCTCGGCCTTTTGGCTAAGATCAAGTGTAGTATCTGTTCTAATCAGCGTGAAAACTGGTTTCCCTGCTTTTGGTGGGGTCTTGTTCACATTCATTTTTGCAATTCCCATAAGTACTTAGCTTGCTAAGTGTTTACGGGACGGGCACGCTCCACGAGCACTTCACGGCGGTGAACTCGCCCCGCATCAACTTCCTACCAGATGAAGCTAGCGGGGCGTTGTTCCGCGGGGCGATGACCGACGTCGGGACACCGCAGGAGCGGCGGAGCGCGCTCACGGACGAGCTGACGATGGACGAGGTGGAGGACCAGCTCATGCAAGCGGCCACGAACTCCAGCCCCGGCCACGACGGCGTGGGATACGACATCTACAAGAAGTTCGCGGCGCAGCTGGCCCCCCTCCTCCACGCAGCCTTCCAGTTCTGTTGGCGCCACCACCGGGTGCCTGCCCCGTCGAAGGTGGGGTTCGTCCGCCTCATCCACAAGAAGGGTGACCCCAACGACCCAGCGAACTGGCGGCCGATCTGCCTGCAGACCGCGATCTACAAGCTCTACAGCGGTCTGCTGGCGCGTCGGCTGTCGGCGTACCTGGAGGCGAACGGACTGCTGCCCATGGCGCAGAAGGGGTTCAGGGCGTACAATGGTTGCCACGAGCACAACTTCGTGGCAACCACGCTCCTGGACCAAACCCGACGCATGCGCCGCAGGCTGTACCAGGTCTGGTACGACCTGCGGAACGCGTTCGGGTCCGTTCACCAGGACATGCTGTGGTATGTGCTCCGCCTGCTCGGCGTCGAGCGTGCGTTCGTCGAGCGCTGCGACGACATCTACGAGGACTCCTATTTCGTCGTCGGCAACGCGGCCGACGGAGCGACGGAACCAGTGCGGCAGGAGGTGGGCGTGTACCAAGGCTGTCCACTCAGCCCCCTCCTGTTCATCGCCGCGCTGGTGCCGTTGCTCCGAGCATTGGAGAAGCTCGACGGAGTGGGCGTCGCGTTGGCGGACGGGGTGCGGCCATGCACCACGGCCTACGCCGACGACCTCAAGGTGTTCAGCGACAGCGCGGCCGGCATCAAGCGCTGCCACGCTGTCGTTGAGAAGTTCCTGGAGTGGACGGTGCTGCAGGCCAATCCAGGCAAGTGCGCCTTCCTGGCCGTGACACGCAACGCGCGCGGCATCCTCGCCCACGACAAGGACATGAAGCTGTCGCTCCACGACGAGGAGGTCTCAAGCATCAAGCTGCACGACAGCTACCCCTACCTCGGCGTGGGCGACGGCTTCGATCACGTGCGCCACCGTCTCCAGCTCGAGCCCAAGCTACAACAGATCAAGCGGGAGGCGGTGGCGCTGATGCAGTCGGGGTTGGCGCCGTGGCAGGTGGTGAAGGCGCTCAAGACCTACGTCTACCCCAAGGTCGAGTACGCGCTTCGCCACCTCCGCCCGCTCCAGTCCCAGCTACAGGGCTTTGACCGTACGGTAGCCAAGGGCCTGCGGCATCTGTTACGCCTGCCCCGCTCGGCAACCAACGAGGTGCTCTACGCACCAACGTCGAGCGGTGGCTTGGGGCTCGCTGCACTCGAAGGACCCGGCGATCCGGGAGGTGGCGCGCGCACAGGTGTGCCAGGTGGTCCGCAAGCGCCACCACCTCCGCGAAGAACACTGGCGGGGGCGTGACGACGAGCTCGTGCGGTGCTTCCTCAACTCCGAGCTCGCCGCCTCGCCCCACGCGGAGGCGCTGCGCCGCCACGGCGACATCGGGTCACTGTGGTCCGACGTACAGCGGTGGCTGTGCGTCTACCACCTCAGCCTGGCGGTGCAGGACGACCGCAACGGCCAGGACCCACTCGGCCTCCGCGTGCCGCACCACGCCAAGTGGCTCGACCACAAGTCGGTGCTGCGGCACGTAAAGTTGCACCTGAAGATCCGCCACCAGACCCGATGGAAGGGTCTGGCGGACCAAGGCAAGACGGTGAGGGCCCACGGCGGTGCCGGCGCCAAGTTCGTGTCGACGGTGGCGGGCCTGTCGGACGACGACTACCGCTTCGGCGTGAAGGCCCGCCTCAACCAAGTCGACACCAACTCGGCGCTGAAGCGTAAGCACCTGCGGGCCCACACGGCCTGCAGGGACCCGACCTGCTCCTCAGCCGAGACGCTGGCCCATGTCCTCAACCATTGCGAGTCCAACATGGACGCACTCCGCCAGCGTCATGACGACGCCCTGGAGCAGATCGGGTCCAAGATCCGTAACGCGCTCGAGCGCGGCAAGCCGGTCGCGGAGCTGCGCCTGAACCAGACAGTGCCCGAGTACATGGGCGCAGCCCTGCGGCCGGACATCGTACTGCGGAACGTGGCCGCCAAGAAGATGGTGATCGCCGACTTGGCGGTCACGTTCGAAGAGCACGCGACCGGCGCCCGCCACTCCTCACTGCAGCTCAGCCACAATCACAAGATTCTTAAGTACCAACCGATCGTGGTGGAGCTGCGGCTCAAGGGGTGGCAGGTGCAGACCGCGGCGATCGTGTACGAGTCGCTGGACTCGGTGCAGCCCAGCAACTGCAACACCTACACGGAGAAGTTGAAGTTGCACAAGCGCGAGGCTCGACAGCTGGACCTTCAGCTGTCGAGCCACTGCATCCGCACCAGCCACCGCATCTGGGGCTGGCACTGCCGGCGCCACCGCGAAGGACAACGGAGTGGCAACGCCTCGCGAGCGCCGCGTGGGGGGCGCGGCGCACATCGCAGGCTCGGGCACGGCGGTAAGCTGGTCATTTGACCAACAGGGCACTACCCAGGTAGGGAACCGCCCTTCAAAAACCCAGGAAGACACAAACACCCTCCCTTTAGTGACATGCATATTTTAGCCTACATTTCAGTTACGGAGAGGTTACTAACTGGTAAACACGAACACACATTCTGTTCTAATCAGTGTGAAAACTGGTTTCCCTGCTTTTGGTGGGGTCTTTTTAACATTCATTTTTGGAACTACTGCTTTAGGTTAGCTTGCTAGCCAATCGCGGTACGGTCTCCGAGGGCTTTCCCCATCCGTCGTGAGGCCAACTACATCTTGATCTTCTCTATCTCCTTACCTACCCTGCCTACGTACCGGCCCTTCACCAACGCGTCCTGGGATGCGCTTCTGGTGGCCGGACTGGCAGCGCCGGGAGCGCTCGCCGTCCACCGACAGCGAGTGCTCCACGGCCAGCCACTCCAGCCTTGCCACTCCAGCCTTTCTGTAGCGCGGCCAGGGACGGGGCTGGAGCGGCTGAGCTGGCGGACGTCCGGGCGGGGGCGGATCCGCTAGGGCTTGGGTTACGCATTTGGGATCCGCCCGCCGCCGTTTTGGGCACGGCCGGAGCCGAAAATGGGCCCGGCGACGCTTCACGCGCGGTGCCGCTGCTCGGCACCGGCGCGGCCTTCGACGGCGCAACTTCAGGCACGGGTCGGGGACACGCTGCGCCCTTTGCGGGACCGCGGGCCGGGCCCTCTGGCGGCCATGCCGGGGCCCGGTCCGTAACTTCAACCTCGCGTCGCTTCGCGGCGACGGCGAGCGGACGCGGGCCCGCGGACCGTCCGCCGGGCGGGACAGGGTCGTCCACACTGGCCCCCACTATGGCCGAATCCCCGACCTCTCGCGCCCTGCGCTGCACGCTTTTCTCGGCCGAGGAAGGCCGAGCCCAGGATGCGGCCGCCGAGGAGGCGCCACGGAACGACACCTCCTGCGCGCGCCCCAGGCCTCGCCAGGACCTCCCAGCGCGCCGGCTGGCTGGCCAAGACCCCCGGCTCGCCCCTCCAGTGCGCGGAACCGCCCAAGACCCCCCCCTGTTGAGTTGGCAGGACCCGGCAGGGCGGCCAGCAGGCGGCCCGATCCGGTAGCGCCCGGGGCGGCGTTGACAGCGGCGACTGCGCGGGCCCTGGTGGTCTGCCAGCGTCCCAGCGAGGACGACGACGACCCCAGCAGCGACGAGGACGGCTCGGACGACGACAACGCTGCCTCCAGGACCCCACAAGACCCTGCGGATGATGCTGGCCGACCCGACAGGGCGGCCGCCAGGCTCCTCGTTGGTCGAGCCCCCGCAGCCGCTACGGCGCACGATCCCACGGGCAGACAGGACCACAACAGCCTCCGCCGCGGCCAGCACGGCGCTGACGACGATGCTGGCGGCGCTAACGACTCCAAGACCCCCCCCCCCCCCACCGATGATGGCCCGCCCGGCAGGGTGGCCGGCAGGCTGCCCGCCGGTTCAGTGCCCGTGGCTGCTTCGCATCGCGCGCGGGCGGCCACCACGGACCCCCACGACCTCCGCCGCGCCCTGGACGGCGAGAACGACGACGCTGGCGGCGCAACCGCCCTCGCAGACCCCGTGAATGACGATCGCCCACCCGGTAGGGCGGCCGGCCGCCGCTGCGCGCACTGCAGCGGCCGGCTACGGCCCCAGGGAATACCACCGCGACCCAGGCGACGACGCGGACGGCTGCGACGACCGTGCCGGCGCCGCCAAGACCCGCCCGACCACCGAGAGCGTATTGCTCCGACCCGGCAGGGCGGGAGGCATGCTCGCCGAGGGTGTAGCCCCAGCATCTCCATCACCAAGCGCAGCTGCGGTTGCCGCTGCCGCCGAGGTAGCAGCAGCCGCAGTTACTCAAGATGCAGCAGCCCCTGTTGTGCGCGCCGCCGTGGAGCACCGCACGCGCTGCGCCGAACCGAGAACGCTACTACCAGCCACGCGCGCGCGGAGCTCATGACAGGCGACGCGCTCAGCAGGAGCAGACGCTGCAAGCAACATGGCCACGACCGAGGTGACCAAGAGGCCAAAACAAAGGAGATCGACGCCGCTGCGGCGAAGCTCGCGGCCGCGACAGACGCACGAGGACCCAGACCCAGCACATTGGGCCGGACGACGGCCAACAGGGCCCGGTGCAGGCGACGTACGCGCACGACGCTGCGCAGTTCGAGTGCGCGCTGTGCGCGTACGTCGCCACGGACCTCGCGACGCTCGTGGCGCATCGCCGAGCAGCCCACCACGGCATCCGCTTCCAGGACGTCTTCTCCAGCGGGTGCCGGTGCTCGCTTATCTTCTTCTCGCGGATCGTGGCTGCCTGCCACGCCCAAGCGTGCACCCAGCGCAACCCTCCAGCCGCAGCCGCCACCCCCACGACGGCTAGTGCTTCGGAGACAGCAGTGCCACTCCCGACACCTGTTGACCCCCCGACGCGGCCCGAGGCTACTGCGATCCCCACTAGCAGCCTCGCCGCAGCAAGGACTGTCGCTGCTGCAGCCGCACCACGCGGCACTGCGGTGGCAGACACCGCCACCCTGCAGAGCGCTGTGCCCGCCGCTCCCAAGACCCCTGGGTGTCAGCATGTCCCCCCCGTGCTGACCCCCACCCGATCTCGCCTGGTGCAGCAGGTTACAGGCAAGCGGCGCCGACTCAACCCGACCGCCAGCGCCGCCACCTTCTCCACACGGACGACTGCGACGTCGACGGTACCGCCGGACGTATACATGTCGCCACCACCAGCGGTGACGATGCCAGAGGTGGCTCTCCACGCAGGACTGCCTCCCCGCCGCGGTGGCGCCACACCCGGACGTCGAGACGGCACCGGCACCGAAGCCGACGTCGGCGACCAAGGCACAGGAGACGCCGGCAACCACGACGACGGCGCTGACGACGACGGAAACTGTGACAGAGCCGACGCCGACGCCTCCCGTGCTGGCCCACCATCCCGCCGAGGTGGAGCCAGCACCGGACATCGAGATGGCGCCGCCGCCGCCGACCATAGAGGCCCCGGAGACGGTGACGACAGCGACGACGGAGAAGGAGATGGCGAAGACGAGGAGACGACGGCAACGCCAGTGCCTACGGCGACGGCACTGCAGCCGCCTCCACCTAGACGAGCACCGCGCTGGGGACCACGAACCGGCGCGAACGACACTGCTCCGGCTGTGAGCGACGATCTGGCTGCTAACCCGGCAGCGCACCGACCTCTGGGCTCCGCTGCATCGGTCACCGGTGCAACACGGTGGGGTCCACGTCACGGCGCGATCGGGGCAGCGGCTGTAGCTCGCCTGCTCATGCACTAGAAGCTTTTCGTGAGACTCTACCGACCAATAGTATTGATAAATGTACGCGTGTTGGTTGCACTATCGATCACTTGGCTGACAGAGACTACAATCTCGCTCGGACAGAGCACAAAATGCAATCTCGAATTGTCCTCTGTCGTTCCGAGAGGTGCGGGAGACAGGAAGCCGCTGGATCTCCGGCCTGTTCCTGTCGCTACAAGTTCAAATCCTGCCTGACGGCTATTGGTACCTGTGAAGTGTTCCAGCAGGGAGAGCACGTTATGGACAGAGAAGATCCTCCTACTCCAAAGAAGCGTCAGCTTTCTGGTGAAATGAAGGACTTCATTGTGGCGAGCCTGGATAGTGGAGAGAAAACTACAGCTACGAAGTTGTACGCGTGCATCGTTGCAAAGTTGTACGCGTGCATCGTTGCAATGGTGAGCCACCACGAAATGGCCGGGCCAGCTCCTACAGACAAACAAGTGACCGATTTCGTGAAAAACTATAGGCGGGACCGACCTAAATATTCCATGCAGCCAATGATTGAGCTCTGCAATGCGCATTTGTACGACAATGTGAACCTGGAGACTCTACCGGACGACGACAAGGTTATTTTGTGTGATAGCCAGCGCGATGCACGTCCAGGAGCTGCTGGAAGCGTGAGTCAGCTTGGAGACGGTTCCAAGGAATATCCGCTCCGCGTCGGGATGACCTGTCTTCGCCTTGTGCGAGACTATGTATCCGTACGAAATAGGTCCGACTGCACGACCATGTTCCATCTGGACAGTACCCACAGCATGGTGATCAACGGGTATTTGGTGTTTGCGTTTGGATATTCGGATCGCGGCGGGTATTTCTACCTACTTGCCTACTTCTGCACGTCGCAAAAGTGCGCTGTTGATATCGGGTGGTGCATTCGCTGCATTAAGCGAGTTTGCATGGACGTTTGCGGCGTGGAATTCACCCCGCAATTCGTTATGATGGACGCCGATAAGGCTCAATTTAACGCCTGCACTACAGAATTGCAACTATCAACCGTGTTGATGTGCTGGTTCCATGTTTTGCAGAACGTTTGGGAATCTGCCAACGAAAAGGGAGTTGGTATTGATGATATTCGCACCATTTTTGCCGAGATGCATGACATGCATTATGCTACAGAGCTAGATTTTCCTGCTGTGAAGTCACGCGTACTTACGAGGTGGCGTGGTTTTTCTCGAGGATCTGCCGAGCGTAAGCTCACAGATCATATTACGAAAATGTGGGTGAACTCCAAACGTTTTTCACGTTGGCAGTCCTTTTACACCCCGAGTGGATATACCGCTACTATCAACCCGTTGGAGCAATACCACAAAAAGGTGAAAATGCAGTGTCCGGATGGATTGGCTATCCAGTGAATTGATTCACAACTTGGACCGTGCCCAGCTGGCGCTTTTGTACCAAGATACGCATGTCAGCACAGTGGCGGAAGCTACTGATCGATTGATGCATCTGTATCGATTTATGTACACGCGAGGGTGTCTTTCGGTGCACCGCATACCTCACGTGGGGGATTTGCAAGCCGCCCGCTCCGCCTTAGCCCAGCAGAAAAGAAGGATGTGATGAACTCTATCAAATCTGTTAATGCGCGGCGGATGCAGACTGAGGGAATGCCTCCAGGCGGCTGGGTGGTTGACACACGCAGTAAAGCATGTACATGTGCCTACAGTAGGAAACACGCCCTCTGTGTGCATGTTGTGGCAGCCTACATTCATGGTGGGGTGCACTGTCCCGGGGTCAGTGCAGGGACTCGGCAATTTGTACGGCCTTCGCACAGAAATGCGGAGGACCCCTTTTCTTCATCCTCCGATGAATCTTTGGTTGATTCCACGTATCCGAGCCGATCCCCATCAACTGCTGATGGTAATCAAGACTGGTTTCTGGGTTCCGACGATCAGGATGCAAACTCAGGTGGCACTGCCATAGAGGTAGCAGATGTTGCCCTACCTGTACCAGAGACGCAGTATGAACCCGCTAGTCCAGCAGCTTCTACCACGTCCACTCTCATTCTAGAATACGACGAGGACGAAGCCACCGCCACATCCGTGCAAGACGATTCTGTCCGTGCGACGGACTCCGGCAACACCAATGCGGAAACCGCTGCTCCGTCGCCAATCCCTCGCGGACGTGTAGCTGATCCTATCGCGCGCCGCCGGTCGAAGCGCGCTTAGAAGCCCACAAAGCGCGCTGTCGAGTCAAGATTGCAGAGTAGAAAGAGACCGAGAGCGTAAGTGATCCATTTCTCCGCTGTATTTTTCTAACCTTTAAATGCATTCGAACTACATTATCTTAACCCTGCATGTATACGACCAATTACTTTTTAGTCCTAAATGTTAGCCTGCCATCCCTGAAAAATGTCCAAGTTGCTCAAGTTCACGCGCGCATGGGAACCAGATCGGTCGTTTGGTGGTGGTACACCGCCCGTGTCTCGAAGACCCAGGACCAGAAGCTGGCCGACGCCTTCGCCCGCTTCGGGTGCTGCTACCTCACGGGCCACGGCATCTTGGACGCGCTCTCGAAGCGCATGTTGCAGAGCGACGAGTCGTTCTGCGCGCTGCCCGACGAGACCAAGGCTGCGATCCCAGTGGTGCAGGACAGGGGCTTCACGCGCGGGTACATTGGCGTGGGCAAGGAGAGCGGCAGCGCCGAGCGCATAGAGGTCAAGGAGGCCTTTTCCTACGGATACGAGTGGCCCGAGGGCAAGCCGGAGCCCTTCGCGACTGGCCTGCAGGGCCCCAACGTCTGGCCCAAGGCCGAGGCCTGCCCGTGAGCAACCGGCAGGTGCTCAACGAGTTCTTCCAGAAGATGGCGATGGCCTCGCGCGCGGTGACCCGCAGTTTGTCCAAGAGTTTGTACGGAGATTCCAAGTAGCGGAGACCAAGTGCGCGCGGCCACGGTGCCAATCCCGACCAAGGTCGAAAGCTCCGCGTCCGAGGATGATACGAACCAGGGCAGCAGCACCGACAACGGCGAGACCTCGTCCGAGCCGGCGCTCGCGTCGTCCGCGGCCATCCACTTGGCCACGCTCGAGTTCCTGCAGGGCGCGTACGGCCAGGGCTCCACGGTCTACCGCAAGACGTGGCACTCGTACTTCTTTGTGCTGCTGGTGTGCAAGGGCTCGCTCGGCATGTTCGCGTCGCAGGCCGAGCACCTGGCGGGCAGCGAGCCCCCCGCCGCCGTGTTCAAGCTCAGCGGGTACACGCTGCGCATCCGCTCGCAGCCCAAGCGGCCGCACCAGTTCCGCCTCACGCACAGCAGCAAGGGCGGCGGCAGCCCCAAGAAGCCGCTGCACTTTGCGGCCTCGAGCCTGGACGAGATGAACGGCTGGATCGCGGCACTCATCAAGGCCATCGCCGTGATCGACGAGCGCGAGCGCGTCGCGGCCGAAGAGCGACTCAACAAGCAGACGGAGAGTGAGAGCGCCACGCAGGAGTAAGGCAAGAGAGGAAGAGGTTGGAATCCGCGAGGTGTTGGCTGATGGGGGACAATATGACGTCTTCTTGTTCATATTCGTCAATGGCAATCATAGTACTATATACTTCGTAGTTCTACAACAAAAGCGGAGGCTTCGGCGAGCCTGGGAGGTTGCTAGATAGGTTCGTAGATACACGCGACGGTCACACGTAGGCACACACGCACGCACACGGAGTTGAGTGACTTGGTGCTTGGGATGCGGCGGTTGGAGGGAAGTTGTTCTTCAAGGGAGGTTGGTTGTTGTTGTTTGGGGGGGGGGGGGGGTCTTCGACTACTTGCACTCCTTCGGGTTCATCTTCATCTTCATCCCTCGTACAGGTTGGAGGAGGGGCCGCACTCGCCTTTATATTGGTAGAGGTAGTGTAAAGTTTAGAATGATACTGTTTAAAGATGCAGTTACTAGAACAGTATGAAGCTACACTTACATTAGGCGGCACGAGACTCCCATTTGGGTGGCGCTCCCTGTTTTGGTGAGTGGACACTCTCTATCGGTATATTGTGTGCTTAACTACGGTTTTGTTGGTGGCGTTTATTCTAAGTTTGGTGGAGTTGTCTGGTTCTTTGGTGGTGGTACACCGCCCTCCAAAAACTCTTGACTTTTCGATTAAGGCCTGAATTACGAATTACACCCTTTAATATTGAACATAACCTGATGCGCATACCAATCCATACGGTTGCTATATTTGGGCGCATCTGTGAATAGATCTGAGCACCAGGGCGAATGTGAATCTCGACTGCTCGCCCAACAACAATTCCAGATAGTCAGGGTATCATCAGAGGCAGCAGCGCTCCAGAACATTGATGGCTTGAGATCATTGACGACCTACCACAGCACTTCGCGGACATGCACAGTCTGTGCGATCATCATCGACCAGCCCGGGATGCGCTCCAGGGTGTATTACTACAACATGCAACGCCGAGGCTCACCAGCGTGTACTTACTGGCTGAAGGTGCTACATGTACGGTGCGAACCGACAGGAGTAAAGTATTGGAGAACACCGGTTAAGTGTCGTCTCCCAACGTCGTTATGTCATTACTCGTCAGATGAAGGACGAGATCATCCGACTATATGTAATTGACCAGAACTACACCCCAGCCAACATTCTTAGCGTTCCTTCGGACCTTAAGATCGTTGCACACACGTCTTGAGCGTACCAATTCGTGAAGTATGTAACTTCAGATCTCATACACCAGTGTTTTAGTAGCATTATACAAAATTTAGTACTAATTACTCTTGACCAGTACATTTGCACCAGTACAGAACTCCTCAAAGGCGAACTAAACGCCACGCTTAACTAAAAAAACACACAAAACAAATAAAATAAGGGCAAAGCGATTTCGTTCTTTGGCAAACGTGGAACCTTTGGAAACCACAACTTCGGGTTTGGTATAGTCTAACCTGATCGTAGGCAACCGGAGGAATAACACTACCGAAGAATCGGTCATGCTTCATACCAATACCCCATAAGAATATTTTACGTGAATCAGCAAGAGTTGTTTGTATCCAGTTGTCAGGTCAGATAAAAGGCGCCTTTGCATCACAGCGTTTGGTAGATCATTCGGACTGGACAACTGCTACCATTAGGTGACCCATTATCACTATTGGGTACTAACATTTCTGACAATGCTATTGCCACCCCTAATGATTATTTTGGTGACTCACTTACCAACCATATTGACATAACTTTGCTATGGCGAGCGTTACGCCGATGACTGGCCGCCCGTCAGCCGCAATAAATGTCAGGTTGTTATTGCACGGGGGGTCTGGGCCCAGTACACTATTATGCTGTCTAAATTGTGTGTCGTGAACATGTTTTGTTATTAGGGTCAATAGAGATAACAATTTAAAAACCGGGTGCATATTAACAGAGCTTCGTGCATACCTTCGCATCACATTCAAACTTGACATGGTGCGCAGATTTACAGACGCTTGTGTGAACAGTTTCAGCCCTCTGGCGGTGCCCACCATACACACAATCCTATCGATACAAAATGTTCTACAGCATATACCACAGAAATCCAAACTTCATCGATACGTAGATCTACCTTCAACTGCGGAAGCCGAGTGTCCAAATGCATTAGTCGGAAGGTGCAGCGACTGTCGACATCGCCTTTATGCAGTACATGATGCCTCAAAAGCTATCCCATAACAGTAATTCCTCTAAGATACTAATTTTGTACTGCCTACATCATAATACTAATTTGAGTGGACCAAATTATGACAATGGTACATGGTACCCAAAACCTCCAGCAAACACATGTGGTACACACAGGGGCCTCTATCATAGGTACCTTGTCCATCCCGTTTTGATCCCGGTATACAAAACTTATCACAAAGTGTGCCGATTAAAAAGTTCCAAGCTTCAGGGAGCCCCAGAGCTGCCTGATACTATGTCACTAAAACGAGGTAATCTTGGAACATTTTTCGCGGTTTCAGGTAAAAGCTGATGCAATTTTCCCTGGAACCGCGAACTATCTTCCAGGTTTCAGGTTCCAAGCGTTTGCTGAAGAGGGCCATTGCGTGACGCATGTCATCGCGTACACTTTAGCTCTGCACCAATACCGGTTGTTGCATTCACCGTCGTGAAGGTACTCATGGCAAACCTGAAAGACAGAATCGACTACAACGAATTGACAGTACATGTATATTTCTGCGCTGTGTATTCGTCGAATACTATTCGAGTGGACTACCAATAGAATTCGACCTACAACTAATGATATGTTACGAATGGTTTACTTAGCTACATTTTGTATTATATATATATTCATTTAGATTATACGAAATTATATATTTATCAAGGTGCGGTTCAATAGACGGTAATAAAACGTGCATCACGTTTTAGAAGTTGTGTAAATTGCAACACCTTTGCAAATAGCTCTACCCTAACAGGAAGTGTAAGAACTCTGCACGCTACAAGAAACCCAGGATATCGCAGGCAAAGGTACACTTGAGATTATGCGGGCGAGGCTTGGTAGTCGAGTGTTGGTTAGGAAGGAAATCCGAAAGTGAATTAGAATGAGTTAGGCCAAACTAACTATCATATCGGAGTCTCCTACGCTTAAACATGATTCGTACCAACGCACACCTCCTACTTCCGAGTATTAGAGGCTAGGGATCAAAAAGTAAATGTTGCAGATCGTATCCAGAGAGGCAACTTCAACCTGCCTTTCTCTCAGCCAATCCAAAGTGTCAAATCTTGGGGTTCCGCCAATCAGATCCCAGTATTCCACCACGTGTACCACAATTGCCTACCATCGGCAACAACTTCACAGCAAGCACGTGCCTCGATACAGATACACACAACCAGACTGCGAAGTGTACAATCGCAACACCCCCACTCAACTCGCAGTCTACTCGAGCATCTCAGTGATGTTACTGTGCTCGAGAAGGTAGCGAAGAGTCTTCGTCGAGAGTCCCTTGGTCAGGAAATCAGCGAGCTGGTTCTTGGACTTAATGTATTCCAGTTCCACAACATCACTCGTGATCTTCTCGCGAATAAAGTGGTACCGGATGTCGATGTGCTTGGTGCGAGCTTGGTAGCCGACATTCTTCGCCAACGCCATGGCACCTTGGTTGTCCTCGTAGAACACCGTATGTCCATCTTGCTCCGCACCCGAATGCTTGAGTAGTAGTCGCATCCACACCACCTCATTCACAGATTCGCTGAGTGCCATGTACTCCGCCTCAGTCGAGCTCAGCGCGACTGTCTTCTGAAAAGTCGATCGCCATCATCAGCATCATTCCGCTTACAGAGCGTCTGTCGTCTCGGTTACCAGCCCAGTCGGCGTCCGAATACGCGACGAGCTCCGTGCCAAGCAATCCATCGTAGACGATTCCGAGATTCTTGGTCTTCAACAGGTACCGTACCACACGGATACCAGCATCCCAATGCTTCTCACCGGGGTTCTCCAGAAAGCGACTCAGCGTGGCCACTGCAGCTGAAATGTCCGGTCGAGTTCCACACGCCAGGTACATCAGACTTCCCACTAGAGAGCGATACGGCTTCGACTTCATCTTGGCCTTGTCCTCCTCGGTTTGGAGTTCGTCCGCCTTGGTCAACTGCACACTTGGGTCGAGTGGAGTCTGACACGGCTTCGCATTCTCCAGGCCGAACTTCTTGATGGTCGACGTGGTGTACGCCTGCTGGCAGATGCCCAGCGTCTTGGCCTCCATGTCGTAGTCGATCTCAATGCCAAGTGGCACGAGGCGGTCCCCAGAAAATTGCCGACGATGCGCCGTCACCTCTGTGACCTGGAGTTTGTATCGGATGTTGATTGGTGGATGACTTGGATACGGCGCGGCTGTACCCGTGTGACATGGATGGCGACTGTGGGAGAGAAGTGATTTCTCGGGATGAATCCAGCGTCTGACCGCAGTTGGGCCCAACTGGCTGGAAGTGTAAATCCTGGCAGTGCACGCCCAGAATTTCAGAGAACACTCAGTTCAGCCGCGGACTTTCCCTTACGATGAGTGCCTAAAGTCTGGCGGAAAGTGTCTCTGGAGAATGTATCCCAGAGTACACCTCATCTTGCTGTGGCTCAGAGTGCCCCAGAGGATCAAACTACCCTGAGAATCAACCCACTACCACCGTGATCATGCGCAGGAGGCCGCTAAACCCGCTAAAAGTGTGGCTTTGTGGAGATGCACTCAGGCCTGCAATGTAGCAGACTTGTTACCCAGAGTGCTGCATGGAAACCCAGAGTGCCGCACGATGACCCAGAGTTCACCTCCCTGAGTACAGGTGACCCAGAGTTCCAAGGATGATTCTCTGGGTTTGGACCATTAATCCAGACTCTCTATACTGAACTTAAGTGTTTCCCAAGCCAACCCCTAAGAATCCCTACAGTTCCCCAAGATTCCTCAGAATTCCCTGGATTTCAGAAGATGACCCTGAGTGTCACCTGATTCTCAGGGATTCGAGTCAGTTCGCAGTCAGTCTGCAATCAAAGTGATGCGTGACCTTGAAGAACCGTTGTGGATGCAAAGACTGGATACTTTCGAGGAGTCGAGAGGGAGTCCTGCACCATACTAAACCAAGTCTAAGGACCCACAATTGGCACTTTCGACGCCGTGCGACAATGGATTCGCAAGCCGATCGCAAGATTGGACCGCTGATCCCAAGGTGTACTCAAGACAAGACATTTTGACCCCAAGCATAGTAAACAGAAGATATTTTCCCGAAGAAGAGAGAGAGAAAGAGAGAGAAGTAGCTGATAAAAACCAAACAGAGTTCCTTTTATCCTGTACTGCGCAAGTGACTTCGGCCAAGCCTGCCGACGAAATCCGGAGGACCCGAGACTACGACCGCGGGACGCTAAGGCCACATCAACGGCGGAGGACAGCCGTCTGTGTGGGCTCCATCAAAACTCAAGTCCAGTTAGGTGGGGACCAGCGACGGCCTTGAGCTTCCTGGAGTGATCCATCTATTCCATATCCTAGTTGGGTCACTTGCTGTGCTCGTGGTAGCCCATTTCATATTATTCCAGAGGGTATTCTGGGGTGCTAGGTAGTCGCCTCCAGGATTTTGTATTGACTGCTTGTGTGAAGGGAAGGTAACTCATAGTGATTGTATTTTCCTCCTTTATTGGAGGTGGTGCGCGTTTGTGTGAGTCTCAGGGGAGCTAGGCCCCTGAATTTCAGACTCGAGTGAGCCTAGTGTGTGTGTGACCCACCGTCCAAGGGTCCAAAAGAATAAGTGACGGCTAGTTGTGGTGTTTGTATACTCTGTATTTGTTGGTTTTATCGAGCTAGGAGGGCATTTGGGTAAGGTGTCTTCTGAGTTCCAAGTCCCAGAGTTGACTGAAATCCTGGACCCTGAATTCGTGATATTCGGGGTTTCAGGGGATCTGATTCTCTGGGTTTGCCTTTTGGTGTGGAGGTGCGTTCTGAAGTAGACGTGCGCTCCCGCACTTCTTCGAGGCTACATTTTCAACCGGTGGAGTGCCGTTCCGTCGAAGACAAACGAGCCGACAGGGATTACACAAGGTACCCACGCCAACCAAGGAGTGTGATTCTCAGGGTTTGAAGCTTTGCAGCTGCGAATCTCTGGGTCTATCTTCTTGCTGTTGACTCTCAAGTCGATTCTCTGGGTCTACCCCTGGGGAACAGTCTTGGGCTGCGCTATACGAACCCCCCTGGGCGATAAAGGTTTCATCGGCCTCGCCTCACAAGGATGAATCGAGCGCGTCCGGGGTCCTTGATGCGAAACTTGTCCGCGATGCCTGCCTTCACCGAGTCAATGACTGTCCGCTGGCGAGATGCAATCAGCATGTCATCGACGTAGAGACTCGTCGTCACCAGCACCTCTCGTGTAGACACATGGATCGGCGTCGGCAGCACGAAATCCCATGCTCTTGAGATGCGCGTCGATCGTCCCGTTCCATACGCGAGATGCTTGCTTGAGTCGATACAGGCTCTGCAGCAGCAGACAGACGACGTCATCTTCACCTTGAGCTTCGGCCAAATCCAGGAGTTCTCGAAGTCCATCAGGCAACACCATGTAGATCTCCTCTTCGAGCTTTCCATACAGGAACGCAGTGTCGATGTCACACTGCTCAATTTCAATTCCGTCGGCGCAGCACTTCGCGAGTTTCTCACGGATGGAGTTCAGGTACACAACAGACGAGTAGGTCTCCTCGTAGTCGATGCCATGTCGCTGTGAGTACCCCTTGGCTACGAGTCGAGCCTTGTACCGAACGACTCTCCCCGTCTCATCTCGCTTTAATGCGAACACCCAGCGACAACCAATCGCGCGCTGGTGTTTGGGCTAGGGCACCAACTTCCATACCTTGTTCGTCATCAGCGACTTGAGCTCACTTGCAATCGCTGCCTTCCATTGGGCACGATCCTTACTCGTAATCGCCTCTTGATACGACCTTGGCACCTCCTCCGTTGCAGCCATCAGCATTCCTCCGTGGATGGCATGCTGGTTGTTGTCCGACTTGGCGCGACCTTGGTTCACCTTCTGACGCTTCGTCCTGATCTCGGATGGCGCAGTGACTTGTTTCTTGCGACCTCCGGGCTCCTCAGGATCGTTGGTCTCTTCAATATGATGAGCACGCGACGAGTAATCATAGGTCGGGTAGGATATGGAACGATTGCTCCACCTGTCGACACGTCACTAGGTGGCATAGTCGGGTCACCAACTTCAACTTCAGTCGAAACGTCGCGAATAGTGCACCACTGCAGGTACCGTTCCAGAACTGGGGTCCGTAGCAACCGGTTCTTCATCGTCGTCGATCTCCAGAAGTGTCATCAAGTGGTCGGGTTCAGTCGTCTCCATGAACTTCACGGTGCGCACGATTTGCACCTTACCCGTCGCCACGTTGAGAACGCGGTATCCCTTCACACCATCTTCGTAACCCAGGAACCGACACTTGAATGCCTTCGCGTCGAGCTTTCGGCGTTTTTCATCGGCGATGTGGGCGTAGCCAAGTGCACCAAACACCTTCATGTTTTTTGAGCAAACGCTTAGCACGGTGCACGATCGCGTGGGGTGTCTTCACGGTCACCGAATTTGGGATCCAGTTCATGATCCAGGCCGCCGTGTTGACAGATTCCGCCCACCATTTCTTGTCGATCCCTTCAGGGTAGAGCATGCAGCGCGCCATCTCCACCAAACTTCGATTCATGCACGCAGCCAGTCCATTTTGCTGAGGCGTGTACGGCACCGTCTTCTCATGTTTGATGCTGCTGCGGTCGAGGTAGGCCTTGAACTGCTTGCTCGTGTACTCGCCGCCATTGTCCGAACGCAGACGCTTGATCGTCTTGCCCGTTGCGTTATCCATTGCTGCCTTGAAGATCTTGAACTTCGACAGCACCTCCGATTTCGCCTTCATGAAGTACACCGTCACGTGTCGTGAGTAGTCATCGATGAAGGTCACTACGTACGTGCAACCTCCAGGTGTCTTGGTCTGCATCGAACCCAGGACGTCCGTGTGCACCAAGTCGAGTACACCACCAAGTTGTCAGGGTGACGTGGGAAGTCGTCAGCGTGCATCTTCCCCATGCAACATCCAGCGCACACGTTATCCGTCGACACGTCGCCTCCGATGCGTGGTACCCCATCGGCCATGCTCAACAGCTGTTCGCAGCGCTTGTACGGGATATGGCCGAGACGGGCGTGCACGACGGCCCATGGCTCCTTACGAGATGTCGTCGCCGCACGACACACCTCGTCCCCCACTGTCTTCAGCTTGTAGACGTATCCACAGCGCTTGGCCTCCATCACTGTCACGCCACCAAAGTGAAAGACGCACTTGTCGTTGCTGAATTGCGCGTCGACGTCCTTCTCGGCCAGCTTCGACACCGAGATGGGGCTCCCATCAACTTCCGGGATGTACAGAACATCCGACAATGTGACGGACGTTCCGTCCATCAGCTTCAATCCGACGGTGCCCTTTGTAACTGCGTCGATCTTCGTGCCATCCGCGATCATGATGCGGACCGGCGTCTTCAGCTCCTTCATGGACACGAACTTGTCCCGGTCGCTGGTCATGTGCGAGCTGGCACCGGAGTCCACAAGCCACTCCGACTTCGCCATTGCACCCGTAGCCATGAACGCGAAGTCCAACGCCTCCTACGCGACTTGCCCACGTCCCTCATCGGCTTTCTTCTTATGGCACTCTTGTTCCTAGTGCCCGAGCTTCTTGCAGTAGAAGCACTTCACGGAGAACCCGCGCTCGCGGAACTCCTTCTTCGTTGCGAATGCCTTCTCCCGAGCCGATGTCGAATCCTCCGAGACTTCAACACCAGACAGAGCTTGGATCGCGTACGCCAACGTCATGTTCGGCGTGTTCTCGAGTACGGTGCTGATCATCCGGTACTCGTCCGTCAAACTGCCCAGCAGCAGCACGAGTTGGCGAGTCTCGTCCAGAGCTTCACCAATCGTCTCCATTTGCAGCACCAGCTCCTTGAACCGGCCCACATGCGCCGCGAACCGCGTCCCGGGCTCCATCATGAAATTGTGCAACTTCTTGGTCACGACGAGCCGATTCTTGAGAGTGTTCTGGTTGAACTGCTCCTCAAGCAGGCGCCACGATTCAGCAGCGGTTGTCGCTCCACGGATGTAGACTTTGTATGTGAGACTCACGGCTCCAGCGATCACACCAAGAGCCTTCAGATCGTCGGTCTTCCACTGTACCGTGGAACGGTCACTCAGCTGGTCGAACTCTGGCTTGACGATGGGGGCCAGGAGTCCCTAGTGCGACAGCTTCATCTGCATGTTGAACTCCCAGTGGTAGTAGTCGTCTTCCACGAGCTTCACGGTGTCTGCGTAGCTTGGGCTCATAACCACTTGAGATTATGCGGGCGAGGCTTGGTAGTCGAGTGTTGGTTAGGAAGGAAATCCGAAAGTGAATTAGAATGAGTTAGGCCAAACTAACTATCATATCGGAGTCTCCTACGCTTAAACATGATTCGTACCAACGCACACCTCCTATTTCCGAGTATTAGAGGCTGGGGATCAAAAAGTAAATGTTGCAGATCGTATCCAGAGAGGCAACTTCAACCTGCCTTTCTCTCAGCCAATCCAAAGTGTCAAATCTTGGGGTTCCGCCAATCAGATCCCAGTATTCCACCACGTGTACCACAATTGCCTACCATCGGCAACAACTTCACAGCAAGCACGTACCTCGATACGGAGACACACAACTAGACTGCGAAGTGTACAATCGCAACACGCCACGGACACGTCTTCCAAGTCCCCGACCACACACAGCATCGGCGTCAACATGTCCGACTCGTCCGTTATACCCGTGAAGTGGCCGAAAATGCAATCCCATTGGAACCGCACCCAGCCGCTCATGACGATCCGTTGCCCCAGTAGATTGTCCAAGATGAAATCTTTCTTGCTTTTCTCTTCGTCTACGTAGCTGCTGCACAAATTCGGGAACACGTTGTGTAGTGTCCGCTTCGAGACGGTAAAGCTCGTTGTGACCGTCGCGATCAACGTGTCGGGCATATGCTGCTCCAACCGCTCGAGTACTATTTCAGCATCCTGGAACCAGTGATAGAACCGGTTCGGTTTCCACTCCATGAACACCATCAAGACATACCAGCAGTGGTTGGTTCGCATCTGACTCATACGAACGACACCGTGGCTAGCTCCAGCCCTACACTCCTCCCAGCTCAGCAAGAGGTCGACAGGTTAGCCCACCATTGAACGCTTTGTCGGCTTCGGCAGTTCCGGTACCGGAAGAAGAAAGACCAACTGGCGACGGACCTTGAGCGGGACAACAAGCAGCTTCGTCAAGTTGTTCGGTTTCTGGAACAGCGTCTACAGTCGCCCCTACCGACTCAAAGCACGGCGTGGAAAGCGGCAGCCACCTATTTCCACGTGTTTCGCCACGGTTGCCAGTGGCCTTCGGTATCGAGAGGAAGATCGACCAGCGACCAGTTCAAGTTCGCACAAGCTGCCATGGCTCAATATATTGCGTACAACAGCGTGGTGTAGCTCGTTGTGCCCAATCTGTGTTGCTGGTAGCTTTGACGCGCTGGGCCACATCTCGGATCACGCCGTCACTTAGTAGCTGAATGTTTTGAGGGACGAGGCAACTGGAGCTCATAGCGCTGGGTTTGAAATTGCAGAGTGACAAGTATGCTGTGGAAAGTCTCTTAGTCAGCGACTATGTAGGCGTTAGCTCTTTGGTTGTCACCAGGTAGGAGACTACCTATCATCCGTGTGGTCTCGGACCCTCACGTTCCACGTGATGACACGCTCCTGTTATGACACGAGTCTCACGTTTTATTTGATTGCCGCCTCCTTGGCTGATTTAGCCTGCGAGTTGAAACTTGCGACCTACCGCCCCCTCTCGGTGCGTCAAAGCTCAGGTGTGGCCCAGACTTCGTGCTCACAATTCTTCGTCAGCCACACAGGCCAACATGTGTTACCCAAACTAAAATTATGATGGCGTGAAATCTTGGGGTCAGCTGTCCCGGGTTAACCCTTTTAGAACTTGCAGTCATTTGTCGGCTGTCTACTTTAAACTGAGCTAAACAAATCAAAAACTCAAATCGACTTCAGGTCGGGTTACCCGTCCGATAGTTTGAACACGATCTAGCTCAAATGCTGGATGATATCCGAAAGCATGGGGCTTCCGATACACTGTCTTGACGGTATCCGGGCACACTGGGCAGGATAGCCCACGCCTTGGCTCGTGCGTAGAGCTCTGCGGAGCACCAATCGCTCATCCCACAACCGATCAACTCCTACTTACTTACCAGCGGCTGCGTCTTGCTGTCTGTTGGGCGGGCCTTCTGGGCCTCATCCAACCGAAGAGCTGGACTACGACAGCGTGGTGCCGCTTCCTGAGACGAAGGCCTCGACCACCGAATACTCACTCGTGCTGACGTTCAAGCCCAACTCAACATCAACAGTGGGTGCCATCCGTACCCGGCCGTCGATGCGGACGAAAACACCAACGCTGGCCTCTCGCTCTTCAGCTGCAAAGGGTCGTCTCTCGGCTCCCAAGTCTACGGCTGTGTGACGGCCTACGAGGATTCGTACGCTATCATGTACGCCTGGTACTTCCCGAGAGACCGCAAGGGCACGTTCGGCCACTGCCATGGCTGGGAGCACGCTATCGTGTGGCTTGAGAGAAAGGGTGCCAAAGATGCGAACATATCCTCCGTGCCGGCCTCGATCTCGAACGACAAGTACTTCTCAGTCACACCCCCGGACACCGCCATGGTGGAAGCGACGAGCGTCAAGTTCCAGTACAAGGCGAAGACCTTCAGCCACTATGGAGTTTGGACGGCTCCATGGATGTATTGGTGCAGTGGCGGGAGACCCCAGGCAACTACGACCGCTGGCGCGACAGTCCGTCAGCAGTATGTGTACATCCAGGCGATGTTGACGCTCGAGTTGCGCACCCACACGGCCTCCGCAGAACGTCACGGCCGAGGCCGGCGACTTCCAGCACTTGGCCATGTGGAAAGACATGCCGGCTGCAGCGCGCGCGGCCCGGAAACTCAACGACTTCGGCAGGGCCACGGTACCATTCAATGAGGGTACGTTTCTTGACAACCTGAAGGAGGCCTACCCGTGGTAGAGTTCTCTGGATATTTATAGGGGTAATCACGGTTGGAAAGTATTTTTGGGCAGCCAATCAGGAGAAACTTTTGTGTCCCGGTTTTTTCAGCTCAATCCTACCAGAAAAAATCGGTAGATTTCAGGCGGAAATTGACGTGATAGGTGGACTGAGCCATGCATGGATAGTGCGGTTGGTTGGTGGTGGATGTGCACTTTCCTCGCGCTACGGGGCGCTCACAGATGAAAGCTGAGGTTTGATTTTATTGGCGCCTGAAACATATTTAGTTTCTAACCGTGATAACCTCTGATGATTTTGTATTTGTTGCGGTTTAGACGTCTATCTACGCCCGATACTCCATACAGCTGCAGCTTCTCCTACCGAACACGCCTCCTGAAGACACGAGCCCGCGGTAGTAGCCAATAAGCAAAATGCTTCCTGAGTCACCCCAGACTGCACTACCCTAATGAAAAACGAAAATATAAAAGTGTAACCTATGTAAGGTGAGACTTCTTGAGTCTCACGTGTCCTCTTCTGCTCTACTCTGGAGAGTACTTAGCCTGTTAAAATCCCACGCGTGACTCCGCTCTTGAATCTGATCTCTGCGCTCACCGAGCTGACGCGTGAGCCGCACTTGTGTTGACTTGCCCATTGGCGGCGTCGAGTCTTGATCGTAGTGTTTACATCAACCAAAAGTGGTTGATTATCTTGCTGCACCTGGCTTTCCCTGTCGCGAGTGCACGTGTAGGTCCAAAATTCCCGTAAAGTCATCCAAGTCCGTCGGATAATGGCGCGGTGGAGACGTTGTGCTTGCCTTTGTGTATACGAGATCGCCTCTGACCATTCTGTACTGCTACTCGTCATCGTTGGGTACCTCCTCCATCCTTTTGGTTCGTTATAGACGGCCCGGTTCAGGCGATTTAGCTGATGTCGGACACTAGCCCACCACGAAGGATATACTTCCGTCTGTGAGTCATAGCTGAAAAGTTGAGTATCGGATGTCGAGGTAAGCCAGTGGTGTGCTCGGTTTGAGGTCTCTCCAGCAGCCAATCATCTGAGAAATGCAGTCTCAGAGCCTGCGCCCAGCACGGCAGTGCGCATTTCGCCACATCTTGTACACTGTGCCGCTGCGAGATGACCCCAATGAGTATGGCCACTTTGCTTTTCTGATACACAGTCGCAAACTGGAGGCTTCCTTGTTGTAGAATGGAGTGGACCGTGCGCAGAGTAATCTGCCCCGCCGGAATCTTCACTGTCCAAACCCAGTTAATTGATTCGAGGAACATGTGACCTTCTGATCCAAAGTAGGTTGCAACCCAGTAGACCGGCGTTCCTCTTCTAATCTGCCTCTCATACCGCGAAAATTCAGGTGAGCATTTATGCCCATAGTTGCAACTCTAGACGACCCCGTCTTGGAGTTGTCACCACCACATTCCAGGCCGTCTCCTTCGGTGGGACACCTAACGAAATCGCTTGTCGACGTTGCTCGAGCCTCTGGACCTCGCGTTGAAGGTGTTGGGTCTCTTTGTCGAGGCCTTGCGCCAGTCGGTCCTTCTTCTTGCGGTGACCTACTAAAAATCTCTGGTAGTGAAAGGGTTAAACAAGCAGAACATCACCACTCAGGTAGAGTGAGGATATATAGATCCGCATGTGCATCGGGTTGCTTCCGGTGCCTTCTTCTCATAAGCGGTCATGTCTGGAGTCTGTGCCGTTTCAGATTTTGTCAAGTACAGATTCCTCTCCTGCTTATGATACTGTATTTAAGAAAAAGTTCGTCGTTTAACCTAAAATACACATGACAAAATAATGAGTTGGATCAATTATAGTCCTGTTCTTAGCCGTTAGATACTAGTAGTGATAAATGTAGTTGAAGTCTTTCGAGACTGCAGGACCGCCATCTCCATGCCGCTTGAATGCAGTCGCTGATTAGTCCTTGTTTGAGGAGTGGAGGGCTCGAACGGACTCGCACACATTCGCCAGGAATAGCAAGGGGAAGTCGCGGTCGATCCGACGCAGATCCAGCGGCGCAGGCTGCTCAGTCGGTGTGCCGTATCCGTGCAGCAGTACCGTCAACGCCTCACCTGGAACCGGTCCCTGCTGCTGCTGCCACGACGTCTTGGTGTCTTGGCGGCCAGCGTTCTTCTTCTTCGGACGACGTTTGTGGTGGGCCGAGCGGATGATGTTGGCCTGCTCGGCTTCCAGCTGCTGTAGTCTGGCGTCGAGGTGTTCCGGGGGGCTAGCAGCGGATACCGTAGGCCTTCGAACTGCACTGTCGGTGTGAGGAGTCGACACGCGATCACCCTCGAGTGTAGAGGCCGAGTATGCGACTCGCTGGTCTTTCAGCTCGGCGATGCGTCGGCGCACGGACGAGAGCTGTCGGTACGGCCACTTGCGGATGCTGTTGCGTCTGCAGATGCGCTTGAGCGCAGCCTCACAGATGCCGAGTCGTTCTGCCGCCTAGTCCGGAGGCAACGCTGTTAGTTCCGAAGCCACTCAATGACGCACGATAGACTCCGTAGCAGCAGCTTTTGTTCGCATCCACCACACTAGCTAACCACTCTGAGGGGTTGCTGATGGAGGTGCTCACCGTCTTGAGGGGGAGGTGGTAGACTGCCTGGAGCTGCTCCACGTCGAAGTGGATGCGCTGTCGACGGCGTCTGCGGGTTGCCCCCTCGGCTTCGGACGCGCTTGCTGTTGAGTCTTCTCCCTCGTCTCCTTCGCTGTCGTTGGCGCCCTCGTCGTTGCTGGGTGCTGCTGCATAGTGGTCGCGACCGCTGTCGCTGCAACTGCTGCTGCTGCTTGCGTTGCACACCAGCGTCGGGTCAGGAAGGGGCCTCGCGGAGCTCTCGAGGGCAGCAGATGCAGACCAAGTGGCGCGTGGCGTGGAGCTCATGGTGCGAATAAGATTGAGAAAGTGGAGTGAATGTCGTTGAAGTGAGCCGGATCGGGTCAGCTGAGCTGGTTTGGCGTCCTCCGTCGAAGTCTTTCCTGGAGTTTGATCCTGAGAACGCGAGCATTCTGCAGCTACCAGCAAAGACCAAAATGGTTTCCGAGAACGCAGCAAGTGAGCTCAAGATCTTGGCGAGTAATTTGGAGCTGTATCTGGATTCGAAGGGATTTCAAAACACATCCCTCGACGAGGTTTATCTACCTCAAGTCTCTCCTCCGATGGTGTCGCTGACGAGGTAATCTCGATTTCGCTTTTACATGACTCGTTCTTTACCTTTCTAAAGCTAACACGTCTGTAATGCTGCTCTGTAGGGATATTTCGCGCATGATCGTCAGTGCGGAAGTGCCAACGCTGGCCAAACCTCGTCCCTGTGACTTCAATGCAGCAGCCACCGGGAGCGGCTTCACTATGGGTGCAGCAGCTTTCTCCTCAAGTGGCTTCATGTTTGGTCCAGCAACGCCAAAATCCCAGCAAGAGAAGACACAAGAACTAGGCGAGTTCGAGCTGCGACTCTTCTTCGCTATCACGACTCATGCAGTGGCACCTCTACTCCATTCGCTCTGCGATGTGGGCGATCTCGCTCGACGAATGCAGGAGTACGTGTTTTGCCACCCGAAGGTGAGTGGCAGCAAGATCCACGTATTCTGCGAGAGCACGGCTGGGAAGCGCAAGAAGTACACGAAGTTGGTGAAGCACCTCTCCACAGCTGCCGCTGCGCTTAAGTCCACGCCCAGCTGCGTGTGATTCATCGGTGACGAGGACGGTTCGCAGTCTGTGTCAAGTGCGTTGTGCGTGTCATTCAACCAAAACTCCATCAATATTTCAAGAAATAAAGCTCAAAGCCTGCGTTGATATTTAAGTGTTCATTATACATGATAGCTGTAGCGAGTTATCGACTCGATCTCCACTGGAAGTCGGGCGAGATGATAGACCGGTCGAACACTAGCGACGCGTCCTCCACGCTGCCAAGCAGACGCAGCATCGGCGTCAACAGGTCGGAGTGAGCCATGACGCTCGTGAAACGGCCGCTCAAGCCGTCCCACTCGAAGCGCGTGAGTCCGCGCATGACGATGCGCTGGCCCAGCAGTCGGTCCGCCAGTCTGCGGTTGCTGCTGGAGCTGCACAGGTGCGGGAACACGTTGCGTAGTGTCCGCTCCGTGATGGTGACGCTCGTCCTGGCGATCGCGACCAGCGAGCCGGCCGCGCCTCTGTCTATACCTTCGATCTCCAGCTCCACGTCTTGGAACCACATTGACAGGCACTTCCAGCTCCTCATCATCGCCTCCACGCCCTGCCCAGAGTTGAAGACCACGTCAGGGACCATGGCAGTGCGCAGTAAGTCGATCTGGGCGTTGGTAGGCCTAATGGCATTGGAGCATCCTCGAGACTGGAGGCCGTACCGGAACTGCTGGAAGTATTCCAATGCAACGTCCCACCCGTTCTGCTGCGCCGGCAAGGCGGCGGAGATGGCGCGACGCTGCTGCTCGAAGCTCATAATTTCTTCCCGTAGCTGCCGCGTCTCCTTCTCGAGACTGGTCATGCGATCGTACTCCTTCTTCTGTCTCTCCCGACGGTAGTTTTCTTCTTCTCTGTGGTAGTTCTCCTGCTTATCACTGTTGAGAGACTCGGTGTCCGTCTCGTGCTGCGGAGTGCAGGCTTCCGTCTCTACATATCGCGGCTCGCGACTGGGATATCTCTGTGGGATAGAGGCTTCAGGCTCTATGTATCGTGGCTCCTTACTGGAATATCTCGCCTCTGGCTGTTGAGTCCAGGCTTTAGACTCGTCATACCGAGGCTCTACGTTGGTACTGGGACTGTAGCCTTGCGGCTCCACGTACCGAGACTTGTTACTGGGATAACTGTTCTTGGGCGACTCCGACTCCCTCTTCCTCTTCTCGCCCGTTAGAGACAGCAGGCCAAGCACTGCAATGGCGTCTCTCTCCGGGATGATCGCGCCAGGTCTGGTCAAAGTATTGTTGGTAGAGTTCTGTACTTGGCGTGCACGCGTGTACTCTGGAGCCTGGGGCTGCACACGTGGCTGACTCGACTGACGCCACTCATTATTATTGGCACGAACTGCACTGTGCTGATAGTTGTCGGGGCGGAAGTATCGGCCCGAGCTCCGGCGCTCCACGACTCCTCCGACGATGTCGTCGCTCAAGAACCGGTCGTTGGGTGGACGCAGAGTGCAGAAGTTCATACTGTTACATGTAGTCCTCGAGTGAGACTTGGACCTGTTCTGCTCTGGTGTCGGGACTGGAAATTGAGAAATGAGGTTCGGAATCCAGACAATCTGCGATAATGGGAAGGATAGGCGCAGGAACATCTGCCCACAGGCAGTGCGTTTTGTATGGGTCAGTGGCTAGGAGCAGCGTGCTGCCTATTCGTTTTGTAGTCTCAGCGTGATATACAAGCGTTCAGCTGCAGCAGCTGGCCTGTTCTGCGCGATGGGCAATGCAGATCACTCAAAAGCGCTGATTGAGGGGTTGTTTCTGCTCATACAGTACAGTAGGAAAGCAAAAACATACTGCCGGCAAAGCCCAAAGCTACTCTTGCACAACGACACCACAACTCTCCCTCAAGCCGCGGGCGACAGTACGGTAAGCGAAGCGTAATACGGTCGGTCGTCTAAGATGAGGGGCGTGATTAAGCAAGTCAACCGCACAGCCATCATTGTCTCAACACGCGCGCGGCATCGTTTGATGTACGGTAAGCACTGAAGTACAAGCGCTGCGCTAGCCTTACGTCGGTGGCGGTGTGATCTACAATGTGCGGGAGCGTCTGCTTCTACGCCAGGCGCGGTTGTAGAAAAAAATATCGGGTTGCAGCGCTCGCTACGCTCGCTCGCGCAGACCAGCCCCGCCTAATCGGCGGGCGTTGGAACCAGTGAATGTACTGAGTGAGGCTCGCGCTCGCGTCCGCTCGCCCTCGCCCATTCCTCAACAGATCATGATCAAATGCATTGTTTATGAAAATGGCCTTCCTTGGAAATGGCCCTCTTTACCCAGTCCCGCCACAAGGGCGTTCGAGCAAAATACGGCTGCACACAACCAGCAAGGAACATTTCAACGCGCAAAAGCAATCCTGAGTCTCAGATGCAGCGGCTAATGGAACTCCAGGCTTTACGTATTGCAGAGTTGGTGATTTACGGCGCAACACCTTCGATCACTCTACTGGAGGAGTAGCTAACTAGCTAGCTAGCTAAGTATCTCTTTGTGTCCGCGAAACCTGAATTACTCCGGAGATTACACTTCCACTATGCCACTTTGCAACACATGTCTTGCCCGACACTCTGGGCAACTCAAGCCTCGACGGATTTCTCAAATAATTTGTAACTGCACTTTGCTATTTCTTTCTCGGCGGCTTCATGCTCGTATAAAATGTTGATACTACAGTAGAAGAGCTCTCTATGTGCCCCGAGTCTACTTTGAACTACACGAGGGAGCTAAGCTGCCTAAGGTCTTGGGATATTTTAATAGTGCTTCTTAAAAGAAGCACTTGAAGTGAACGTAACGATAACGGAAACGACAGCCCTTCAATCTGCAGGCTACAAATGAAAAGGCGTGGTGCTGGCCTATATTGGAACACAATCTTACCTCGACGAGTAGTAACGAATTCCTTCGTTCCTATCGATATCGATCCTTCCATTGTATTCCTGCATTGAATTGTCGGGAATCCCAACAGTCCAATAGACGCGACCCCGACTTGAGATCGCGTCTAACTTGCGTGTTTCTACTGTAGCTCTTTGTGCTGCAAATTATGCCATTTTGTTCAGTTTTCCCCCAAGCCATACGTGGCATGTTGTGAGGGATGGTGCGTTCATTAGGTACAGCGCCGAATGCATAATACTGGAAAGTATGTTATTATTATCTGCTATGCTATTAAATACTAAATTATGCTAAGGTGTCACCGAGGTGCTTCGTGGCGAGAAGTCTTGATGCTCAGAGCCTAGCACTAGCTAACCGCTGTATCAGTCCGCAGTACCATGACTTGAACTTGTACATTAGAACTCAAACCGAGTAGGTGATCTATTGCGAAATTCGTTGTTGCATTTGTGCCCACTCAGTGATTTGGTTCGTTGCAAAGTGAAATGGTGGGATAAGCAACAAAGCAACGGAGATTTGATATTTCATTCAGTATTTTACGACCATACTCGGTTCTAATCGAGTGCATGGCACACACAAAGTCGCTTAATCTCTCGGGTAGACAGACTACTTAGACTCACTTATGGGTTAAGAAGCTGAACACTGTCGCGTCATTCTGCACCTGCTCCTTCGATGTCGCGACGGATGCGGAACATGCTGCGGATGAGGACTGCAACGCTTGCGGTCACGCTTCTTCGCATCGAAGCTCGCGGCAGGCTAGCAGCAGACGCACGCCGTGCAGGCTGGGCTTCATTGAGCTGAATTAACCAGGCAACTGTCGACTGCTTCTTCGCGGGGCGCTCGAGCTCCACTGTATGCAGGCATGTCGTTTGTTAGTTAACCAGGCTACTTAAGTACACAAGTGGCCACTGCCGGTGATGTCGAGACCGGCGCCAAGTAAGGCCAGAAGTGTCCAGTTTGACCGACAAGTACAGCGTGCTGGGTGGTTGCGAAGACATTGGGCATTTTCCCAGGTCTATTGTGAAATTTCCGATATAGCGCCAAACTACCGATTAGATCAATCCTACGCCCCAAGCTAAGCTATTCAGACTTGCTAAAGTATTTAACGAAGATCACCTTCAATAGCGAGTAGCTAATCTCGGTTGGAACGACCTCAGTCTTCGACAAGTGTATCATAACAAAATCGTGTAGTGCTAAGAGTCTGATAGAGCGCTGACAAACTCGTTTTAAGGTCTATTCTGCAGTGTATCCGGCTGCAGATACTACTATGTACAGGGTAGAAAAAAAATGTACGGTATATTCAGTTTAGTCCATATGGATTCCCGCAGAAGTTCGCGGAATTTTGTGAGGCTTCCTGCATACAGAATTATTAATACGACGTAGGCATAATCTATCCTCGTCGTTATTCTGTTCTGGGAACAATACCATGCAAGACGAAGAAAGCTGTCTCTCGCTCGTGCACTGTTGTTGGGCCTACACGTACAGTATTGGTGGTTGGCTTGCGGAATTCACAGATCGAAGTTGCAAAGTTGCACGTCGTTGTTTGATTTACTGTACCGTACGGTAGCTTCGATCTGCACATTTCGACAGATCAAGTGAATGCGTATAAGAGAGGCGGCAGCTTTCGACTCGCTGACTTGCAAACACACCGTCAAGTGTAGGTCAAGTGTTTGAGCAGCACCAGACTCCTCGGACTTGATCAACGATTCCACACACCGCCTCGTTGTGACTCGTCGGCGATGAGGAACGTGCCGGCAGGCTGCGCCGTGGAGGAGGTTAGACTCCCATAGCGAGAGGAAGAAGGAAGGATACAGAGTGGCTATAGCGTAGTAGGGCGATCCCAGAGGCGGAGCCAGCCTTAAAAAAATGGGGGAGCATAGATTTTTTTTAAAGTAAAATCCACAACCTACATTTCGATTCTTCTTTTTGTCATCGCTTTAAACTTTTCGAGGACCGAGTCTTTGTCGATGCAGTTTGTAAGATCACGCTCGATAGCCAAAACCATCAGGTTTGACATCCAAAGATCTCCCATTGTTGTTCTGAGCCGCGTCTTAATTCTTTTCATGGCTGAGAAAGACCTCTCCGTAGTAGCAGTTGTTACAGGCAGCACACGCACCAAGTTAATAATTCGGTGCAAGGTCGGGAACAGCTCGTTGTTATCGGTCCCGACGAGTTGGATGCATAGTTGTTGCGTTGTCTTCAAATTTTGGAACCTTTTGTCGATCTTTGCCAAATTGCGAAACCGAGTGGCCTCTTCTCGAAGGTCGTCCAGCTCATCGGTGAAATCATCGGGATAAAATGTTTTAGCCAGCTCAACAATTTTAGTAGCGCTCCAATTCTTGAAATTATCACGTGGACTGAGCGATCCGCACAATTCTATGAGACTAAGAACTTCTCCACTAAATCGTGAATCCATTTCAGAAATCAGGTTCGAAGGATACAGCTGTATACTTCGTCACGATAGTGAGCTTCTTGTGTAGGCTGGACACCATCCCTGGAGGAGTCCGCTCCTGGAATTCCAGCCCTGCCACACCCCCGACTTCTCATTCCGCGTCGTTTCCACACGTCATTTTTGTCAGGAATGAGAGGGGTGTCGTCAACTTGTATTGATTTGCAAAAGTTGACCGATGAGTTCCAAATCGATTCAAAACTTGGCGAGTTCCCAGTCATAGAACCATCATCGAGCATTTATTTTAGTGCTTTGGATACCTGCTTCGTCATATTCACAGCTGACACGATATCGACGTCATCTTTCTGCAAAAAATGGGACAGCCGATTTGTTTTTCCCAAAACTGCAGTGAGAATCTCCATATGAAATACGAAGTCGAAAGTTCACATCTTCTCTAAAATTCCTGACGCCTCAGCGCGTTTGTGGGGGTTCACACCATCGACCACTACACACTCTAACACACTTGTAATTGGGGCCCAAAGCATCTTGACTTTTCTTAACGCGCGAATGTAGCAATTCCACCTTGTTTTGCTAAGACCCTCGGTAGAAGTTGGTTGATTTAAATCTCTACCAGATTCTAGATGTCCTTGATCAAGCATTTTTTCCAATTCCACAGCGGCTTCGTCAAGAAGTTGATCTTTCCTTTTACACGAAGCACTTACAGTAGTGTGAATCCCTTGCACGGTGTCGAAGCATTGAACCACCGAGACCGTGTTCATAGTCACTGCAACTAGGACGAGATTAAGTCGATGCGCGAAACAGTGAACATAGTAGGTGTAAGGACACTGGGAGCGTAGACGTCGCGGAAGACCAGTAATATCACCCGACATGTTGGACGCACCATCATATACCTGCCCTCTACAGTTCGCCAAAAGCAATCCCCACTTCTCTAACTGCGTTATCAAACCATCGTACAGTGTCTCCGCATTCGTATTGCGAACATGGACAGTTCCAAAACATCTTCCTCTAATAGTCCCCGTTGCAGCGCACACAAAACGAATTACGATAGCTATGTGCTCTTTCTTCGCCATGCAGCTTGCTTCATCCACCAGAACAGAAAAATATCCATCTGCAATCTCGACCTCCATAATATGCTTTCGAACAACATCAGCCGCACATTTGATCAGTTCACGTTGAATTTGTGGCGATGTGTACACAACGTTTTCCCCAGCTAAGGACATTGCGCGAGAAAACGATGGCGCGTGCTGTGCCATGAACTGAACAATCTCAAGAAAATTGCCTTTATTTTGTGACGTATCCTGGGCATTGTAAAAAAACGTTAGTCTAGTGATGCCAATTCTTACATCAAAATTAAACCGCTCGTATACCTTTTCGTCGCTGCCCCGAAATGCAATTTCCTGTTTTGCTAGGAGAAGGCAGATTTCCAGAATAAAAGTCAGGCGCTCCCGGTCGTTCACCAATCTTTTGAGAATTCAGAGCCACACCAACGTCATTCTGACAGGATCTCCGATTGTCGAAATCGATCAGAGCTGAGTGGTGCTTCGAGCTGGTTTTTGTCCCAACATGTTTTGCAAATCCGTCTTTTGTAGTGGCCCTTTTCCAGTTCCTATAGCCCGTTGTAGGTTGTGCATACACTGTGAGCTCGCTTTGCTGCGTCATTACTTCTCGGCTGAGGTAGCAGCATAAGCAATACACCGCGTCCGTCGAAGGAGAGTATTCGAGCCATGATTTTTTTTCAAACCACTGGGCCCGAAAAGCACGCATGCATCCACCGATGTCACAGACCGGATATTGCTTGAGTTGCGGTTGGTAAGGACCGAGGCGAACGTAGGATTGTATAACGTCACGTAGTAGCTGAGGATCGGCAATCAGTTGCTTAACGAAAAATAAATTTGGTGGTCTGTGAGTAGGATCCCGCCTAACAAAGTCTCCAGCACGGAACATTCTGCGGCTCTATCAGGAATTTTGTTGAGCGCACACCATTCCAACGCTGCTTGTCCTTGTTTTTCGCGCAGCGTTACAGGTTGGGGTCGTGGCCCAGGATCTGCTTCAATACTGCGGGCCTTGTCAAAGTCTTCGGGTTCTTGACGGGGCTTCTTCACAAAGAAGGTCGTGATTACCGGCTGCTTCCTCTTTCCTTCCATGTTATTATCAACTAAGCGGAGGAACAGTGTGAACTTCATGCATGTGCCGTCTAAATAAAAAAATCTAAATAAAATCGAAACGCCTTCGCCGAAAAATGGGGGGCATGCGCCCCCCATTTTGGCCCTGGCTCCGCCCCTGCTAGCGGGGATCGCCGCGATCCCCGCTAGCCCAGGCAGCGACCTTATATTCATACATAAGACGGAATGGAATCTCAGTTCACTCAATCGCAAACACGCCGCCACGCCGCCGTGCATTGCTGTAACGCGTAGATGTGCAACTGAAACCGAAACGATAAGCAGAGGAAACAAACAGTTATGATGTCGGAACGAGCAAGTACAGACGACGTGTTGGCACGCATCGACAAGGCAGTCCTGCTGCCAGCACACTCTCTCTGAAAGACGTTGCTCAGCACGTAGGGGGTGTGCCGTATTATGGGGACGAACCCCACTCCACCAACCAGACAGGTATTCGGAACATTAGTACCATCGTGTCACCATCCTGAAGAGATACATGGCGCATGGTCGGGGACTGCCTTGAAATTCGCCCGCCCGTAAATGCTGATGACATTGCTCACACTACTTTGGTATCGGCGGTCACTCAGTTCGCAAAGGGAAAACAAAAATCTCCAGGCAAAGGCAGAGTTCAAGGCTAGGTAATCGCGATCAAACATCGAATTTTTCTTTTGAATGTATGAATTGACTACTATTAAAGTGCCAAGCTTCGTTTTACAAAGCGCTAAAATAGCTTCATTTTTTTATTAGTGTACTGCTGCTGTCTATCACACAGCAATGAATCGAATTACGATATATAGTACAGTCGAGTACATGTACAGCGCACGCACGCTAGAAACGATGCAGGTATATGCAGCTATAGTTGTCGAACCAAGCACACTTCGACTTCGCAATCGCATCGAGCCAACGAGACTGCTGTACTGTAGGCACTCGACGGCACTACAGAGTACATGGTGTAGTTGCTGTATAAACGCAGAGCGAGTTGTGTTGTTGCAATTCAAGAGTTTAGGTGCCGTAGTCGGTCTTTATTTTTGCCCCTTGCAAGTGTGGTATATATTATAACATCTTCATCCTTTCGGTTTTTGCAGCAATAAATATTTTATTGTGCTTTGCAGTTATTATGTTGCCGACGATTTTAAAAGCTAAATATGGCAAGCTGCACTTAAATATGTGTGAAAGAAAATTCATGACTTGCTAAAATTACGCATAAATCCACCTCCATATATAGCTCTCGACCGTGTGGAGTCTTTTCAGCGGTCATTCATTGGCCCAGTATACCACCGCTCATGATCCCCAGCACCCCCCACCTTCTTACGCATAATTGCCGTGTGTGTAGGTGCTTCTGGATAAGGGCCGACAGAATTGCAGCAGTACAGCCACAATTCCACTGTCAAGAGCGCAAGTATGGCGCTTTTAGCGTAATTCTAGGCCTCCACCCATTTATGCACCTCGATTTATCGTAAATCTAGCAGGTGATCGCTATATCGCCTCGTATTACCGGCAAAACACAACTAGGGCTTCGCGGGGTCTGAGATAGCAAAAATAAACAAAACAGATAAACGCACAGCGCACACGACTTAGGCACGCCGCACTTGCTGCTCACCAGTCGCCCGCGCTGTGCTTTTATATTATGAGCATCCACATCTACCAGATAATCAGACCTTTAAGTACAATAACACACTTACGATAATATCAATTTGCTTTCTTGCCTCCGCGCTGTTTTAATAACCAAATACAAGCAAGTTATAAGCTGCAGCAACGCCCTCCCAAGCAGACGACTATTCTTACCTTCGTGCTGTAAATTCACCCTGATGTTGCTGCGTCTTCAGGCATGAGAACTGGAAATGATTCGAATGAAACTTGATGATGCGATTGATGCTTCTTCATTGATAGAGACCGACTAGGTAATTATTCAGATTACCTATAAAGTTTACTTTCATAATATTTCAATATATGATGGATACTTAAACGCATGCGTTACACGCACGGCTTCATGCGACACCAAATTAATCCTGTGCCGGCTGCGTAGCAGCATACCTTACGGTACACTAGCTATCTCAGTATTATACTTAATTAATGGCCTTAGTATTAAATAACATTTGTAAAAATGTCAACTTCCGACTATTTCGTAATACACGACAGAAAGTATTAACTGTTGAAGTGCGGAACCATGAACTATAAGTGATGAATGGCGTGTTGTCGTGTTTGACACCCTGTTAAATTCTACAGGACATGTACCGCGAACATGCTACCCATAAAAAAAGAAGCCAAAGTTCTAACGCTGTTTAAATTAAATTTGATTGGGCTGTGTTCGAGCCGTAATCTATTTTTTCTTACCCTCTGACCAGTTGAACCTCTTACCCCCTTTGCATACCTCTATATAAAGCACCACTGCAGCGCTTGATATCATAGGCGCTATATCATACCAGTTCAGCAGGAAAAAAATGAGTCGCGGCTCATTAATCCTTAAATTGCGTGGTGGGGCCAGCTACTTGCTCTCGCTCAAGTGACGCGGTGGTGTTGCATTGTAAAAAAATATGGTGACGCTGGAGACAACCCATGAGGGTATTTCCCTCCCTGGCTCTCTATGATACTCCCTTTCACTTATTTCTCGAGGTAGTGGCTTAATTATTTCTGTCCATACATATTTTTCAGTGAGGCTGGGCGCAAGGAATTCCGGGTCCATGATCTGGGAAATAAAATAGCGAACCAATCAAACCCTATTTGCTAAAAATAGATGAGTGTGATTGGACAAAACACCGATTGGCTCAAAAGTTCATGAATTGGTACAGTAAAACAATCCGAAAAAGCACTTATCTTTTATTTGTGGCTTTCACTCTCAGCTCAGTAGGGCATATTTTCTGAAAGGCATTCATGTGGACCATGGGGGCTCTAGTTGAGGCATTTCTGCCTCTTTCCCACAATCCGGAGTTTTGAGGCGCATTACTTTTCGAAATTTGAGGCACCGCTAGGGGTTTCATACAATTCTCAGATGTAGATTTTTGGTGTGGTACACGTCACTTATGGCATCGCGCTGTAGGCATTCGACCGGCCTGCAGATACTCTATGAATCACTTATTACTACGTATTAGTTTCCCTGCATTACACTAATGCATGATTCCTACTACAGCACGCAGATTGTATCAGCGATAGGTGGCACTACCTTGACTACAATTAACGCTGAAGCTTTTGTTTCGTTTAATTATTTTGCGGCTGCGCCAATATAAGTCACTAGCGAGTGTTATGCCAGTTTGACCCATGTTACTGCTGTCTTATCGCTTGCATTCGATTCCATTGAATCTTCTAGTCCTAATAATGCTTTACTGTAGGATAAGTAGTATTTGGCCGGACACCCGACCCTATGCTAAGCTTGCCACCTCGCTGTAGCCAATCAGTGATTTTTCTTATCATTTGAGGCTTAATGACCTATTATCATCCAATCGTCGCTCATTAGGGTTAGGTTTATTCCGTTCCAACTTATTTCTGGAATCCGGAATTTCCTGCTTCGTGCAAATTAGTAACCATACAAAACTAAAGATGTTTCTCGTTCTTACTAGATAAGCGCAATACCTGCTGGATGTAGCCACATTCAGACTTGCCCAAGACTGACAGCGAGCTTCTCGTGGTCTCGACAACCGTCGCTGGAAGGTCAAGACCGACTCCAACACGCAAAACGCTGTAGATCGCTTCTGTGGCGAGTAAACGAAAGGCAGAATAAGCTTAGTAGATAGCTAAGATGATCATCGAACTTCCGAGTTTTGCAAAATCCTGTAGTCTCTACTGGATCTCGCTACGCATTGGTCGTCTCGATCGTCCACGTTGGGCTGCCTCGCCGCCACCTCTACTTCAGCGTCTTCTCCTGCTCCCGCTCGGACTGCGCGGCACAGTACAGCACCCGGGTGTGTATGGTGCCTAGACCAGCGTCTCGTATAGTCCAGCCCACTCCGCGCGCGCCTGTTCCTCCTCTGTGACTTGTCCTCATGCCCCCCCCCACCGACCCTCCTGCACGTACAGCCCCTTGACCTTGTGCTCCAGCTGTGCCAGCAGCTCCTGCTCTTGGCGGGAAGGCGCCATCTCGATAGAAAGCTTCCTTGACCTTGCTCTCGAACTTCACTTGCTTCTTCGTCGTAACTGTTGTAATGCGATGCGGGTCGCGTCATCGCTCCGACCTCGCTGCTCACCGCGCTCACCGCCTTCGCCGGCACCGTCTCCTTCGTCTCGGGCGGCGGACGTCGCTTGGAGCGGGTGACACTGACGTCCGAACTGATAGCAGCAGCAGCGCCGACGGCACCCGCGGCCAGGCCGTTCACTTTTTGCTGCCGTCGAGAGCAACTTGACGTCACGGTTGTGTCCCTCGTCACCTCCGTGGCCCTCCGTCGGCCGCACTTCACTCAACGCGCAGCCCCGCTTGTCACCGTATGCGCCTCGAGCTTCTCCGTCTCCTCTTCCTTCTCACATGCCTACTCCTTGCCCGGCACCACCGCCCCGTGCGCGCACTACTCCTGCAGCGCCTTCTGCCTCACATCGCGCTCGCTATGCGCTGCTTGCGCATCGGTATCTACCGCGTCGCCTCCATGGCGTACAGCTCGGCCTCGACGGACAGGCTCCTAGGGCCGCACGGCGTCACTCAGCACCTCGAAGCGACTGAGCATCCACCCGTCGCGCCCGCCTCCTCCTTATGCTCGCGCGGTCACGTCCAGCTCGCCCGCCGGAGCGTCTCCTGCCGGCACTGTGCTCTGCGGTTGTTAACCTATTGCGAGAGCGTTACCCGAACTACATGGCTGACAGCAAGCGAATCGCCAAGATTTGCGAGAAGATGGCAGCAGCCATCGACGAGCGAAATCTGCTTGCCGGTGTGCAGAGCGGGGAGGCTCCTGGCTGTACGCTGAGCGGTCTGCGCACTCTAGTCCAGGAATTTGCAGTTGCGGGGGTTGGATCTGGGTTTAAAAGTTTGCATGACTCGGCTATTCTAACACTAATGTGGCACACGTTTGGCCGTGCAATAGATACTTGCTTTGCGAGAAAGTTCCAACTCTCCATCGCCTCGTCGGGCGAGCTGTTCCTACATGTGGCGCGCATCAAGACATCGGTCGTCCAGGGGATCTCTGTCTACAAGTCAGCAGTTCACTGGGAGCAGTGCATGTTTCATGCACTGGGCATGATGTTCGTGGGGGCGTCAGAACCGTCAAGCTACATCTTTCCCCTGGTGCCCCACGCTGAATCGTCTGAGCTACCAGGGGAGAAAACCTACAGTCAAGACGAGGCGATCATGTACTGGAACAATTTAGAAGACAAGCCCAGCTCCAAAGAAGAACCAACTGCAAAAAGAGTGCGCGGTCGCCCAAATGTACCCAAATACATTAACGACGTCATTACGGAGATGACTGAGCGCGTTTCTAAGGCTAGCGCACCGCTGCCGCCGGCCATGACTGCTGGGCTATCAAGCCATTCTCTGCGACGCGTCTCAGCTGCGTACGCCAACGCGTCGCCTAAGCTAGCCATCCAGTCGATATCGACGCGCGGGGCCTGGCTGCTGGACTCGCTGACGAAGGCTTTTGCCTACGTCGGCACTACGACCCGCGAAGGCCAAGAGCGTCGGGAAAGTGCTGGCTGGCTACAACGACCCTCATCTTCCGTGCGCGACGCCGTCGATCCAGACGCTGCAAAAGGTCTTGCCTGCGCTTGAGTACGCGCGGCTGCTGTCGCTCAAGACCCAGCTCTTCAGGACTGTGAGTGGCTTCACCGACGTGACGCTCAACGTCGACAATCTAGTGCTGGACGCTGTGATGGCTTCGCTGCTCATACATCTGGAGGAGGTATCCGCAGCGGTCGCGAAGGAGCAGGCTTCCACCGACTACACGTCACACTATCTCTACCGTTTCCACATCGCCCTCGACACCACCAACACCGCTCTCGGCTCTGGGTTGACGCTGGCGACATGCATCGGGTGGGGACACCAGCTTCGAGCCGCCTGGGAGACGGAGAACTTTTCCCAACTCGGTGGGAGCTGTGGCGGCGACACGGCTGTCCTGGCGTCGGCTGTGACCCAGATGCTGTCCTCTATTGCTGCGATGCAGCGGACCTTGGCGAAGCTGGTAGCGATGCAGGAGAAGAGGGACGTGCAAGCTGGACGGACCCAGGCACCAAGTGAGAGCTCCACGCCGCCAACTGCCCTGGTGGCAACAAACAGCAGCAGCGTCATCGTGGAGGCGCACACGCTTGCCGGTTGCTTCTACAAGTGGTATGTCCTACAACTTTGGAACACAGCAACAAACAAAAAGCATCAATTTGCTCGAGCAGATCTCAAGGCATGCATTAACATCATGTTAATTGCGTCAGGTACCCACATCTCAATACCTGCTCAGCCGCTGGACCGTGATGGGCGTATCGTATCGCCTCTGGAAGCAGACACTGTGGACGCTTGCCGAGGAGCTGGACAAGAAGACGAATCAAGCGCTAGGGCTCCTGGACAACAAGGGTCGTTGCAAGCCTGCTGGATCGCTTCGGAAACGCTGGCGCAAGCTGCGCGCGGAGAATGGTGCTGCGTTCGACGCTATCTGCTCGGCCTACATCTTGCGCAAAGGGAACGGTGGTATCGTTGATCATTGCACCCCTGATAGTCACCTGTGGCAAGCAAAAGACTTCAAGTAAGAGGTTAGCGGTACAAAGGTTAGCTTAGTTAACACCACAGTACATATCTTTCATGTGAAACTGGCAGCTGGAATTGATCCAGCATGCTCCCAGCTAATGCAGGGGCGCCTTTCCAATCGGCCATACCAGTACAACGTGGATACATCGCGAAAACAGCTTCAAACACACGCGCAGTGTCCGCACGGGTGCTCTCAACGAAGGCAGCCAGGCACCGCGGTCACACGCACCTTTAGCTCTCTAAACCGGCAGCATAACGCCCGCCCACCCGGGTCTAGAGAGATCATTCGAGTGTCCATGTCCAGCAGCCAGCGTATCCGGCTCGTTCGCGGTCGTAGTTGGGATGGCGGGGCGCGGGCGTTCTTCCTCTGTGTCGGGTGAGCTTCTATTTGGCGGCGGCGAAAAGAGAATGCCACGCGGCGGGGCGCAAGTAAGAAAAACCTCGAGGTTTTACCCTGATTGGGAACGGATAATCTAGGCATACTCTGGTCAAGTCATTGGGAACACAGCCATATGATTGGCTCGATGGGTTTTGGACTGAGCTTGGGAACTCGTCGATTATTGTTATCCAATACGTTTTTTTCTATTGAAAAAAGCTTCAAGTCCAAATGTATCCATCTAGAGTTTTGAGACACCCTCCGATATCTTGAATGAGGTATTCAGTGTTTTTTCTACACACATTGCCACATCTAGAGGACCCCTGCCCATGATACTTATACAACCTCTCTTTAGCAAAACACGAAGCTGATGGCTCCTATAAATACTGACTCCATATCTCCCTTGTGTATCAGAATTACTCCAGCTGTAGTGTAATTTACACGGCTGGTTTTGGGTAGTTCATGACCTATGATCAATTGGCCAGCCATGGTTCCATTTACCAACACGTGTATGATCGTGCTCGAGCGGATTAAGTGGTAGCTGCCCCGCACGAATGCCTGACCCCAATCGGACCTTTCCTAGGACAAACGACAACTACAAATCCAAATCTACTACCAAATCCTACCTTTTTTGGGTCCTAGTTTAACCCGTATTAGGCCTTAGGACTGAAGTCCTACTGTAACCAGACGCTCGCCCGCCAGTGTATTTTTTAGATGCACTGTAATAAATAAATTATTTAAAATATTTATTTTAAAATAATAATTGGTACATTAACAGTAATTGGCGGATTCCGGACCGGAATCCGGAAACCTGTCAAACCTGCAATAGAGACACACTGGCGAAACATAAAATCACTTGTGCCAATCAGCGCCCACTTATTCATTCCGGACGGGAATGTAAAGGGCTAAAATTCGTACTTATATGAAATATGTAAATCCTCTCTACTTGTTCTCCCTCATTCGGCGTTCTTCGAGGTAGCCACGCGGCGCGGCGCGCGCAGCACGACGGACAGCTCGACGGACAGCACGCACACATGCGCAGGCGGAGGCACGACAGCTACGGCGCGCGCGCGGCAGCACGACAGGCAGCGGCGCGGGGGACTCGGAGTGCGCGCGGCAGCACGGCGAACAGCGGCGCGGCGGACTCGGGGCGCGCGCGGCAGCACGGCGGACAACGACACAGCAGCAGATCGACGGAGGCAAGAATGCGGCCAGCATGGAGTGAGCAGCGGTGTGGTGGCGGTGGCGGCAGCGGACAGCGACAGCGTGGCGGACAGTGGCGACGCAGACAGCTGTGGATCTCCGGAGGTAGGTCGTCTTACTCTCCACGCCCCCGTATCTCAGCGGCAGAGCGGGAAGCTATGCCTCCAGGTCGCTGGTTCGACTCCAGCCGGGGGCAATCGTGCTCTGTGTGTTGCTTGTGCTTTGTGCGTACTTGTAGGCGAGCACTAAGCCAGATCCGAAGCCCCCCATTGGCGCGATGCGGGCGTACAAGCGTCCACAACAGCGCCGCTGGCTTTGAGCGCTAAATATTGGGTACCAATCGTGCGGTATGCGTCGGGATGCGAGGTACGCAGCTAGCGCCAGCGCTTGCGTAACGAAGACGCTTTGCGTGTAGGTTTCTTTTGGTCGAAGGAGTGCAGCCGCGCGTTGACGGTGGAGTCCATGGCCAAGGCAAGCGTCCAAATCTCGTCTTTCCAGTGCTGGTAAGCCGCGACGTCGGATCGACTGGGCTGCTTTGGTATCTGGAATGGCGCTTGGTAAAGTATTGTCATGATGTTGATCGCAGCCTTTGCCTCTGCTCGTTTGTTCTGCTCTTTCTTACCCTTAACGCTTTCCCAGATGTGGTTAGTATACCCGTTGAGCAGCGATCCCTCGAGCGTCGACGCTGTTGTAGGCGATGGAGCTGAGAGCTCGACGGCAGTAGTGAATGAAGCGCTGGCGGCAGGAGGTGGAGCGTCGCCAGAACCAAGAGGCAGCCGGGTGTGCGCATCTTCAAGCCGGCCGAGCCGCTCGTTGATGCTCACCAATTGCGTGAGCATGTTCTCCAGCGTCGAGGACAGCAGCGAGTCACCGCCAGCAGCAGCGTTACCGAGCTGCGCGTGGTTTGTAGTTTGCCAGTGATCTCGCAGATGCTTACCCCACTCACAACATGTGCGCGTTGTTATACAGGAGCCTAAGCGTGAGTTTACAGCCGTGATGCCCTGGCTCAGCTCGCAGACATAGCGAGTGACAAGCACGTTAGACCCAGCGCTCTCCGTGGCTTCGAGGACGGACTCGTGGTGCATCAAGAGGGAGGCGAACGTCGCATCGACCACGTCCAACGTGATGTTAAATCGAGGATAGTGAAAGCCAAGGACATGGCGGTAAAGATTCCAGCAGCCACACGCCTCGAGTTGATATCCACTGGATCGCCAGCTTCGGCGATGCGTTCGCGTAAGCAGCTGCACCGCGGCGAAGAGAATGGCTGGTCATCCCCGAAGTGATACGTTGGCTCGCCGAAGGCGGCATCGCCTTCAAGGTATCCCCAATGATCTCGGTAATGTAACTTGCTACGTTTGGCCGCTTTCTCTCTCGTTTCTGCGGGGGTTCGGCCCCTCCTTCGTCTTCTTTCTGCAGTCTTTCCCAGTACATGATGGCGTCTTCCTGAGAATAAGACTGGCCTCCAGGAAGGTCTGACTCAGCAAAGCGTGGGGCCACGGGGAAGAGGTGCTCAGGGGCTCATCGTAGCATATGAACAACAGGCCAAACGCGTGAAGCATGCACTGCTGCCAGCGCTCGGTGACTTATAAATTGACACGCCCTGTACAACCGAGGTCTTAATCCGGGCGATATGCAGGAAAAGCTCTCCAGAGGCGGCAATTGAAAGTTGTTGCTTGCGTGTTAAGCATGTATCGATAGCCCGCCCAAATGTATGCCACATCATTGTCAAAAGCGCAGCATCATGCACACACTTTAGACCAGTTGTCACATCGGCATGAGTCACGAGAAATTCCACTAGTCCACACAAATCATCAATTGTACACCCTGGGGCGTCATTCGTTTGAACGATGGCGCGAAGATTGCGTTCCTCAATGTGACTTGCCATCTTGTCCCTGATTTTTGCGATCCTCTTGGAGTCGGTTAGCGACGTAGTGTAGCGCTCTCGTAGGAGATTGACGACTTGTGAGAAGTAGCCAAGAGCTGTTGCCTTCGCCAGTTATTCGTCGGCAGCACGGGCTCTGTTACTTTTTTGAGTTATGAAGATTGAAAAAGCTGTTAGCAATGAATAAAAGTTTTGAGTAGGTAGACAAGCATCATCGCTATGCGCTCTATGTATATCATCGAGCGAAGCCTTAGTCAGGCTTATGGAGATAAGAAATTCCTCGAAAAGCTTCTCGGCAGCTAGCTCCTGGCTGATCGTGCCAGCTGGAGTGTCGTGTAGGAAAACACGAGTTTACGAGTCCTCGCCCTATCAACCGAAGTCTCTAGGACGAGCCCTACCAACAACACACGCCGTCTCCGAAGATTCGGCGATAGATTGTCGGGATAATAAACCTGAAGACCAGGTCCGATCCCTTATACGGGCTGGAATGTGCCTCCCTGTGTGTTGCGGGTCAGGTAGGTTTACCCTTCGTTAAAATATAAGAGCACCCTTAGCCACGAGCCACGGCTAGGATGCAATGTGTAATACGTGCTTTCGCACTAAACTTCTGTGGTCCCTCAGAAAGGAAGGGTACCAGGCCAATCGAAGCCTCTTACAGGGGCGCCGGGGCGAAGCCTCGGCTAGAAGTCAAATACACTGGGGGGGGGGGTCCTTGCCTCACACCCAGTCAAACGTACAACTGTACACAGAGGTCTCTAATACCGCCCAACACTCGGCCACCTACTCACTCTTGGCCTTACCAGGATGAACACTCGGTCAATGCACCTTATGCTCACCGGCAGACATACCCCGTGCAGCCGAGTGTATCCAGACCCTACGCTAAGCTTAGCGACTTACCGTAGACGGACTTGACCCTTGTGTGGCTTGGGGGAAAAATTCTGCTCTGTTTAATGGTTTAGAGGCTGTCAGGCCTCCCCTATAGCTAATCCCTAAGGTCTATACAAATATCAAGTGTGGACCGAGCTTTCGAGTTGATCCTACAACCGGACGAAACTTCGTCCTAAATCCGAACTCCTACTGGGCATAAAGTGTACCCACTATGAAACTTCGGAGCCTCGGCAGGCGGTTTATTTTGACCCGCCGAGATCCTCCTGTCACTCCGTAGTCTCTATCAATCTTCTGGGCACTAAAGCACGAGGAATGTGACCGACCAATCAGAGCCCACGGTCAGCCATCTCTCGCAAGCTCAAGGCAGTTAGACCTCGACCGGAACTCGCCCGGCCGCAGTCATTTCCCGATCTCACAGAGTGTCAAGCCCGCGTGATGCCCTCCGCATCGTGGCTGTTGCGGGAGATCGAGAATGAGCACGAGCTCAGCTATAATCTATTTCAAAACCATCGCAAGCTATCGGACCTTTAAGTTGCCTGTCTTTCTGGCAAGCAGTGCTATTATCGGATAAGTTGCACTTTATACAAATGTTTGTATCCTCTCTTATTAGATAATTCCTCGCGATTCCGAGCAATTCCGGAAATAAGCTGGGACACACTTAACCTACCCCTAATACTCTGTGATTGGGTATAATTCACTGTAGCCCTTGCGTACACGTTGCCGATTGGGCCATGCCCCTGTAGTCTCTGTATGAGGGGTGGGATGTCCGGCCAAAATACTCTTATCCTACAGTATGTAGAGCAAATTTTTAGATAATACTGGGATAGCAGTATTAACCGAAATACACAAGAAAACATATAAAGTACACACAACCAGATGGTATACAAAGATGAAATCATTTGATTGAATCTGATTGGCTGGTTTGCTCATGTTAAGCTTTGTTTGACTTCGTCTGCCGGCTTTTTGTGTCTGTCGGCTTTGTATGGCTGCTGGACAGATGAACACCACCCGCTCAAAGTTAACGCAGCTGGTACACGTAATTGGTAGAATGGTACATCGAAACTTAGCCGAAAGTGAACGATACTCAAGTTGAAGTGCACCCTGGATACCGGTATTCATCTCGTAGGCGCCGAGAATTCGCAGATATATTCACAGAGTGATCTGTGTACTTAAGTTGTGAAAGAGAAGTGTTCATTCTTCAAATAGGGCTAAACAACGCAAGCCTGCTGCTACACGTATGACTTTTGATCCCATTATCCTTTCAATGGGGTAAGTATCCATCTCCAGAGAGCGACTGGTGCGCTGCAGGTGTGGCGCGCCGAAGTCGCTTGCAATGCGGGTTAGACAAGTTTAGACGAGCTATCCCAGTCCACGCGAAGCCCTGCTGTAGTCATATGTACCGGTACAATGTTTGTCCGTACTACAAACATCAAGAGCAGGTGTGTTAGGCGAGACATGAATAGCTTTAACCCCCCCCCGCACTCGCGAGGTTTTTCGGTCCCTGGCTTTGATCAATATACACCATGTTAAAGCTGTATACTACATGTTAAAGTATGCGTATTTGATCTAACTATTGCCTTCCGTAAGTACGACACATTTCTATAACCTGCGGGAAACTGGTTGACACAGACAGACGCACATGTTGTCTAAGACACCCTCCGATGGGTAGCTAAATTTCAACAGGGTGTATATACTACAACTTGCAGTGTCCTTTTTATTGATCGTGAACAAAAATCAAACACAAGGGCGGGTCTATGCCGGAAGTATCCTATGATTGCATCCCAACATACCAGGCTATGCATGCCTTGAAAACAAAAAAAAACGCTTACCTAGCTAGCAATCAAGTGACACGTCTTACCAACCGCGGGCTAATGGCGTCTTAGCATTATTATAGCGCACGTCCTGCTCGGTTTTATTGGATTGGGCCACCTCACCAGGCTGCACTCTCTCTAAGGGGTGCATATTAGTACTTACATGCGCAATATAACCCTTACATAGCAAAATATAGTGTCTACGGTGTTCATTCTTTTCAGCTTACCTCTTCATATACATACCCTGGTATATCGGACGAGATTCATCTTGCATTTCGAGCCACTATGCACAATCATGTATCATATCCTGTCTGATCTGATCGGAGTACCCAGGGCATAGTAGGGGTAGCACTGTCTCATACGCATGATGGGGAGAGCGGTTCCTGTTAGCAATCTGTAAGCAATCAAATAATCAGTCTAATCCACCATTCTCTGCAATTACTACTCGTTCTTTGTGCATATTTTCACCTACATATGTGCATTTGACGCAGAAAAAGACGTGCTGTTCCTTTTCATAACATGTAGTCATATACAACGTATGAGTGCGGGGGGGGTTAAGCTTTGCTAAGCGCGGTTTTTGTCATGTAGCCTTGCAGCGGGAAGTCTTGGATTCCAAGTTGGAAGGTCTTTGTTTCGTCGGGATGGATGAGCCCACGCAATCAAGTTTACTCTCTTGTGAGTGATCTGCAAAAGCTTCCCGGAAGCGAATTCACAGCGTACCGTAGATACATTAAACTCCCAAATACTTGTCGCAATCTTCCTGCTCTGTGTGAGCGGAAGATGTGATTTGGTAGTACTTAGGCAGAGGAAGTCCTTGGTTCTTGGTACACGCAAACTGTATTTGTCGTATTACGGTACTTGTTGATCTGTGTAGGTGCCCGAGATTGCCTCCCGAGGCCACCTATGTGGTTGATCCACGTCTGCTTGGTCGGAGCAGAATTTGACTTTTATTCCTTGGTTTAGATTCCGGAATGAGCCCAGCGGCCATTCCTGCTGATAACGTTCTGCTAGCCGTACTATCTTAAACATGCATCCCTACTCGCAACAACTACACTGGTCACTAAGCTAATTCTCGCTCTGTTCTTTTGGTCAGTGACTGACTCTTGCTCGCGAGCTCCTGCAGAAGCTCGTGACATTCCGTCCCCGAAGAGAAGTCCTCCGCGTGTTCGTTCTTCGTGGTAGCGAGTGATCAGGTCGCCCACGAACTTCAAATTGGACAGAGGTTCCCACGTAGTCTTGCTTGTCCCGGTCCACTTGACCTCGTAGTAGTCCTTGCCTTTGATGCGCTTGTGCCCGACGATGTCGTCAACTAACTCTCCTTCGGTACCATCTGGCAGCTGCACTTTGAATGGTTTTTGCTCTCGCGATGTGCTGCGCACGTAGAGCTTGAGATAGCTGGTGTGAAACACGGGGTGGAATTTGACCCTTTTTGGCAGCTTCAACTCGTAGTAGTCATGCCCGAGCCGGCTGAGGATTGCGTATGGTCCAATCCAACGAGCCCCCAATTTCGCTTTCGTTGTCCCAGCATGCTAATTTGCGAGGTTATCGGTTGACAGCAGTACTTCCTCCCCGACCTCAAAAGATTGCACGGGTCTGTTGTCGTTGTAATAGTCGCTCATGCGTGCTGCAGCTATCTGCGCACGGTAGCTAGTTGGTTGATCCGCCTGTTGCTCGAGGAACGTCTTCCCCAGAGCACGGCGTTGTCGTTCCGCCCCTGTTGCACGAGGTGGCGCTAGCAGACTTGCCGGTGTCGACGGCAGATAACCCAAATCGGCTTCGAAGGGTGCCATACCAATCGACTGCTGGTATCTGGAGTTGTAGGCGAACTCTGCCAGGGAGAGGTAGCAATCCCAATCGGTCGACGCGCCATTAGAAAATGCGCGCAAAAAGCTCTCGATAGTTTGGTTGAGACGCTCAGTAACACCGTTCGCTTGGTGCCGAAAAGCGCTCGTCAATTTTTGTAGAGTCCCCAGCATGCTGCATAGAGTTGTCCACACAGTAGCAGTGAACTTTGGGTCTCTGTCCGACAGAATCTCCATTGGAATACCATGCTGCACGAAAATGCGGTCACGGTACAATTCAGCAACTTCACGCGCTGTAGCAGTACCTTTACATGCCACAAAATGCGCACGCTTCGTGAGCTGGTCAACGACCACGAGCACAGAGTCGAATTTGTCACGATTCGCTGGAAGTGACACAATAAAGTCCATAGCCACGTGGATCCAACGCCCTTGAGCGATAGGTTGGCTCTGCAACAATCCTGGCGGCTTCGTGTTCCTAGCTTTGGTTCGTTGGCACGTCTCGCAAGACTTCACATAGGCGCGAACACTCCTCACCATGTGCCGCCAATATTAGTGAGCCTCCACCAATCGGACTGTCCGATCGATTCCGGGATGTCCGTACACCTCAACATCGTGAAACTCGAACAGAATTGCGTTTATTAATTCGTCAATAGCAGGTACCACCAGCCGGGGTGCTTCATCGGTCGGCCCGCAGTACATCAACTACTTCCCATCAAGGGAATAGCGATCAACGAACTTGAGTTTCTCCGTCGTAGCCAGCGCATCTCCTTTCAACGCGCGTACAATCATCGCAGTGTGAGGCATCCATATATCGCTCAGTGACTTCCTCAACCAGCGAAATCATGCCCTTCTTAACCCGCGAGTGCACCTCAGAAGCCGCGATAATGGCATTAAGCGACTGTTGTTCCTGAAAATCCGCGCGCCTCGAGATGCTGTCGGCGACAGTATTCGATGGGCCGAGTATGTACTTAAACGTGACTGGATACTCGCTCAGTTCATCGTACCAGCGTGCGATTCGTCGAGATACTCTTTCGCGAAAACACATTTTCGAGCGACTTGTGGTCGGTCTCCACCACAAACGGCTTGTCGAGCAAGTAAATGCGCCACACGCGCAGCCCAAAGAACATTGCAAGCAGCTCTTTCTCCCTAATAGAGTAGTTTATCTCTGCACCCTTGTATTTACGACCTTGAAATGCTAGTGGGCGCTCCACGGTTTGGCCATCGTGCTCTTCCAACTGATAAACAACACATACAATCGCGAAATCACTGGCGTCCATTCGCATAAAGAACGGCTTGTTGAAGTCGCCGATAGCAAGCACCGGAGTAGACGAAATTCGTTGTTTGAGTTTATTGAAGTGTTGCACCTATTTGATTATAGTGGGATAGCAGTATTAACCGAAATACACAAGAAAACATATAAAGTACACACAACCAGATGGTATACAAAGATGAAGTCATTTGATTGAATCTGATTGGCTGGTTTGCTCATGTTAAGCTTTGTTTGACTTCGTCTGCCGGCTTTTTGTGTCTGTCGGCTTTGTATGGCTGCTGGACAGATGAACACCACCCGCTCAAAGTTAACGCAGCTGGTACACGTAATTGGTAGAATGGTACATCGAAACTTAGCCGAAAGTGAACGATACTCAAGTTGAAGTGCACCCTGGATACCGGTATTCATCTCGTAGGCGCCGAGAATTCGCAGATATATTCACAGAGTGATCTGTGTACTTAAGTTGTGAAAGAGAAGTGTTCATCTCCACTTTACACCGCCTCGCGAGGCATTGGGGCCAAGTTAACCGTGTTACAGATTAGGATATGTGCTACCGCGCTACAGGCCGGCCGAAGGCCGGGCTGCGCCCCCAATGTGCGTGGTAGCTCAATCCCTCTGCAACGCGGTCGACGTCTTGGCCCCGCTGACGATCTTGCTGGCAATCCCGGCGACCGACTCGCTGCACAGTCTTGTGTAGAGCTTGAAAGCGTCGGAAGCCCAGCGACCGTGGAATTGGATCGTGAGAGTGTCGACTCCGGCGCGGTACATGTTGGTGGCGCCGCCGGCTCTCAGTGAGTGCGTGCCGAATCGTGTCGGGTCTTCGCCCACGGCGCGGGCCGCGTCGCGGATGGCACTCGTTACGCGCGATGCGGTCACGCAGTCGGGCCGGCCGTGGCGGTTGATGAATACGGCTGCCGGGATGTCCGGTGGGAGGCCGCGACGGGCTTGAGTCAGGAGCAAGGCACCGAGGACTGGGCACAGGTGGCGGTGCCCGGAGCGCGTGAGCATGCGGACCGTTGGTGCGCCATTCTGGTTTGTCTTGGAGCCGCTGAGTTGGATCCGCACTGCGGACGCCGACTCGGGGTCTTCGGTTGTGGTGCCGTCGATGTCGACCACGGCTATTTCGCCGCCTTTGAGGGCGAACCAGCGGAAGCTCGAGGATGTGACAGCTATGATCTCGGACCGCCGGAGTAAGAAGAAGAAGGACAGGCACAGAACCCCCCATAGAGCTTGGTCCGCGGGGTTGAGGAGGTCGAGCGTTGAGAAGCATGCCTCCAGCATTGCGATGGACGCGGGGGACCTCTGGCCGCTGAAGGCGCAATCGACGATGAATTCTGAAATGTGCCGGAGCTGGGTGGTCAAGGGGAGATCGGGGCTCCAGACGACGCCCTGGCGGGCGCTCCATCGGGACCAGCGCTTGAACGCTCGCGCGTAGGCGTTGAAGGAAGAGTCGGCGATGGAGTGCTCGCGCAGATGTTGTGCCCGGCGGCTTCGAGGGCTGGGATCCCGGCTGGCTGGACCTGGTACCAGTCGCAGGTTAGTTCGTCAAACAGTCGCGCGTACGATTCGGCCAGCCAGTACCGGGAACCGGCGTCGGCGGCTGTGTTCTCCAACCCCGGGATATGTGAGGCTGACAGCCGGAGTCCGTACTAGTGCTCCCATAGACAGAGGAGCCGGATCAAGAGCTGCGCCCGTTGGTTCTTAGACGACATTTTCGCCTGCCACGCGATCGCGGATGTGTTGTCTGTCCGGAAGTGGATGTGCAGTGGACTTGCCTTGGGTTGGGATCGCTGCCACGCTGGGCCCCATGTCTGGACGGCGAAGGCGCATGCTAGGAGCTCGCGGTAGTTGATGTCGAAATGGTTGTTGGCCCCGCCGTTGAACGCTTGGACCAGGGTCTGCTCTTCGACGGAGAACTGGTAGGTGAGAGCCAGTTTAGACTTTGGAACGAGGGCGCAGATCCCGGCATCCGATGCGTCTGTGATAACCGTGATGTCTGGCTCTGGTAGCGAATTGAAATATTCCAGCGGAACTCCGTTCAGCGCTGGCGAGTTGAGAATGTACCGCCACCACGTGAGGTCATCGCGCATTGGACTCGTGATCTTGACACGAGCGCATCGGTGCAGGGCTCGCTCACCGAGGCGAAGCCGTTGGAGAAACGCCTGGGCGGGGTGCACGCAGGTTGCAACGTGTCGAAGGGAGCCGAGCAAGGAGCGAAATTCTTGGCGCGTGAGTGTGGCAGCTTGACAGGCGTGGCCGATCATCCGCTGGGCCTTCGCGATTTTCGTTGTGGGCATCGCGACAGTGGAGGCCTTGGTGTCAAAGACTAACCCGAGTACTTTTTGGCGGGTGCTCCAATCCGTGAATTTCTTGTCATTGACGGCGGCTGGGCCCATGACCGCCGTCATCGCGAAGCGTAGTGAACGTTCGACGGTTGCGCACCGTGACTCGATGTCGGACACCACGTTGACATGGTCGTCGACCCAGTGGTAGTTGTAGAAGCCCGTCGGCAGGTCGTCGGTGCTGGTGGATCCGTGGATGTAGGCGACAGCTCCACCCAAAACGCTGTAAGTGCCGGCAGACCCTGTCCAGCCGAAAGCTGCGGCCAAGTCGAGGATGATGGCGTTGTCTTCCGGAAGGTATCCTGCGAACATGTAGACACTTTCGCTGTGGGTGTGCGCGTTGCGGTATGCGGATGCGACGTCCCCAGCCATGACGAGTACATCGCGATCAGGATCTTCGAGTTGGCAGCGGGTGATCTCCCGGGCCACACTGGAGCAGTGCTCGAACGTTGGGTCGGGCACATCGACCGTGTCGGTGTGTGAATTGACCGAGGCGCCGTCAGGATGAGAGAGATCGTGAATTGTCCGGCCGGAGGTACGCGGGTCTTCATCGCCTTTGGCGACGACACCGAACGGGCTGGTAAAGATCTCTGGCCATATCTTGATGATGTCGGCGTCCACGACGAGGCAGCGCATGAGGTCCTGCTCCCGTCGGATGTTGGCCCGCAGGACGTTGATTCGAGCGGAGGCGGACGGATGGTTGCGCGGAAACCGCGACTGACGGAGAAGCGGTTTGGTAAGCCGGACGCGTACTCCTTCGGCGGCGATCTTCAGTAGTGCGTCCAGGTGCTTGTACCCTTTGCAGTGGTGGGCGAGGACGGCCAGAACCAAGGCCTTGTTGGGGCGGTAATCGGCCGCGGTTTGGCCGCGCACCAGCTCCACAAATTCGGGCAGCGATGGACGGACGCGGCGAATGTATTCTGACATCGCCGCCGGCAGCGGTTTGTTCAGGATTGGAGGGTTCGTCTCAGCTGCCTGCCGTGGCGGCAATTTCAACCCGACGGCCCGGAACGTGGATGCGAGCGAGGTATATCGGATCGAGTCCCATAGGCGGGCGCGCGCGGCGCCGTTGGCGTGTGCAGCTTGCAGTTCGGCCTCAGATGGAGCTTGGCGGAGTCTGAGGAGGGGATGGTGCGACGTCGGCGCGCTGCCGTTTCCGTCGATGCGCGTGTGCGGCTCCGTTAGTGGAGCAGCCCCACCGATCACGGCGGGCTGGGCGGCTCGGTTCGCCTCCGCAGGAGGGGGTTGGGTCATAATATCGCGCTCTGTTGATGAGTGCGGCTGGTTCCGGGCCTGGTGGCCGTGCTCGTCTCGGCCTACGGAACAATCGACAACGGCAAGCTGCGGGACGTGTGTCCTGCGGGTCGCATTGGCGAGCGTACGTGGATGTGGTGTCGGCCGATTGGCCCCTTCGATGGCATACTGCGGGTCGATGGCCCGGCAGCTCTCATCGGCACTGGCCAAGGAAGGCTGTGACGCAGAACACCCCTCGGAGGCATCCAGCGGGCTCGATGCCCGGTTGGTCTCACCGGCACGGGCGTGGGATTGTTGTTGCGCTGTCGCGTCGCCTTTGGTGGCAAGCTTCCGGAGAGCGACCTGGCGGTTCGCAGTGGCGAGTGTATGGGGCGCGTTAGCTGTCGGCGTGGCCCTTCCGAGCGCGTCCGGCGCGTTGCTGGCATCGCTTAGGGGCTGAATGGGCAGCCGAATGCGTCGCTTTCCTGGCGGCGCGCGCTCAGCTGGTGCCTGGAGCGTGGCTTGAACAGGGCTATTTGTTGGCGCGCCGGTCGCGTTGACGAGGCTGGAACCTGGAGCGAGGACATGCATACTTGCCGCAGGAATGGATTCACTACTCAGTAAGTTGAAGCCGGATGTATTGGTATTGTTACTGAGCTGACTCCGGGGCGCCGGTGAACCGGCGGCGCCTCGGCACCTTCATGACCGGCGCGCGCGAGGGATCCTGCGGCCGCCGAACCGCTGCGTGATGAAGGCAGTGAGAGCATCAGGTAACGCGGACGGCCACACGTGGGTGCGGCCCGGGGCGGTGCATGTGGAGCGTGATCCGCCGGCGCACATGCCGCCGCCGAAGAACTTCAAGCAGGGCTCGATCTCGTCGGCGTCGCGGGGGATCAATCGGCGAATATGCTCGGGGATGCCAGCCGGTCGCTCCGACATGGCGCGCGGGCGAGCAGGAGCCGGGGCCGACGGCGGTCGAGCGTTGCGGGCGTGCATGGGGGCAGCGTGTCGAGCGGGAGCTTGAGCCAGTTCGGCCAGCGCCAAGGACCAGGCGACTGAGCTGAACCCGATTTGTGCGGCGGTCGTGGAAAATTCCCGCCACCAGTACGGCGAGTCGGACGCCAGCGGGGCGAAGGCGTCGCCCAGGAACCGGTCGACTTCGTCCAGTGTGCGCTCGACACGGTCCGCGGAGTGTGCAGGGTCCGCATCCATGTTGGCTGTCACAAACTCGCGGACCCGGTACATGACGCGGGCCATGGGCTCGTGCCAGTGTGCGTTCGCGAACGACGTCAGACCTTGCACGGCGCTGAGGAGATCAAAGTACGACGTGCAGCTGGGGACGGCGCGCGGGGAAATGTTGCTACTGAAGTCCATGTTGAAGTTGGCGTCGGTTGACCCGGCGCGCAGGCGCGCGGTCCGGTCGACACGCTTGCAGTGCATGATCGATAGTCCGTGCCGGCAGAACCTAGCGCTGTACGCCTCTATGGCGATGGCCGGGGCACTGTTGAATGTGAACTCTTGGCGCACGCGCAGTACGTAGCTCATGGGGGTTCATGGGCTCCCTCCGGCGATGTGAGGTACGGGATCAACCGATGTGCAGCCGGGTCGTGTGTATGAAATCCCCGCAGACCCGCTGGGGTGGCGGCTGGAAGTGAGCGGCTCAAAGGTTGCGCGTCGCCGGCGGCGGGAGCGCCCCTCTCACGTTCGGCAGTGTCCACGACAAGGAGTCCGCGGCGTACTCGGGCGGGGCCATGGTCGGCGCTGCCCGCGCGGGTGCGGCTGCGTGGACGCCGGTCGCATGGTGGTGCTGGCCTCGCAGGAAAACCAGCAGCTCGGAAAGCACCTCAGCCAAGGCGGGGTTTGATGGTGGAGGCTCGTGCGTTAACTGGGCTATCTGAGGCTCGAAGTTGGCCTGGTGTGCTGTCCCTGATGGCGGAGGGCTTGCCGCTGGTGCCGCCGCTGGGGCTGCCTGTGGCCCCTTATGGAACCGGCCGAGGAAAGTGGGCAAGTCGAAGGGCTCCCGTGCGAGGGCCGGGTCCCGCACGGACCGCGACCTGCCGCTGGCAGTGGGCGCCGCCGGTAGTGGGAGGCGGTCTGGAGTTCTTGCGTCGTCCGTCGAGGGTGGCGCCGCTGACGGAGCAGGGAGCAGCGACGCGGACATGGATCGCGGGATCACTGGGTGGCCGGGGTCCGCGTCGGAGTCGCTGTCCGAGTCCACCGAGAGGATCACTGGAGCTGCCGCCGCCAGGTGCTCGGTCGCGGGCTGCGCAGGTGGCGTCATGGACACGGGTGTCGCACTTGCAAGCGCTGTGTGGGCGGCTGCCGCCGGCGGCGCCGACACATACACCGCGGCCGTTGCCGCGGGCTTCTTCTTCGCCAGCCGCTTGGGGGTCGATGCTGTCTTCGCCTTCACCTTCCTCATCGACTTCTTCGGGGCCGCCGGGGCGCTGCTTGATGGCGCCGCTGGCACCGCTGCCGACGGCCCATCCGACATTGCTGGCGCTCGGGGTGAGGGCCGTGTCGAACGTGGCGTCGCTGGAGCGCCCGCGGGAGGAGCTGTGGCCGTGCCCGCCGAATTGCCGGGCGAAGCAGGAGTCGACGGGTCCGATGAGGTGGCTGGTTGCGGCGCCGTCGCCGGGTCTGCTGCAGCCTGTCCTGCCGAGGATGCCGCCGCCAAGGAAGCCGGGGCTGCCGTTGTCGCCGCTGGGCCTGCCGCCGTTGCTGCCGCTGGGTCCGTGGAGCTCGCCACCGTCGTCGTCGCCGCTGCCGTGACCGGTGTCGGGATGGCCGCCGCTGCCGGAGGGGGGCTCCCTTCTTGCCGTAGGATCAGCCGCTTCTTCTGACGGCGGATGTCAAGGGCGTCCGCATGGGGGCGTCGCTTGGTGGCGATCCTGGTGCTGGCCCGCGGTGGGGAGAGCTGGCGCCGCCGTCGATGCGTCGTCGGTGGCGTGGGGCCGTGAGCGAAGCCGGGGCGGTAGTACCGACAGCGGGTGCCGGGCTGGACGAGAGCGGTGGTGGCGCATTGGATGGCGTGTCGGGCGCGGACGGGGGCGGGGGCGAGGAAGAGGACGACATCGCGGGGGTTGGACTCCTGGGCTGCTTGCGCTTCTGCTCGCTCGGGCGGAGGACGCGGAATGGGGGCCTGCTGGCCGCGCCCCTGTGCTGCCGGGGGGGTTCGTCGCCCTGTGCCAGCGCCTTGCTGCGGACGCCTTGCGCCAGCGCCTTGTCCGCGCGGCTCCAAACGTGGAAAGCTCCGTTTCACTCGAAACGCCGATTCTTCAAACAGGGCTAAACAACGCAAGCCTGCTGCTACACGTATGACCTTTGATCCCACTATCCTTTCAATGGGGTAAGTATCCATGTCCAGAGAGCAACTGGTGCGCCGCAGGTGCGGCGCGCCGAAGTCGCTTGCAATGCGGGTTAGACAAGTTTACACGAGCTATCCCAGCCCACGCGAAGCCCTGCTGTAGTCATATGTACCGGTACAATGTTTGTCCGTACTACAAACATCAAGAGCAGGTGTGTTAGGCGAGACATGAATAGCTTTAAGCTTTGCTAAGCGCGGTTTTTGTCATGTTGCCTTGCAGCGGAAAGTCTTGGATTCCAAGTTGGAAGGTCATTGTTTCGTCGGGATGGATGAGCCCACGCAATCAAATTTACTCTCTTGTGAGTGATCTGCAAAAGCTTCCTTTGGCTTCCTCGGGTACCGAGAGTACTGTGCAGCACGGCAAGCTCCCCCGATCCCGGACTCACTGAAGAGGAGAGTGGCCCTCACGGCGGGGTCTTGCACGGCCAAGCATGAAGACACATTGAAACATCTTTGGAGGGTTTCAGCTACCGTTCGCAGCACAACGCAATGGATGCAGCGCAACAGGCTCATCTTTGAAGGAGAACCAACATCGGTAGAGCAAAGTTGCGTCGAGTTCCGGGTGACGGGAGTTCGTCAGTTGAAGGCAATAGCAAGGAGGGACAAGATGAGTCCACAAACGGTTGAACAAGGCATGTTGATGGAGGACTGTATCGACAGTTTTCTATTAATCCTTGAACAACCAGGACAAGTACGGGTTAGCAGCATGCAGAATCGCCATTAGTGATGATGATGAAATCTTCTTTAGGATTTTAATGGCTATCATAGTAGTCCAAATATAATCTCTTCTACTACTACATCTGCAAAAGCTTCCCGGAAGCGGATTCACAGCGTACCGTAGATACATTGAACTCCCAAATACTGGCTGTGTAGCGCTTTCGCAGTCCCTCTCCTTTGACAGCAATTTTCGGCATCGGGGAGAACTACACACGCGCATTTATCTCCACTACACATTGTTATCATGCCGTTTTGAAGCAGGGTACGGAACCCACGGAGGAGTAGCTTTTAGCGAGTGACAGCGTGGATTTAGCGAAGCCACGCCGTGTACAGTTCGTACGTTTAATGTGTTAGTGTTGAGATTACTATGGACGGGGGCGAGCGAATGCGAGCGCGAGGCTCACTAACTGCATTCACCGGCCGCCGGTTAGGCGGGGGCGTGTCTGCGCGAGCGAGCGAACGCGAGCGCTGCAACCCGATATTTTTTTCCAGACACCGCGCCTGGCCGAGACGAGGATTTAGCGTAAGACACAAATGGGTGGGGCAGCGCAGCAGCGCTCCCCGAGCGAAGCGAGAGAGGGGCGGCCCCCCCCGAAGTGTTTCGCTAAATTGTCTGGTTCTGGATTATTCTGTAAAAAAACAAGGTTAAATAAAAAATGACTGGTTCTGCCAAATCGCGATACTTACATTTATTTCGAATATGTTTTTTTATTGAACGTGTTTGTATTCACCTTGTTTAGCAGGGATGGTGGAGGATATTAGGTAGCTTAGTCTTTTGAGTGCGTTATATCTCTGTAAATTGTTCTTCAGGGGTCTTATAGGATCCACCACCTCGATTCTTTGAAGTTTCGCTCGGTATCGACAACCAATGCCTGAATTAATGCTGTATATATGCAATACAGCAGTGCCGTTGGTACATGTATGTACCATTAAATGCCTGGGCTCGTCCCTTGAATGCCAGAACAATGTGATAGACATCGGCAAATCCCAATAGACCAGAAAAGAGCGAGCAGGTGTGTAAGCAGCATTGGGATAAAACGCGCTTCAACGCGCCAGTTACGAAGCTCACAATGCGAATTCACTTGCAATCTGCGTGCAGAAGCAACATTAGGATTCATAAGAATGGAACCTGTATTGCTACTAACTGTTTCTTGTAACTCTGCTGCCTTAGGGTAGTGTGGTACTGCTAATACTTGCGGCGACAATAAGCAAATAAAACATTCCATGCACAAAAGAAATGCACACAGCACAGTGCAGCGCGTACGCTAACGATATATATTCCAATTGTATATATCTGTCTTAAAACCAAGCTACTGTTGACGACGGTGCAGCCCAATGGAAGACCGGAGAGATGATGGCCTGGGCAAACACTCGTTCCGCATCCTCCAGACTACCCAGCAAACGCAGCATCGGTGTCAGCAGGTCTGACTGCGCTATCACACTAGACAAGAGGCTGCGATTTGGGTCCCACTCGAAGTGGGTGGATCCGCGCATAACAATCCGGCACCCCAATAGTTTGCTTACCAGCGCGGAGCCAGTCTCACTCTCGCGGTCGTTCCAGATACCTGGGAACACGTTGCGCAGCGTGCGTTCAGTGACGGTGAAGCTGGTTTTCGTGATGGCGACCAGAGAGTCCGCGCCTCTTTTGTGCAGGTCTTCAAGCTCGAGGCGAAAGTCTTGGAACCAGAATGAAGCGCGTCTCCAACTGTAGATCGCCACATCGACGCCTCGTCCCTCATTAAGAATGGCATCTTGAGCCAGTCTTGAGCGTAAGAACGACAGTTGAGCGGAAGAGAGATCTCTTGCGTGGACGGGACCGGACGACGCGGGCTGCTCTCGGAGACCGAGCTGGAACAGTCGGAAGTACTCGACAGCTACGCTCCAGACGCAGGCGTCTCCTCCTGGGACGACAGGGGTAACAATACGTCGCTGCTGTCCGAGCTGCTTGATCTGTAGCTGCAGTTTACTGGTCTCCTGCTCGAGGGCAACCATGTGGTCATGCTGCTTCTGGCGGTATCGACGCTGGTTCTGACGACGTGCTTCGCGAAGACTTTCCTGCCCCAACGCGATAAGACTCGCGACGTTTACGCTTACGCTTTGCTTGTTTGAGTTTTGGACAGTTGTTGCCGCCGTGTTGGTAGCCACCGGTTCGCGGAACGGAGACTTGCGACGCGTGACCGGCTCGACCGGGAGCTGGTAGTTGCTGTGACGGGTAGTACCTTTGAATGGGTCATTCACAGGCCTCTGTGACTGAACGCCTTCCGCTAGGCGATGCTTCTTCCACGCGGGAGTGTAGAACCCCTTGGACTCGGCTGGGCGCGGCCCCAAAGGGGCGATGCTGAACCTGGAGAGATCGGGGGCCGCCCTCGTGCGCTGCACCACGTTCCCGATCACGTCGTCGCTCCGGCACCAGTCGTTCGGAGGGTGGAGGACCGAGGCGTTCATTGTGTCGAGCGTCGCGTGCTGATTGACTCTCTCTTGATGGAAGGAATGCAGGAATGAGGAATTCAGGAGACTCGGTGCTTGTAGGCTGCCGCTGTGTCACGATTACCGATTTGACGGATCCAGCCCCAACAGTCATCATCCCCCCACAGCTGGGAGATGAGGCGCCGATTTGTCAGCCCGTAAAGTAGTGGCGCAGCGTCGAAGGGGATCAGGGTCTCCTTCGGGAATTCCCCTTAGTAGTGATACATACAACTCATACATGTACTTTGTTTACATCATTTCCTTGCTTTTGCGAGAACGCAGCCATCATTGATGACAATAAATGGCACTGAAGCGTGTTCGTTGTAAGAGCCTGTCGAAGTTGGCGGCGTGCTTCTGCATTTGCTGCTACTGTAAGGAAGAGCGACAAGTTCAAGACGGACCGCAGATAGTGGCGATTCTACGCTGCTAAACGAAATGGTATACACAATGCGTAGACTTGAAAGTGTTTCGGGAAATACAACCTATTTTAATAATATTATATATACGTAGATAATACTAGGTACAGTATTAAAATACTGAGTTGGGGTTTAAAGCCACAACAGGAAAATCGTGTGTTTATCTTTGGACTCGGTTGTTCTAGTTTTAACGAATTCGCTATTGATAACCAAGAGTTGATACCTCTCTACAGTGATATACAGACTAGAGCGTGAGAACGAGACGGGTAACAACTAATACCCGTTTTTACCGATGAGATCAGGTATTAGATTCAATGTAAAATACATAAAGTGGTGTCTGCCACATATGATTTCCTTTTAAATCCGGATATATCAGGCGTCTCGTTCTCACGCTCTAGTCTGTATAGTGTATGCCCATTTGAAGTAGGTATGGCCAGTCTGTTGTCCTGGGATCCCTGGGAGAGGGATCACTGGATCTCTTCCACATGTAATTCGCAATTGGATTGAGCTTCATGTATCAGACGCTTTAGTATAACCATCTTTATTCTTCCAAACACGATCACCCAAGGCTTGCTTGAACACCACTAGCTCCGATAGTCTATGAACAAGCCCACATATATAGGAACTCTGGTGGCGTTCCTATATCTCGCTCGTATGTAGCACGTCTTGTAACTCGAGTCATTAGCGCGCTGAAAAACTGCGGATGGCAGCGTACCGGGAAGTGGCTCGCTATATGCACTGTTGTTTGCCCTTTGGCGAGTAAAGAACGCGGGTGCATGTGCACTTTCCTTTTGCAGTGCATGTATGTACATGTACGTGTAACCCGTGGGTTACTCTGTACTGGAACAAGCATACATAATTCAAACGAATCATGAGTAAGGCAGGCAGAGCAGGTACAGCTGCTCCTTGGTACGGATTCCGTGCAAGTTGCAGCAAAGCAAAGCCCAAACCAGATCTTGAACAAAAGGTTCGGTCGTTCCAACCGTGCCTGCCGCCACTTGTGGAATCGTTCTTGCTGAATTGCCAGGGTGCTCTAGTTGAGACACTTATGCCTATTTGCCACAATCCGGAGTTTTGAGACGCATTACTTCTCGAAATTTGACTACGCTTTTTTCTATCGAAAACTGCTTCAAGTCCAAATGTATCCATCTAGAGTTTTGAGGCACCCATCAGAACCTTGAATGAGGCACTACGTGTTTTTTCTGCACACATTGCCACATCTAGAGCACCCTGTGAATTGCTACTTATATTGTGGGTTCTACTCAAAATTGGAGTGGTCGATTGGTTCAATCAACCGCCCCCGGTACTATGCTAGGTGCTGAATCCGTACTTATACGGAATGATAAGGTATTTCGGCGTTTCATAGGCGTTTTTTGGTGGGAGTCGATTCCAAATTTGGCCGGAATTCACAATACCTAATATGTGAAAACCGCTTAATGTGCCTATTTTGCTCGTAAATCGATTGATTAGCACTATTATTTATTGTGCCTTTCACTTATTCTGCCGTGATAATTCTGGCATAACCCTAATCCCTTCTCGGCTCTAATTATTGCTTTAGGCCTTGTGGTTGCTTTAATTTCTGTCGTGTTGTCGTCATATGGTTGCTGTAACGCCATTCGTCTACCTCTCTAGCCTAGAGAGGCAGACTGTGTCCTAACTGTAGGTGACAGTAACTTACTGTTAGAAGCACGCAACACCAACTGTTAGAGTGTAACGACTACCGTAAGCGCGAAAGCGATGAGAGAGATATCCCATTGAATTAGAATCGATAAAGAGACGTAAATTAGAGTGGAGTTACCAACGAGTGTAGTGCATCACGATCAAGCTCCGAACCCCCTCACATTGCCGACTTCAACCGAAAGTCCGGGGTAATGCGCGCTCCTTCAAACACCCGCGATACATCCTCCAGACTCCCAACCAGACGCAGCATCGGCGTCAGCATATCCGACTGACTCATCACGCTCGTAACGCAGCAGTACGCGCCGTCCCACTCGAACCGAGTGGAGCCGCGCATCGTGATCGTCTGGCCCTCAAGTCGCTCCGACAAGAACGACGCTGCACTACCAACCTGTCCAACGCCAGTGCTCAGATGAGGAAACACGATGCTCAGCGTTTGTTCCGTGATAGTGACGGTGAAGGTCGTGGTGGCCACCAGAGACCCCGTTGCGTCCTTCTCCAAACGCTCCAGATCCATCTCAACCCCTGCGAACCATCGCGAGACGCAGCTCCAAGTCCTCAGCATGACCTCAGCACCTCGCTCACCGTTGAACGCCACGTCCGCCGTCATCGACGCTCTTAAGAAGTTCAACTGAGCGCTGGGCTGCGCCTCCGAAGACGACGATGATACTGATACTGAGGCCTCACTGACGCCGTAACGGAAGAGTCGGAAGTACTCTGCGGCCACACGCCACGCGCTCTCTATGGCGGGGACGGCTGCGGACACCGAGCGTCGGCGCTGCTCGAGCTGCTCGATCTCGTCTCGGAGCTGCCGCGTCTCGTCCTCCAGACTGTGCATGTAGTTCTCCTTCTTCTTGCGGTACCGGATCTGCCTCTCGCGCCGGAGTTCGCGCAGCCGCAGCTTCTCTGCGGTCGCCAGCTCCGCCATGGCCACGAGTTGGTCTTGACGCGTCGTGGGCTCTGCTGCTCGGTTGTTATGCTGGGCTCCGCTGTCGTCCCGTAAGACTGTGTGCGGAGTAGGGAGACCTTTCGGTAGCTGCAGTTTTGGCTCACCAGTCGATAACATTGTGTCCCCTTGCTGCGTCCTCCACTGTCTCACGGGTAAGTTCGTTGAAGGTGTTCCCGTCTCTCCTTCTTGGTGACGTGTTCGGAACGCGCCGTGGCCTTCGTGTGGATGGTATTCTTCACATACATGAGAGCTGCGGTATCTCGAGGCGGCGGTGGAGCGCTCGACAACTCCGCCGATGACATTGTCGCTGAAGAGCTGGCTGTTGGGTGGGCGGAGGACACAGCCTTCCATAGTCACTGTCGAGCGCGCGCGCGGTGGGGGCGCTGACGGGGAAGAGCTGCTTGTTGGAGAATAGTGCATCGTTGGTCTACAAGTAGTTTGTCCGTCCGTGGATGAAGCCGTCAGTGAAGGTGATGGCTTGTTGGCGGCAGGATTTGTGGGTGTGTTCTGTGACGTGAAGTCTTCTTATCAGCTGGCTCCACGACCCGATAACGCGTCACCGATTGCGCTGAGGCTTGTCTGTAACTTCGGGGGCAAATCCTCGAGGTGAGATGCCGCAACAGCTCCCAGTCCAGCTGTAGGGGCTGCCGAAAAGTGCAGAGTCTGCACTGTTGCTGCGTTCATGTTCACGAGCGCAAGTCCCAGGCGTGGATAGCCCGGTGTTGTCACTGACAACACCCGCTCATTGTGACACAGGGGGGCTATTGCCAACTTGTCAGTACAGTGTCGACATCGTTGCACACAACCTGTGATGAACAGGTACTTTATGTACTGTAGCCCCGTGAGAAGAAGGATGTCGTCTACCCTTAGTCGAAAAGGGCCCTCGTGGCTGCATCGCATCTGCAACATGAGCTCGTACTGTACTGCACTGGTGCTGTACTATAGTCTAGACAGTACTGCCCGCTTGCCTGTACGTATCAAGGCAATTACAATGTACTCAGATTCGTCCAAAGGGTCTATATTCAACGACTCGCGTTACAGCACCTTTAATGCAACCGCACAACATCTTCCTAAAGCGCCTTTAAGCTCTACGGCGCCAATAAGCCAAAAAGAGGGGGTGCTGCAGTGTACTGGAGCAGACCCCCGCAACTTGAAAACTAGCACCGAGTTGCGGCAACGGGTCCATCCGCTGGAATGCCTGGTGGAGGACCCACCTCCGCAAAATCGCGCAGACCTGCTTTACAAGCACTCCGTGCAGGTTTGCTTGCTATGGCAACGTGTCCTCACAACAGCTCACAACGCGAACAGATGAGCCCATGACACCCGTCCCGCTTCTATCCGTCACTACAAATCCCTTATTATTCTGATCTGTGTAAAGATTTGCTTCTGTACACAGACTGTGCACAGATTGCTAGGGCGCCCTTAACTACCATTAAAGTGTAGGAGGGATGACCTCCAGGCCTGATGGCCTTGGAAATGGGCACCCCGAAGGAGTCCCTGAGGAGGCGGGGGTCCGGCTAAGTGCCTACTTACACTCCGCCGATGCAAGCTAGTGCGTTCGATAGCTCTAACATACCTCTATGAAGTAGGCAGTACCAAAAGTTTGTCCAGGTGCAGGCTTACGTGCTGCGTGGAGTCAAAGTTAGCACCCGTTGGAAAGTGCGAAGCCACAAGTGCATTTGGTCCAAGCAGCCTCAAATTCCACACAGCGCTACAAATTAACATTTCACGTATATTCTGCTGCTGTGTGTTTCTTGACATATATATTGAGGATGAATAATGCTAACGCGGCGGTATAAGCACTCTACTGTAGAAGGAACCTATACGTAGAGATCGGCGTAAAAATGGCTATTTGGTTATGATTCTCTGGCGGATGGTTGTTGGTGTAAAGGTTCATTTGAACCAAAAACACGAAGCCCTGGCTTTGCTGAAATAGTGTTTTAGTACTTTGACGTTTCAGGAGCGACCCACTGACAGAATTGCAGCTGCACAGCCACAATTGCACTTTCAAAAGTGCAATTGTGGCGCTTTTAGCGTAATTCTAGGCCTCCACCCATTTATGCACCTCGATTTATCGTAAATCTAGCAGGTGGTCGATATAAATACAGCAAATCTCGCCTCATATTGCCAAAATCATTGCAAAGCACAATACATGTACAGTATAATCAAAGGTAATCTTTGTATCTGGAGGTGATGGTTGCACCATCGGATAGTCGTTGCCAACTTGGATGCCGCCTGTGCCACCAGATCACTCAAAGCGGCAATAATGGGCAGGATTGCGTTGGTGGCTCCATCGACTCGATGGCATCGAGTAAACTGGGGGCTTCAAATCTGAGAGTCATGAATCTCGCTGCGGCAACGGCAAAGCTTAGAATGGATCCTGCTGTTTTACTCACGACACTACGATACGTAGTTGCCCAGGTTGCAGAGTTAGTTCACACCACACCTTCTAATACCGTAGAATCTACGAGCCCGAGCCCGTCTACTTCAAAAGTGGGCTCCCCCTAAAACGAGAGCCAAAAGTCACACAAAATGGGCTCCCTCATGGTAAGTACGAGATCAAGGAGCCCTGGTTCGGGCTCCCCATTGGCTCCTCCCCAAATTTAGCTTTATACCTATGACGGGCTCTTCATAGCAATATCTGATTGGCCAATTTTACCTAGACTTAAGGCGAGCAACTTCGCGTGATCGATGCGCCACGCTAGAAGATCGAGCTCAAAGATCGCCACACTAAAAGATCTCGCGCCGCTCATATGTGTACAGCCGCTCCGAGGCCACCCCAGCGTCGCCGATCGTCCTTCCTTCCCCTCAAGGAGAAGCCCTCTTTCCTATGCCTTTTCAGGTTAGAACCTGGAGATACTTCAATGACGGCCAATCATCAGCGAGATATTTAACACAGGTAAGGGGGGAGCCCTTAACGAGGGCTCACAGTTCTGGAGGGCTCCTTTCACTTAACCTATTGAACTCAAGAGCCCAGGAGCCCGAGCTCGCGACTTTTTGGGTTCACCCAAGAGCCCAGGAGCCCGGCTCTCCCCAGGGCCCGTAGAAGGTGTGGTTCACACCATGGAGCAGTAAGATTCATGTACAGCGTAAAACTTTGCTCTGTGTGCGCGCTCCTTGGAAGAGAGAGAGAGACTGCAACAATGAAAGGCGGATAGATACACTGCCAGGTGCAAGTTGCTGTCGAACCTTGTCGACGCTTGTGCTCATGCGCTACAACTACATGTGTGTACATGTACTGTACCACGTATTGGACAGCTTATCGAAGCACCTAACCTGTATGATACAGCTTATCATAGTCAAGTCTTTCACAACCTGTACAGTGGAGCCAGGATATCGCTAATGCAATAAATACAATGTACTTAAAGTGCTGTACCATTACTATAGATGCTACAACCTATCACCTCCTTCACTTGCTCGCGCGCATTTGTCCTCGGTACGGGGTGAGAGAGATCAGAGACTTCTCGAACACGCGGGAGACGTCCTCCAAGCTGCCGAGGATGCGGAGCGTGGGCGTCAGCATGTCCGACTCGCTAATGACACTGGTAACCCGACCGTAACCGGCGTCCCAGTCGAAGCGCGTCAAGCCGCGCATGGTAATGCGCTGCCCCAGGAGCTTCTTGGCCAGCGGGAGTCCGTCTCGTCCTCTTTGACTGCGAGCTTCGGGCGTGCAAAGGTGCGGAAATACCGTCATAAGCGAGCGCTCCGTAATAGTGAAGCTCGTGGTGATAGAGGCGATGAGTGAGTCCGGGCCTCCCTTCTTCAAGCCGTTGAGTTCGATCTCTACGTCGAGGAACCACAGCGTAAAGTACTTCCAGTTCCTCATGATGGACTCGACGCCTCGCCCCGCGTTGAAGAGCACGTCGGGGGCCATGGTGGCGCGCAGGAAATCCAGTTGAGCACATGGTTGGATCTCCTGAGTCTGTCGAGCCGGCATCGGCTCGCGGAGCCCGTAGCGGAATAGTCGGAAGTACTCGACCACCACGTTCCAGAGCGTCTTCTCTGTGGGCACCGCCTCGGCGATGGAACGACGGCGTTGTTCGAGCTTCTCGATCTGCTGCTGGAGCTGGCGCGTCTCCTCCTCAAGGGTGTTGGCGTAGTCGTCCTTCTTCTTCCTGTACCGGATCTGTCGGAGCCGACGGATCTCGCGCTGGTGATCCCTCTGGGAATTGGCCCACTCGATCATGGCCGCCTTCTGCTGCTCGCCCCCCTTGAACTGAGGCTCCGGCTTTGAGTACAGGGCGGCTCCGCTGCTGGAGACAGCAAGCAGCATGAGCTTGTTGGACGCGGGAAGCGACGTGGGCTCCTGGCGCTTCCTCTTCCTATCGGTCGGGGAGAACTGGCCGTCTACTGCCGCTGCGGTGGTGCCCTCGGGCGACACGCAGCGTCTATCCCAGGCCGCGGTCGTCGTCGCGTACGCGGCGTTGTTGCGCTCGGTGCGCTGCACCACGCCGCCGATGACGTTGTCCCGCAGGACGCGGGTCGCGGGCGGGCGGAGGACGCACGAGTTCCTTTGCATGGTTCGCGTCGGTCTCACGCAAATGAGTGAGTGTGTGGCTTGACTTGTCCTGCGGGTGCTGCTATTCGCGGAATGAGGAGCGAGCGTGCGCAGTGATTGCAGACGAGTGGATGGTGCTGGGACACGAACGTCGACCCATCCGGAAGGCGGCGCAGCAGATGGGGAAAACGTCAAAAGATGTATGAATTTGAAACGTTTTGTCAAAAGCGGTTAACTCGTGTCATTAGGTGTATGCTAGGTTGTCGGTATGACAGTATGTGTATGTGGTTCCAAGCGCACTAAGGTGCATGATAAAGCTGCATCAGCAACGAATGCGGTGACTGGCGTGTGCTTAGATCCAAATCCATAAAACCCGGGGTTAGGGGGGAAGGCTTCTACCTGATGCAACTAGCCCGGTTCGTGGTGTCCATGACTTTGATAGCGAATTGTACGGCTGAGGGACTACAATGAACGTCGTTATCCATTGTAGCCAGGCCTCAGCGTTGCCACAGTTCTACAATACCACCACTCTCCCCCGGTTGGGGGCTCTCACTAGAGCTCCTTCACCTCCGAAATTTAGATGCAAAACCTACCTAGTATAGCCATGCTATATACGCTTGCGGTTTGCGTTGGTAGTTCATCGTAGCTACAATAGCGAAGTTGTCGAGTACAGTTGACCGTGTTCGCTACGAGCGTGTCGTTAATAAACTACTGTGCTTGGAAGCTCGATCCTGGGTCTGTATGACCCGACCTCGGCCGAAATACCGCGGCAACCAAAACGTGTGCCAGTACGTGTATGATGAGACATGACGCGACGTGACGCCCACGACCACTACACCTATTAACAAACGTTTTCCCAACGCATACGCCTTTTGACGTTTTCCCCAGCAGATGACTTGAGGGGTTTCCCAAGCGATTGGGAGCGCGAAGACTATTTGGCGGAATTGCAGCGTTCCGAGTACACTGTACAGCACACCTTCTACGAGACCGAGCCCGTCTACTTCAAAAGTGGGCTCCCCCTAAAACGAGAGCCAAAAGTCGCACAAAATGGGCTCCCTCATGGTAAGTACGAGATCAAGGAGCCCTGGTTCGGGCTCCCCATTGGCTCCCCTCCAGGGCTCCCCAAATTTAGCTTTATACCTATGACGGGCTCCCCATTGGCTCCCCTCCAGGGCTCCCCAAATTTAGCTTTATACCTATGACGGGCTCTTCATAGTAATATCTGATTGGCCAATTTTACCTAGACTTAAGGCGAGCAACTTCGCGTGATCGATGCGCCACGCTAGAAGATCGAGCTCAAAGATCGCCACACTAAAAGATCTCGCGCCGCTCATATGTGTACAGCCGCTCCGAGGCCACCCCAGCGTCGCCGATCGTCCTTCCTTCCCCTCAAGGAGAAGCCCTCTTTCCTATGCCTTTTCAGGTTAGAACCTGGAGATACTTCAATGACGGCCAATCATCAGCGAGATATTTAACACAGGTAAGGGGGGAGCCCTTAACGAGGGCTCACAGTTCTGGAGGGCTCCTTTCACTTAACCTATTGAACTCAAGAGCCCAGGAGCCCGAGCTCGCGACTTTTTGGGTTCACCCAAGAGCCCAGGAGCCCGGCGCTCGTAGAAGGTGTGCCCTAGACTAGACCATCCTCAAAGCTCCAGCTCTCCTGTCGCGTGGCTGATGAGCATGCTAAGGACTCGGATGGGCACGGCTCGGCGGCTGCATTCGGTGCGAGCTCGCGTTCTATGCAAGCATTACGAAGCCCGATTCGCCTCGTCATCATTGCTTGCAGTGCAGCAGCTGGCGTCGTCTATCGCGTTGATTGCGTCCGTGGGGCCGTGCGCGTCGTGCGGCACTTGAGGTTAGAGGAGCACCTCTTCTCTCACTTTACAACGCCATCGACTTAGTCCAAGTGACTCAGCGTGACCTTCACACTGACCGACATGAATAGCTGCGTACTCCGGCCGCACAACAGCCAGCGACTGAGTGACGATGTCATTGGAGTCGTGTCACGCGCACGTCAAGCCGAACGTTACTCCGTCGCCGACCTAAACGCAAACACAAACGCTAACGCTAATGCTAACCCAATGCAGTCGAGCTACACTCCTCAAACCATTCTACCGTCAACGTCTGGGCTAATCTCACCAATGGATAGAAAGAGGGTGAGGGACGAACCCACGATGCCTGCGGAGACGCAGCTGAAGCGCAGACACTACAAGCAGCACGAAGATGTGATTAAGGACGTCATCTCGGAGCAGGACCGACTGCGAGAGCTGCGCCGACTGCGGCAGATCCGCTACCGGAAGAAGAAAGCGGAGTATGCCAACACCCTCGACGCGGAGAACAAGCAGCTCCAAGAAGAGATCGACACGCTCGAGCAACGTCGTCGCAGCTTTGCGGCCGCCGTCCCCGCTAAAGAGAACGTCTGGAGCGTGGCGGCCGAGTACTTCCGCCTCTTCCGCTACGGGTTCCAAACCGCGGCGGCGTCATCGACTTCGACGCAGCCATCGATGCAGCAGGACTTCCTGAGAAACTGTATGACGGCGGATGTCGTGTTCAACGCTGGGCGCGGCCCGGAGGCGATGGCCAAGAGCTGGAAGTGTCTGTCATTGTGGTTCCAAGCCGTCGAGTTCGAGCTCGAAGGCTTGCAGAAGGGGGTCGACGGGTCGCTCGAGGCCGCCACGATAACCAGTGTCACTATCACCGACCGCACCCTTCGCAACGTATTCCCCCATCTGCCCAGCGACAGCGCACTCAGAGCGAAGTTGCTCGACCAGCGCCTTGTGATGCGCGGCTCGATGCGCTTCGAGTGGGATCCCGCTTTCGGTCGCGTGTGTTGCTTAGTGGCTCAGTCCAACATGCTAGCGCCGATGCTGCGTCTGTTAGGGGGCTGGGATGATGTCTCGAAAGTGTTTGAGAGGGCCCTGATCTCTCCCGACTTCCAGTGGAGGGCAAATGCATGAAAACCGTTGGAAGACTAAATGACTAATACTTAAGTAACTGGAAGATTATTTTCATGTCCGTATTCCGACATGACAAAGATTTCGATCTGGCCCTCCCCAATAGACCACTGGCTGAAAACGTGAAGTATTCGCGAGTTATTACTGTGGAACTTTGATATCAGTGCTATTTCCTGGACAATTCTGGCTGTTGTGAACACTTGAGTTATGGCAATATTTCGACATAATTATTCTAAACAGTGACATTTTCGACTCTAACTCAGTCACCTTCAGTGCAACTGACGTGCATCAGCACATGCCAGAAAAACGGAATAAATATGAACTATTTCGCAAAATCTCCGGCTGAACTTAGTGATACGCATCCTATAATACAATAGTTCGCTAAATGTTAGTGCGGTCACTCGAAATTATTCAAGCCTTGGGCCCAGTCGGCATGTTCTAGTCGTTTGTGTTGAATTCGTTATCATGAAAAACCTGGGGTTTGATAGCGTCGCGCATGCTGTCGACCTCCAGAAGAAGTATTGTGCCTTTCGGTCATTTTGCCGAGTCCTACGTAGGACTTTGGAGGTCAGTTAATCTGAGGTTGGTGGTCTCTAAATCTGAGATGCAAATCTCGGACGAGTTCGATGAGTGGTCTCCTGGAGTCTCTGCGTTCAATGGACTCCGGTTGGAGTCCAAGTCAAGCAATCTTTGTTTGGGGAAGCATGCAATGCCGGAACCCGCGAAGGCGAATGGCGACGACTGGAGTGTTTAACGTATCGACTGCATCGTGTTTTCATAGGTTTATTCTGCGTTTGACATACACCGTATTAGAGTCAGCTCGTATGAAAGTCCTGCCACAAGACTTGGTAGGAGTCCTTCGTAAGACCTCAAACCCCGGATGCCGTGAAAATGGGCGACATTCGGGCTTTCGGCTGTTTGTAGGATCTGCGCAAGTGCTTCCATCGGACTAGCAATTCTTGGTCCTAATTCCCTGCTAATCTGCTCCGATAACCTAGCCCCATCTTAGTAGGCAGCTGTTTTACACAATAAATGGTCACACAACTGATGGACAAATCCTTTCAATTATATATGTTTAGGAGGCTGGATGTGTTTTCACAATCCTTACAAGCCTACGGCATGAGGCGGAGCTGTGATTTGTTCCGAGACAGATATTTATTCGAATAGACTCTTGTAGTGTGCCCTACATCCACTATTTTAGATAATACACAAATCTATAGAAAATTTACCTGAACTTGGTTTAAAGTAGAACTTTTGCAAGACTGAGCATCATCCGCTAAGACAGACTTTTTGCGACTGTTAACTAATGCAATAATCAAGATAGTCCCGGTGCATCAAATCGTACATATGCAAACAGGATAAGCGACGTCAATTGTAGCGACGTAACAACGATGTAGCATGACAGTGTGAACAGCGCTAACTGCGAGCTTGGTTGCTGCATGCACAAGGTTTCGACGCCAAGCAAACCCCACAAGGTTGTTTGAGTAGGTGGCAGGCAAGGTGCGGCCAATGGACCCGTTAGCTCATGTGTTTATCTGGGTACCGGTCAACATACAGCGCCTTCAGGCTCAGCTTCAGCAGAAAAGTGGGTCATCCCTCCCACAATAATTTAGACCATAGAAAAAGCTAACCCTAATAACTCTCTAAACTCACGCGCAGTCTCTCTTATAGTTTTCGTTATACTTATAAGCACACGAAGACGATCTACCGATGCACTGCAGCGCTCCGCCATTATGCTGGCCACAGTACTTCGATGTACTTCTTCCTACGAAGTACTACTACGTAGTATCTGAGTAGTTAAAGTTACTAGCAATATTCGCCAAAGCTTTGTCAAAACCCCGCTTGCCTTTTCACAGGTTCGTGTGATTTTAAGCTTGAAACCTTAAAAGGTTTCAAGTCGCGGTACCGTACAGTAGAGCTTGAACAACTTCACTTGGTCCTTCTTGTTGAGGTTCAGCAGGTCCCTGACCCACTTGTATTGGTTGGTGCGAATTCTCAACGAGTTCGCGAATGCAGCGTACTACTAATTGGCGAATTCTTCTAGTTTATAGTTTCCCCCGAACGGTGGCATCCTTCAGCAGCTCCTTTACTGTACTCGTAGCCATCTTTTCCGTGAACCCCCCTCTCTTCTCCATGCCACCATCGCTGTCCACGTTGCTGGTCTCGGCGGTACTCAGAAGCCGTTCTGTTCACGACGTCTCCAACGGCCTCGATGCGGCCCACAACGGCCCCCTGATGTCCCAAGTTGGGACTCCCAACGCATTTGAAACCGAGGCAACGTCTTAGCTTGCAGCCACTGAGGCCACGGCAACGAAGACGACGCAGAGTAGACGCATTGCTGCTCGCAGTTTGAGTTAGAACGAGGCTGGTCTTGAAACGTGCGTGCTTGGACAGAAAATTGAAAGTGAGAATGAATCACGTGAATAAAGTAGACACATGCTAACAGTTCAACGTATCCAATAGTAGGGCGCACACAGAGGAAAGCCTGGGGGGAAACTCGTCATCATTTCGTCTCCATATTCAACTGTTGCAGTTGCAAGTGTTATCAGCTCGACCGGCTTTGATTGTGGATGTCACGAGCTTCTGCAGGAGCTCGTGAGCATATTGATGAGCCTGTCACTGTTCAGAGGAACCCTGCCGGAATTTACTAAAGTACCAGTGTAGCCGTTGAGCGTAGTGGGTGCATGTTAAGATAGGCTAGCAGAAGATAGTTAGGAGGAATGACCGCTGGGCATTCCGGAATCTGAAAAGAAGGAATAAAGTCGACTTCTGCTCCGGCCAAGCAGACGTGGGCAAACCACACCGGTGACCTCGGGAGGGGATCTCGGGCACCTCGACAGCTCTACAAGTACCGTAACTCTACAAATGCAGATTTCGTGTATCAAGAGCCTCAACAAACAGCTTCCTTTGCCTAAGTGCTACCAACTCTCATCTTCCGGCTCGCACGTGAGCAGGAAGATTGCGACAGTGGAGGCACTTTGCTTACGGGGCACGATTATGAAGATGCTGGATTACGGGGCTGATGATGCAGGCAGCAAGATTACGGGGCACACTGAGGTGAATGGCTGTGGCTTCGTGCACTAGGAGAGAGCTAGTGTTGTGTACATGCATGTAGCTAGGGCTGACTTGCTTTCGAGGTTTTAACTTTCTCTCCTTAATAAACTTTCGCTCTAGAAGACAACAACTATCCGGATCTGCGCGATATCAACTGGCTTTTCATAGTAAGTACGAGTAATTCGTAATACTGTGTTATTGCATGTATATATGTCACTGTAGGTTGTAATTGTGCCTTCCCAGTTTGTATATGAAGACACTTGATGACAAGCCTACCGGCTTTCCGAATGAGCCCTACTGTACCACTGTTCGATTGTGTCTACTTTCTCACTTGCAATTTTCTTCCCAAGCGCGCGCAAGTTCCAAGCTGTAGCCAGTCCTTCTCGTTCTCACTCCAACCTACAAGCAGCAATGCGTCTAATCTACGCCGTCCTCGTTGTTGTGGCCTCACTTGCTGCTGCGACGTTGCCTTGGCGTCAACCGCGTCGGACCGCAAGGTGATCGTCCCGGGCCACATCGAGGCTGATGGAGACGCAGTGGACGGCCTGAACAATCGGCTTCTGCGAGCCACTGAGACCAACGACGTGGCGGCTGGCGGTGGCATCGAAGAGAGGAGACTCACGGAAAAGATGAGTTCAAGCACAATCAAGAAGCTGCTCAATGACGCCACCTTTCTGGAGAAGACTTTCAGGAACTGGAAGTTTGAGTCGGCTATCCGGTCACGCTGAAGCATTTCGAGGATGCCCTAGATGTGAGTACTCACAAAAACCAATGGATCCGTGCATTGCGTCCCTAAGTTACTCTTTAGACGTAAACCCGCGAGTCTTTGAACATTCGTGCAACACTCGCAACATCTCCAACCAGGCCCAGCATCGGCGTCAATAGGTCGGATCGACTAACGACGCTCGTCACGCGGCTGACCACAGCATCCCACACGAAGCGCACCGAGGTGTCCATCGAGACTCGCTGGTTCAAAATTCTGTCGGCAACCTGTGATCGTTCTTCGTTCAGACAAGGGAACAACGCGTCGATTGTTCGTTCCGTGATGGTGAAGCTGGTGGTTGCGGTGCCTACCACCGAGTTGTCCGTGTCCTTCTTGAGGCCTTGAAGCTCCACCTCGACGTCCTCAAAGCCGCCCGAGAAATGCGCCCAACTCGCTACCAGAGCTTCCGCTCCATACCCCGAGTTACTCAACACATCAGGCGACATACCAGAGCGAACGAACTCCAGCTGAACCTCTCTTGTTGCAGAATAGACCGCACCGTAGCGGAACACTCGGAAATACTCGGACGCCACCGTCCACAGCGTCTCTTTCGGTCGGACAGCGGCCAACAACGTGCGAAGCCGTTCCTCGAGCTTGCTCACCTCCAGTTGGAACCCCGGGTTGTGGCGCTCGAGGTGCTCCATCAATTCGGTCTGTTTCTGCCGGTACCTGCGATGGCGCTCGCGACGAAGTCTGCGCTGGTTGTCCCTCTCCTCGATCACGAGTTTCGCCCAGTCGGCGTCCGCTAGTCGCTCGTCTCGAGTGGGTTCGTCCACGGCTCGGCTTTGAGTTGCGCCAGACTTGAAGCGCCTCGATCTCGACAGAGGCGATGGCTGCCTCACTCTCTTGTTTCTTGTCGTTGATGCTTCGTCGTAGGCCGGATTCGGTTCCTTGTGAGCTGTCATACTGCGGTATTCGCGTGAGTCGAAGGTCTGCGACTGGAGCTGGGGCTGGTACAAGTGGGCATTGTTGTACACGGTCTTTGAGCGTGGAATCACGCCGCCGATCACTTCGTCGCTCAGATACTGGCGGTTCGGTGGTCGGGTACTGGAGGTCTGCATTGTGTGGCTCGCTGAGTGTGATGCTGGGGCGATGGATCGAGAAATGAGGAGTGATACTCAGAAGTGGGAGCTTGAATCATAGGAAGTCTACACCTACAAGCGTCACGTATACTAAAGCACTCAGCATATGCTCAGCCGCTTCTTCGGTATCACAGTATGTGTGACGCTAAGAATACGAAGAGAACAGTCGCTTTGTTTGTAGTGAACAGGAGCTGCACCTGTCTATGGAAATGCAATCATTGTTCACTTGACGGTCCACTCAATCTCACAGTTGCAGTGAACGAGATGTACATGTAATGCATGTTGTGACGCTGGAGTGATTCGCTCGTAGTCAGAAGCGTCACGCGCGTTCGTTAGGACTCGTGACATAAGCTTAACTCTTTAATTTTAACCGTCTGTTATGCCTATCAAAATGCGTGGGCTGCTTGCCGCCACTATCCCGTTGCGCGATTCAGTGAAGTACAGGACTGTAATGTAATGTATTACGTTTTCGCGTGGCCAAACCATGCTGTCGAAAAATCTGTCTATCGAGCTGGCGGCGCGGAGCTGTCGGGCCGTGTCGGTCACGGCGGTGTGACTGGAGGTCGACTCGTGTCGGACGAGGTGCTTGCGCTCGGCGACGTAGGACGCGGAATGAGCCGCGAGGTTGCTCTTGGTGCTTGACTGTCTTATCCGACAGCGGTTCATGTCGGCTGACGGCATGTCGGGTTTCGTCGTGCCTTCCTTCATCCGGAAAAATAATTATCCACTTGTTCACTTCGTTGCACCGTGGACTAATTTCACATTTCCTCGGTGCTTCCAGGCATTGGGGGATTAAAGATTTTTCATTGTGTTAATGGGCCAAAGCCAGAGGCGCTTTGGTTGATAGCAGGCATCCCGAAAAATAATATTGTTATATATATATATTCGGATACAATACTTTATTTAGGGCATCGCCGTTTGTTTTATCCGAAATTTATGTAGCCGAGTTCTAAAATTCGGTATTTTACTTCTGCTCATCCTGCTCCAACCATTAGTTGTGGTCAAACATCGCGCTCTACCAGCGTAACTTTGCCGTTAGCCCTCACTTTCAAACAAGCACCACCCAGCACGCGCATCACGACTCGACGTTAGCACCATGATCGACAATCTCCTCGCTGGCCCCGCTCCGAGGCCTACCTTCGCGCCCAGGCAGATTGCTGCCTTCTACTTCAAGCCCTGCCTGGACGAGGAGGGAGAGACGACGGGCTACTATGCCTGCAAGACCTGCGCTAGGCGCCGCAAGCACGCGCCCAAGTCAGGCTACAGCAACTTGGTGTCGCACGTGCGGGCGGCGCACCCCAACTACGAGAGCGACATGCGCGACGCTAGTGTCGCTGCGACGGGACCCTACTGCCGTGGGTCACCCAGAAGGCCTCGAACCGCTACGCGTGGCTGCGCTGGGTCGTCACGGGCAATCTACCGCTGTCTTTTTGCGAGTCCAAGGAAACGCGACAGTACGTATTTTCATATCTATTTTGGGGATATACATGTGTGCTAATGCCGTATGTTATGTAGATACACGAAGCTAAATCCCATCTCCGTGGAGACACTGACCGCCATCATGGAGGCCGTGACCAAGGCCGTGGAGACGATGATCGGCGACGCCGTGCCCGAGCGTTTTGGTCTGGTCCTTGATGGGTGGACCCACGGCACGGAGCACTACATGGCAGTGTATGGCTGCTTTGAGACGGCGACAGGCCCCCAGTACCTGCTGCTGTCCTTACCGCCCGTCATGGATGAACCTGACGACCAGCTGAGCGCTGACGGCCATCTGACGGCGATTAAAAGGTTCCTATCCTTTTTTGGTAAGTCTATCTCCGGATGTCTATTCCTGGTTGGTGACAACTGCGGAGTGAACAAGCGGCTGGCGAACCTGCTCGGTGTGCCGCTAATCGGCTGTGCCAGCCACCGCCTGAACTTGGCGGTGCGAGACTACTTGGAGCCCCACGACAGCATCCTTGAAGAGGTCCAGCAGCTTATGCGTAAGTTGCGGACTTTAAAGCAAGCAGCCAAGTTGCGGTAAGTACTCTGTTTGCTGTTTTATTTGGTTTTTGTATTGGTACTAAATTGGTCTTTGTTTTTGGGTTTTGTTCGAAATTAGTGCCAAGACCCCATTGGCCGCTGTCCTCAGACAGGACACGCGCTGGTCGTCGACCTTTTCAATGCTCAAGCGCTATTTTCGGCTCCGTCCGTTCATTTCGGCGGACGACGAGGAGCTCGCGGACTTCCTTCCGTCACGCTCAGCCCACCGCAAGCTGGATACTTTGTTGGCAAGCCTTCGGGACGTCGAGTCCGTGTCCAAGCACCTGCAGGGCGACGGCCTTACGCTGCTGGACGCTCGTGTCCTATTCGACGAGCTCCTCAAGAGCCACCCCTCCTTCGCGAAGTATCTCGGTAAGGATCATCGCTCACTCTGCGTATGATGGTATTTCTACTTAACTACTGCGTTTTATATGTTTTTATTTATGCATAGCCACCTACGCGGATATAGTCCACTCCGCCGTCTTCGAGCAGGCGGTCGTCAAGGCCCTGCTGACGGACGACGAAGTCGCTGCGCTGGAGCCGTTCAAGCGCACGCAGGCTCATGTGGAAGGCGTGGACTGCACGCCGGCGGACAAGGAAGGGCTCGCTGTGCGTGCGCTCAAGCGACGCAAGGTAGCTGCTGCGCCGGCCACGTACGAGCTGCTTAATGCGATTCCTCCTACCTCAAACATGGTTGAGAGGATCTTCAGCATTGCGCGCGCTGTGCTGCGCCATGAGCGCCACCGCCTCTCCCCCATGATGCTAGAGATGATCTTGTTCCTCAAGATCAACAGCTCGTACTGGGATGTTGCGACCGTGGAGCAGTGCCTGTAAGTAGGTACAGTCGTAACATGATTGCAGTAATTTACTGTGTCAACACTATGTCTTGCGTTATTTATTTAGTCTGCTACTCGGATGCAATGCAATACGAGCGAACGCTACGGCTTCAACTTCATCACCGCCTTCTCCTCGTCGCTTTGCGGTTCGTCGTTATTCGTCAGATGGATGCTTGGGTGCAGTGGGGTCAGGCTCGGCTTTGCGCTCGCTTGTCCGAACTTCTTGATTAAGGCTTCCGTGTATGCACGCTGACAGATGCCCAAAGTCCTCGCTCCATGTCGTACTGGATCTCGATGCCGAGAATGAAGCGCGCGCGTCCGAGGTCCTTGATCTTGAACTTCCCAGCAATCTCAGTCTTGACCGAAGTGATCACATCTTGGTCACGCGACGCAATCAGCATATCGTCAACATAGAGCCAGACTACGCACTTTTGGTCGCCTTCTCCTCGCGTGTTCACGCATGAACCTGCGTCAGTAGGCTTGAACCCCTTCGACTTGAGATGGCGGTCAATCGTCTCATTCCACTATTTATTATGGTGTCCGGCAAAAAATAGATATATATCATATTCTCGGCATGCCTGGATGATAGGCAAGGTGCCGAATGGCAGCCCCCAATATTGGCCCACTAACACGTTGAATGGCGAGATCCCCCAAGGCAATTGTCGTCGAGTGCCGAAGATGTCGAGTGCCAAGAATCGTGCTCGTGACTGGAGCCGTAGTCGTACTTGTGCTCGAAATCGTATGCGCTCGGGTTGTCGTAGCCAGAGTCGTTGCAGTAGATGTAGTCGTGGGCTGTCGTAGGCGTCGTTTGCGTGGTTAAGAAGCCGTAGTCCTGGTCGTTGTAATAGTGTAATCGTCATCGTGATCGCCGTCGAAGCTGTAGTCATGGTCGCAGTCATGGATGCTTCCACTCTGGTTGTCGTTATCATAGTCGTTGTCCTGGTCATCGATATGGACGTGATGTTGTCGTATTTGTAGTCGCTGTCGAAGTCGTAGTTCGATGTCGAAGTCGTCCCTGGCGCCGCGCACGGGAAGCTGCCCCAATCGGTAGATGCCTTTCAAATGTGCCGTGGTGACATGCGCGTTGGCAAGTTGAGCACGTTTAGCGTGCCAAAAGCCCCATGAAGAGTGTTTGGGAGGCGAGACGTGGACAAGTTGACAAGCGCGCTGCTCGTGACGATCCCGGGTGTAGTAGTAGGCTGTTTGAATATCCCGCCGATAAACTCGTAGTAGTCGAAGGCGAACGGAGCTGTGCGTACAGCACGTCGTAGGCGTCGATGGCGGGCGGGTGGTGGGCAACAGCCAAATGATCATTAACCAAATGGATTGCCGACGCCCCCCCCCGCGTCGATCATTTAGTGCGGCTCTACTGGCAATGCAGGACTCTTGCCGATGAATGTGGCGTCATCACATGGACGCACCATTATCGCTCTTTCAATAAAACCGCGGATGCACTAGCGAAGTTAGCGATGGACACCAAGGTCAGTCGCCAGGTGGGAAGCGCTGACACTGGGATACCATCGGGCTGCTGGGATGACACGCTCCGGTACACACAGATGGATCAGAATGAGTGGCAAACTCACATGGATGTCTTGTCACAACGCACGCCCAGGACCGGCCATCCTTAAGAAGAAGAGGCTGCTGTAGACAGTTAACGACGTGTATGGGCGTTAGCTGCGGATGTTGGTGATCGTTAGGACTACGCACTAAATGAACACAATATACATCACCTGCAAAATGAAAAATGTCGATGGCGGGCGGGCTGCATGCGTAGCCGCCGCTCATGTCGTAGATGTTGAGGTAGAGTTTGCCCGATTAGTCGGAAAAACAGAGCTTCACGTACAGCCCACCACTGATGTCGTAGTCGTAGTAGAGGTCAAGAGGCGAGCTGCACGTGCAGCTGACGTTGTCGTCGTCGTCGAGGGCGAACCGGACTGCATATGCAGCCCGCCGCTGAAGTCGAAGTCGTAGTCGACGGACGACACTGCACGTGCAGCTCGCCGTCAGATTCGTAGTCGTATTCGTTGATGGGAGCGAGACTTCATGTGCAGCCCTCTGCTGATGTCGTAGTCGACGTAGGCGGGCGAGTCTGCGCGTGCAGCTCTCTGTCAAGTTGGTCGTCGTAGCGGTCGAAAGCAAACGCTTTGGTCGTAAGTCCGCAGCCGAAATCGTAATTGTAGTGAATAGACGGCACCGAGATTATATGCGGTAACGGGGCTGCGAGTACAGCTCACTGCTCATGTCGTAGTCGTGGACGCCAACAGAGATTCGCAGAGGCTGCCGATGATGTAGTCGTGGAAGTCGCAACGACCGAATTTGTAGTTGTTGAAGGCCAAAGATGCACGTACAGCCCGCTGCTGATGTTGTAGTCGTAGTCGCAACAGACGGACGAGGCTGCACGTGCAGCTTGCAGCCGGATTGGTCGTCGTAGTCGAGACAACACGTACAGCTCGTAGTCGGAAGTGCGGTCGTAGTATTCGGACGAGAACAGGTTCGTAGCCATCGAAATAACAGAGCTGCACGCAGAGTCCGCTGCCGAAGTCGTAAATGTAGTACTGTAGATGGAGGACATTGAGGTGTATGCGTCGAAGCAAGTAGAGTCGCGTGTACAGCACGCTGCCCTAGTCGCAGCGTAGCAGATGGACGATAAGGAGTTGGTAGCCGCGACAGCGAACGGAACGGCACGTGCCACCCGCGGTTCAAGGCGTAGTTGTACAAGTCGAGCGAGATCGAGTTCGCAAGTGTTGAAGCAAACTGAGCTGCACGTACCGCCCGTCGCAGACGTCGTCGTTGTTGTCGTAATAGTGCTCGTTGTCGTAGTCGTAGTTAAACGGGTGAGACTGCACGTGCAGCTCGTCGCCAGATTCGGAGTTGTGGTCGCGAGCGGGGGTAGCCCGCTGGTTGAATTGCAGCTGACTGGAAACACCGAGTTCGTAGTCGTCGAATGCGAACGGAGATGCACACGGATGATGTGGTTGTAGTCACAGTAGCCGGGCAACATGAACTCTTAGGGCGTCGAAAGCAAACGGAGCGGCACGACCATCCCGATGCTCAACTTGTAGTCGTAGTGCGATAATAAGATGGTAGCCTTCGACAGCAAGCGGGACTGTGTGTCAAGCCCGCTGCCGACGTCGTAATCGTTGTCGTGAGAGTCGATCGATACCGAGTTGTAGTTGATGAAAGTGAACGGAGCCGCACGTAGAGCCCGCCGCTGATGTCGTAGTTAGTCGTAATAGACGGGCGAAACTGCACGTGTAGCTTGCTGCCGGAGTCGTAGTCGTAGTCACCGAAAGCGAACGGAACAGCACGTAAAGCCCGCTGGTGCAGTCGCAGTCATTGAAGTCGAGCGAGACCGAGTAGCCGTCGATCAAGCGGTGCTAACAGCCCGCGCTAATGGCGTTGTGCCAGATTCGCAGTCGTAGTCGTCAGAAGAGATCGGAACTGCCCCGCTGGCAGCTGATATCGTAGTCGTAGTCGTAGTAAAAACAAACAGAACTGCGCGGCCAGCCCGCTGCCGATGTTGTAGGTACTGAAGGCGAACTTACAGTTTGCCTCTGTTGTCGTAGTGGTTGCCCTTGCCGATTGTCTTGTGCGTACTGCTAGCGGATCGAGGCAGTGGTGGCGCGTTCGTAGTTGTAGAAGTCACAGCAGTAACTTTGAGCCGAAATGCCTGAGCCGTTGCTGTCCTGAGTACTGTAGTCTTGTGTTTACTGCTTGTCGTTGTCGAAATTGTTCATGAGTCTTCGGGAGCGCCGCCAATAGATGCACATGGACGAGGAGAACGTGTGGACACATCCGCCGATGACTCGGAGGATCCGACGGCGACGGGAGAGCCGGCGGCAGCCGGGCTCTGGATATACCAATGGCTGGTCAGGGAGACCCAAGTATACTGAGATCAAGTCAATCGGAGCCCGGGAGTAATCCGTCTGATGAGAGGCACCAACGAGCACAAGGAGAACAAGAAGGAAAGCAGGAGGGGAAGACTAGAGAGTAGTTTGAGAGACGATAACATTTAATCTCACTTCGGAATTTGCCCCCTCAACCAACAGAAGTAGTCATGGTCGCGGAGGCGTTGTGGAGCGCGTAGGGTCTGCTGCTCGTCGTGGAACTCCTAACTCCTGGCCGGTGGCCGCTAAATGTTGTCGGATGGGAATCGTTCTTAGGCTTAACTTTCCTAGTCGGCGGCATAAAGTGGTGCCCGCGTACGTCGGGCAAGACTGTTACTAGAATTGTGATCAATTATGACTTGACGTTTTGGAACGAATGTCGTAGCTGAGCAATTAACGGATAGCGCCAAATTGCGTACCCTTCTCGAATTGAAAACCTCATCTCAAATTTGATAGAATTTGCTCGGTATACAAAGCTACTGTACCTTCGCCAATTTGTATACCTCAACCAAACCGTATAGAACGTTGAGTACTTAAAATTTTCTTGGAACTCCAAAATTTATGTTAAGTTTAGCATGTTAACATCTTCTGATTCGCTAGGGGATGTCTTGAAATTGAAAATCACATTTTATTTTACATGTATGGATTACAAGTCTGGATATTTTGTAGGGAGCTAGTTACGTTCTGCAAAAGCCTCTGAGACGTCGTGACATTGCATGTACCAGTATTCAAACCGTGGAGACACCCAGAGTTGGTTCACAACGCCTGTCATGCCGTTAGATGCAAGCAGAACTTAGAGCCACGAAAACCATTTTTTTCTTTGGTTACCTTACGGTAATTTTGCGTAAAGTTCCAAAAATGACAAACAGTGCCGAAGACAAGTATCACTTTAATTTAAAGATAAAACAACCGGATCTTGCTTGCCATATTTGACAAAGTATCGTCGGAGCTACTTTGATAGTATACCCCCTCCAATTTGTATATCTTTCTAAATTTAACAAGTGTTCAATTCAATAGTATGCGTATACAAATCGGCGTTTTCCGTTAGATGTTGTGACGCTGTAGTGACAAAGTACAAATAGTCGACTGCTCTCTGTAAAAAAATACTTCAACTCATTATTGTTCTAATATTTGCTCCAGTACGAGTCGCGGGAGGTCTACATCTTGTCCCAACGTTGATGTAGACTGCAGCCCGGCACTTGCTTCGTCAAGACGCTTCACCAACTGTTCCAACTTGTGCCGCTCCTCCGACGTGCTCTCCTTGAACAGGTGCATGTCGCTAGCAGCCACGTTCGGGTGACGTTCCACATACTTCTTCCGAGACAGCTCCGTCACGTCCGAGATCGACTTCAGTAACGGGGTGACCACGTGTGTTGCAAGAGCGAAGTAAGGCCGCGCCTCGAATTCGCCGACGGTTTTGAACTCGCTTGAGATTCCACCATATATTATAGTCCGGCGTTGGGTGCTGGGGGGGGCTGGCGTTGCCTGTATGTGCCGCACCAACCGGACTGACTTCCGGTAGTGCCATTGTGAATTATGTTTGGTTCATCTGAGGTACGAGCCGGCGAAAACATGTTTGTTTGTTAAGTTGACCCTATCGTGTAATTCATGAATTACTACCCCGCGGATCCGTATCCATAAATCTTCACCTTCAGACTCAGGATACGTCAGTAATTCAATACGACTCACTCAACTGCTGGAGTCATAGACAGGAAGCTGTCCCATGCCTCCACCGTCTTCTTGTGCTTACGTTCCAGAAACTTACAAAACTGTTGTGGGTTCTCCACGCGGACGAACTTCTTCATCACGAGCGGGTCACCCGTCTCGGTAGCTCCTGCTTTCAACCGACTGAACACTCGATCTTTGCAGTATTCGTCGAAAACTTCCACGAAGACCTCGACCTAGACACGAAGAAAAAAATTAATCAGGTTGCTCAGACACAAGACTTACATCAATAGTGCCACACGCACCTCGTATCTTCCATCGATCGCTTGCTTTTTGTAATTGGTTACAGGGTACAAGCCAAAGAGGGGGAAGGCGCAGGAGATGCCATCGTAGTAGCCACGCATCTCGCGAGAGAGCGCAAGCCGATTGTTCGGATCTTGATCGTATTCGGCATATCCCGGCACCAAGTAGCACCACTCCGCCTTGCCATAAGGGGTGAAAAACCGCTCATCTTCGATCCGCTGACAGCGAAACTCGGCCGTCAAGTAATCCAGCAACCGGGTATCCAAGTCCAAAACCACCGACTGTTACGGGGAAGTAGTATCATCTTGCGGCGTGAACTGGTCGGCAAAAATGCGCTGAAAAGACTGCAACTTCGCAGACACCGCCTTCACGGCGCTCGTCACCTTACAGCCATTCAGGGGAGAACCAGGCAACATCCAATCCCCGTGAAGGACGGTTTCGAATCCTAACGCGTTCTCTCCTACAAACAACTCAGAGTTAGTTTATGTAAGTAATCCACCACGTATAGGACTATGCAGCAACAACATAGGAATGATCTCACTTGTATCGAACACTACGTGGATGTGCAGCGTGGCGTCTTGTTCGTACCAGAACGCTCTATCCTGTCCGTCACCCCGAAGTGCAGGATCATAGAAGCCGACACTCTGCGCCGCCGCAGCGTAAAGTCTGGCGCGAATCCCTATCATCTCGAGCGCGTTTTCGATTGCTGCCGTCACGAGCCACAGTTTCTTCGGAATTACCACCAGTACGTGAACTTGGCCCGAACGCGACTGGAAACCCGCCCCGAAGTAATCGTTGAGCACCTGCAAGGGGTGCATTTGCTCGAAAGCTTCTAGCTGTCCATCCACATCAAGTGTCAGGCGCCCGTATCCGTCGAACGCCGCTGTTGACAGTTCGGTATCAGCACTAAGCCACTCGTTGCTGCTTTTCTTCGCCAGGAAGAGCTGCAAGTCCATGGCACCGCATGTTATAGTTTCATCCTCTATCTTGACCTCTCTTCTCAAGCGCGCCACCCGCAGACTCAGGTCGATTAAGATGGATGAACAGAGCTTTGAACCGATGACCGCGAAGCCCACTTCGCCCGTCATCTTTCTCCGAAGAGGAAGGCAAGGCTAAACAAGTAGAGATTGATGGCTGAAGACACTGCCTCCCAATACATCAATCATCTGACTTTGATGCAGGTGAAACTCAGTTCGACTTCAAGCATGTTCCCGTCCAGAGCCATTTTATCCACATCACTTGGTTTTGTTGAACACGCTGGAGGTTGAGCTCGAGGAGCTGGAAAAGGATGACACCGATTCAATCATGACCACGAGCGTCACGATTAGCAAACTCACGCTGCAGAAGGTGTTCCCGCATCTGCGAGACGGTCTGTCATCGCCGGCGGAGAAACTCGTGGGACGGCGCATCGGCATGCGCGGATCGACACGCTTTATGAGTCAAGGGCGAATTCCGACATGCTGACTCCGATGCTGCGCCCGCTCGGGGGCGTCGAAGACGCGTCTTGAGTGTTCGCACACTTGCATTGGGTCCAAGACTCAGCAGGCTGGAGCTGTGTCGAGCTCCAGTTCAGGCAGTTCCTGCTCGAGCTTGAAGCTGTTGAGTTGCGCGCCGTAACGTCCTGCAACATGCCTTGCAGCAACTTTCCCACGATATTCCAGCCAATCACCTCGCGCTGCCGTTACGACGCTTTGAACAGCCACGCTAAAAAGATCGAAAATAGCGGACAGCCGGGCACTTGCTCACTTCCAGCACTCGCCGTACAGCTTCTGCTCCCAGCCAGACCGCCCAGCATGTCCGACGCCGCCACCAAGAAGCTCTCGGAGGAGATCGCGCGACTCGAGATGGACCTCAAGACGCTCGAAGCCTCCTGCACCACGTCCGAAGCGGCCAAGAAGTGAGTCCAGCGACCGTCCTTTGCTCCATAAATTCTCGATACATGCGCTTACGTTTGCGTGCTTGTCCAGAATCGCCGAATACTGCCAGAGCACGGCGGACCCGTTCCTCGGAGAGAACGACGGCGGCCCGAACCCGTGGCAGCAGAGCGGCCAAGGCGGCGGTAGCTGCACCATCCTATAGTGCTCAACAGCGTTAGGACTCGCAGCTTCTTTTCCAGCTTCTCCATCTATCTATTTGACCGCATTCGGACAAATACAACCTTGATTTCTGCTCCTCGCGATGCAAACTGGCAGTCTATATTATATACCTGAACGCCTCTCCGCTGCACGACTACTTACTGGGTGCTGCCGACTTCTTGCCGGACGGCTTGCCTCCCTTCTTGTCGGCGTTCAGAAACGCATCGCCCTTCTTGCCTTCGAAACCAGCGCGCTAGAATACACAGAAACAGCAACGTCAGTACACTTTGCTCCTTAGCTCATACAGCCAACAAGTTCTGTCTGTAGTTGACTTACCGGTCCTTTTCGGCCCTTCTTCTCGGCGGGCTTGGCGGCGTCCTTTTTGCCACGGCCAAGCGAGTTGGCCAGCTTCTTCTTCTGTCGCTCCTTCTTGGAGACCTCCAGCTTTGCAGTACGCTCCTTCCACTCCTTGGAGCTCTTCGCCTTGGCCTTCTCCTTCTTCTTCAGCTTGGCACGCAGCAGCTTCGGGTCGTCCATCACGACCTTACCCGCAGCCTGCTGAAGAGCCGTGTCCCAGCCCTTGGCCTTTGCCTTCTCCTTGCCCTCCTCCGTCTTCTTCAGCTCCTCCAGACGCTGAGCGTTGCGCTCAGCCTTCTTCAGCAGGTTTTGGATACCACGGACACTCTGGCCGTGGCGTGTCTTAGGCTTGTTGTCCTTCTCCGTGCCGTCGTCCAGCAGCAGACTACCGTACGAGATAGACGCAGCGTCTACCGTAGTCTCCGCCTGCTGCTTAGCCTGTGCCTCTCGCTCGGCCTTCGCCGCCGCCTCCTTCTCGCGCTTCTCAGCCTTGGCCTTGCTCTTGTTGACCGCCGTCTTGCGCTTCTTCAGCGCACGCTGCTCGGCCACCGCCTCGGCGCGGGACGGACGCTTCTTGCCCGTCTTCTCCTCAGCCTTACGCTGCTCGCGCATGGCCTGGATCTTGACTGCCAGACGGGCACGAAGACCCTCCAGGCCGCCCTCCTCCGTAGCCACGCTGGGCTTCACGGGCTTCACCTGCGCCTGCTGCTTCTCCTGCTGCTCGGCGGCCGCCGTGGCCTTCTGCCGCTCCTCGTTGCTCTGCTGCGCCGCCGGCGAGAACTTGGCGCGCTTCAGCAGGTTCTTCTTGCACGGCTCCTGCTGCTTCAGAGCCTGCACGTTCTGTGGACACCAACACAATACTGGGCGTCAGAATACGCTGCACACATCGTCCAGAGTTTGAGCCATTCTCGGGCATCTTCTCCAGTAGTTCTGTAACGCTATAGCAGCGCTGGGAGATCCTGTCCTGGGTGATGCCGCACCTTGTGGTACTTCTTGGGCGCCGACTTCTTCCAGTTCGCCTCGGCGTCCGTGGGGAAGTAGAAGGCCGCCGGGATGTTCTCCATAGTGTCGCAGAAGAACCGGTCGTGCGCCTGCAGCGTGCGAAGAGCCTCATCCTCGACCTGCGCGTCCTGCACGGCCGCCTGCAGCAGCCTACGCCCGAGCAGCATGGTCACCATCCAGCCAATGTCCAAATGTGTGGCGCTTTGACTGGCGCACAACCTCGGTGCCTTTCTATTGGATGAAATTTCAGAGAAGCAGGAGTGATTGTCGTTTGGTTTCCAATGAACCCTATTCGCTATTCCGCACTCGACGACACGTTGCCTCGACCGGATCGCGGGCAAGCGCTCGACGGCACGGACGAAGGCAGAATGGGGGTCTTCAGGACGCTGTGGGCATGGACCACCTTCACTACCGCCTCCTGCGCTGTATTTGTAAGTGGATCGCGGCTTTAATGAGCTTCTAAAGCGCTCTGTAGCCTCTGATACGTGTACAACGCTATCAGACCGACTAACGCTGTATTATCTCGTTGTGTGCTGCTGTATGTGAACGCTGTGATGGTGTTGCTCTGTTGTGTCTGTCTTGTAGTCCGTGTACATGGCGTACGTGGGTCGCCAGGTGCGTTGGGGGACTGGGCCAGAGGATCTCGCCTCTTGAAGTTGGTATACATAAAGTATACTTACTTGTGGTGTATACTGCTGCAACAGGTGCACCGGATCATGTACCCGACGTTCTCGGACAACCCGAACACGCTAGACCCGCTATGGGGGGAAGGCCAGCCGCTGGATGTGCTCTGCTACCTGTCGCCTCGATCGAAGTGGGACGCGGCCAGGGACTTTAGCGCGGGAGCCGTGCACGTGGGGGCCTTCAAGTCGCTCACGTTCGACTGGGACATCTCCAACTCCAGGCACCTGAACCTCAACATATCTCGCCAGACACTAGCAGAGCTGGCGAACGACAAGCGGACGGCTAATCAGCTGTGGGGCGCGCTGAAGGGCAACGCCTCCGTGTTCCTGCACGTGCACGTGACGCACGCTGGGTTTTCGCCAGACCCGAGGGACACGGAGAACTTCGACAAGTACAGAACCATCCACCAGGCTTTGAGTCTGGTGAAGTATGCACCAAGGCCTAACGCAAAGAACACAAGTTTACTGCTGGCTCCCGCTGAGCCACACGTGGGACTCAAGACGGATGCGAAGGAAGAAGAAGCTTCGACGATTTCGTATTGGAAACCCGCTGCTAGTGTGAGAATGGTGACGGACTTCACGCGGTATCCAGTGGAAGAGCTACCGGTTATGGTGTACCAGAACCTGCGCTACGTGCAGCACCCGATGGATCAGCGTTGGCGCTACTTGCCAGCGCTGTACGTGGATGATCTATCACAGACACAGGACAAGCTTGTTCCGCTGAACGCTACGATGAACGATGGTAACGGTGGAGACGTCGTCCTTCCTCTGCAGTTATCGTGGTCGCCACTGTCATTTGCGCGTTGGCAGATGCAGCTTACCTTTGCAACTGTCTTTGTTTCGCAGGAGCAAATGGGTGTGCCTTCGAGCGATTTAGATGCTCTCCGCTCGATGGTGACCGACACGCATCCTGTGCTCCTGGCTGTGACGATGAGTGTATCCCTGCTGCACCTGCTGTTCGACTGGCTGGCTTTCCGTCACGACGTGTCTTACTGGCGCGCTAAAGGAGATAATGTCGTCGGCGTTTCCCTACGCGCCATGGCAGCTGAACTGGGCTCGCAGTCCGTTGTCCTGCTATATCTTGTTGACCAGGAGTCGACGCTGCTCGTGACGGGTCCACAGTTTATCAGTGTCGTCCTGCTCGTTTGGAAAGTAACCAAGGTTTGGCGCGCTCAGCGTCGTCAGTTGGCTATCAAATCTAACGTTGATGCTGATGGAGCGTCGGAAAAGACGGAAAAGATGGACGAATACAGTCTGCGGTTGCTAGAGGAGACTCAACGAGCCGACTCCTTGGCCACATCACATATGCTGTTTATACTCGCGCCGCTGGCTGCTGGATACGCCGTCTACTCGCTTCTCTACGTGCCGCATGCTGGATTGTATGCCTGGCTACTGGAGTCGCTCACAACGACAGTTTACGCTTTGGGCTTCGTGTTCATGCTCCCGCAGCTGGTTATCAACTACCGCCTCAAATCCGTTGCCCATTTGCAGTGGCGACTGCTAGTCTACCGTGCGCTCAACACGTTCATCGACGACTTGTTCGCGTTCGTCATCAAGATGCCGACGCTGCACCGCATCTCGTGCTTCCGCGACGACATCGTGTTCGTCGTCTACCTGTATCAACGATGGATTTATCCTGTGGATACCCAGCGCCCTGGAGACGCTGCCGACGGCGCACCAGCAACGGAACCATTCTCCAAGCCCCACAGCGAATAAATCAACACTACGTGATTTTGCCAGCCCCAAAGTACTCATTGCGTTTGTCTTGCAACAATCGCACATCGCAAGTGGCGATGTCCATCGTGTTAGTCTGTTCCGGTAAGCGATGTACATGTACGAGGAAAGAGATATTTGGTGTCTGTTCACTGGATGCGATTCCAATTTCGCGACTCCTCAACCACAGATTCCGAGCGAGCAGGCGCGATCTTTCCGTGCTTCCAACAGTCTTGACCAGGATACCAGTCTTCAAATCGCCGAGTTCGCCGCAGGGCTGCAGACGCTGAGCAAGAAGTCAAGTGCACGAGCGCCAAGCTCGAAGTCGTTGGCGCAATGAAAATTGAGCTGTGTCTACTCGCGCTAGGAGGCGTCGTAGCACAGCTACCACCGGAGGGTCCTGAGAACCCCGACCTGACGCAGCCATCAGGCTCGAAGGCTGATTCGGCGGCTAGCTTTTCGGGCTCTTCAGGCGAATCTACGTGGACGACCGCCGGGTGGGCCTCGGGCTCTTCGGGAACCGGGAGCGACGCTTCCGCGGGCTACTCGAGTGGCTCCGACTGGGGGAATACCAATTGGGGCAGTGTTGGTGGGAGTGGCAGCGACTGGGACTGGTCATGGGGTGGCGACGCACGCTGGGACCCCAACAAGGAGCTCTGGCACTTTCGTCCGTCGTGGAACTGGGACTCGCCCTACCCGCCTGATGGCACGATCTACCCGCCTGATGGCACGATGTATATCGAGAACTGGGGGAACCCACCGACGCGTGAAGTTCCTTCTCGTCGGTCGTTCTACCTCGGGGCTGAGAACGGTGTGTCGCTTGCGGGGGCTACAGTGGAGGGTGGCCGTGCCGACTGCGGTTGGCGCGACTGGTGTGTTCACTTGACGTTCCACTCGTCGTATGGCGTGCTGTCGGATTTCGACGCCTTCGTGCTGGATCGTTACGACAGTGCTGACCGGATCTACGGCGATGGTTTGTGGTACGCTCTAGAGGATGAGGAAGGGTCTCCTCGAGCTTTCGCGCCGCTGGTGCTCGGTGGGTTTTCACCTGAAGAGCGTGCTGTACTCGGAAACATTTCTAGCTGGAGGGTGGAAGAGATGGCAAGGCGGTTCAACGAGAGCCGTGCCACAACGTGGACGCTGTACCCCGACTCGGACGAGATGGATGTGATCTTGAGCTTCAAGCAGCTCTACACGCTACTGCCCGGCTATCCCGATGGCAACGTGACTCGGAGCTCTCTTAACAGCGAGATCATCTCTGAATGGGGACCTGCTGATCAAGTGTTGCTTCGCGTGACAGCTAAACGTCAGGGGAGCGGTGCCACATCATCTATCATGCCGCGCGTACTCAACTTCACGGGCTCGCAGCTGTTCCAAGTCGATTATTTCTCGTCGCTTGAGTATCCGCAACACATTGGCGAAAATCTGACCGCTTCACCCAACGCGATGACGCTTGACGTCGTGTTCAGCCGACGCCGCTATGGCAGCGGACTCCCGTGGAATCCAGCCCGTCCAAGCGATGCGTGCGATGCCTGCAACCAACGAGTCATGAACCATCCGGTCGTGGCTCGATGTCTGCATGGCACCGTGCCGGAGCGTATCTTTCAAGATATCTACGAGCAGTCTGCAAGCGAGCAGATGGAATGGGATGGAGGTGAGTGGGCGCTCCATCGATCTTGAGCTACAGTCTGAACGACATGGTGGATGCGCTGGTTGCTAAGTGGGCAGACTAATGACGGCTCGTGGTCCTCGGGCTCAGGATTCCCAGATGCAGGTGATCGAAGGTCTTCATCGGGATCTGGCTATGGTGACGCAGGATTCGGATGGACCAGCCCCGGATTGGGGTCAAGCGGGGACTTCAGATACAATGACGCCAGATCTCGCTGGTCTTCTGAGCCAGTCTACCGATACGATGAGTCTGGTTCGCGTTGGTCTTCATGGGGATATCGAGACGATGGATCTGCTTCAAGATTTGGTGATGTCGCTGGTCTTCGTCCGGATCATCAGGCGGTCCAGACGTTGGGGACTGGCCTTCCGTCAGAGACTTGCGAACTGCGTTAGCGATTGCTCGCGAGACAGACGCTGGTATTCAGTGCTTTGTCGAGTCGAGGTGTCCTGTTGGGACTCGTAGCTTCGCTGAGGCAGCTGGCCGAATGGTTGTGTTGGAGCATGAAAGTGCTTTTGTACGCGTGAATTTCACTGAGCCAAGCTACACGTTTTACGTATGGATGGAGTTGGAGGGTCTTGGCCCTGAAACGGAGTTTAGGACGCCTGACCTGTCAAGTAATAACACCCCCGAGGAGATCGCTGAGTTGGTTGCTGGAGCTGTGCCCAATGCTAGTGAATATAATCTGGCTGTGGACGTGCGCAAGTTCGACAACTCGGAGCTGATTGCCTGGATAAATATGCTCAACGAGTGGATGGCCAACTACTACAAGTCGGGAGGATCCGAGTCTGAGGCATCCGCCGCCTGGGCAGCGTATTCTTCGTCAGCGGATGGCGGCAGCTCTTTTCAGTTCCCACCCGCTGGTGAAGCTTCAGGAAGTGACAATTACCTAATGTTGGGCAGCAGAGTGATAGCGTGGATGGTTCGTCTCCTGATCCTGGACAAGATGGTGGATCAGGCCGTTGGTGGTTTGGAGAGCCATTCCCAGTACCAGAGCCGTGCAGATCTCGTTCCGCAATGTCAGCGTCGTGCCAAGTATTATTGAAGTTATTGCGATTAGTGACGAGTCTATGGATGGCGATGGCAAGTCCAAGATTTCCTATGATTATCGTGGAAGTGAGCTTCGCTTCCAGCTTTCTCCACTGAACTTGACCAAGTTCGAGTATGTGCCTCCTCCGCCGTATGTGAACCTGACCTGGGACGAAAATATCCCTGACTGCCCCGATCTCTACTGGAACGGAAGCTCAATCTGGAACGGCTCTGACATTTGGAGTATCTGCAGCGAGTGTGAAGATGCATTCGCTGCCTGCGACAGTAGCATCTCCTGCAGCATTGGTGTGCGAGGTTTCTTGGAAGGGGCTCTGTCACCGAGCCGTTTTAACGCGTACGAAATGTCGACTGAGATGGACAATTACAATCGTCGGCCGTGGGGTGTCGACTTCGGACCCCAACTACGCCAGTCGGCATCATTTTTCACCGCTGAAGGCTATGACCTACTCATGAATTTCATGGTCTGTCTCAAGAAACCCGATTGCACCCTCGATTTGCCTCGGCAGGCGTACAACTATTCCCAGGGCGAATATATTACGGTGGAGCCGACACAATTGGAGGTCATTCCCGCAGAAAGCGTGTTTGTGGTGCCGACTACTACAACAGGAGACTTGGAAAACATTGTCATGAAGTTTCGAGGCAAGGAATATGTGCTCGAGTGGGCGAACTCGACTGAAGAGAAGTATGGGAGCTCCGTCCGTGCATTTGTTGCTAACGTAATGAGCGACTACAATGAAGACAGCATTTGGACGCGGAACCCGTCGCAGAACGCTTGGGTGGATGTGGACTATGAATCTGACTACTACAGAGATGGAGAATATCTCGGTCACCTTTTCAGACTTACGTTCGCAGATAACTTCTTCATCGATGCCGAGCAGCCTCGGTTTAGGCCCGTGTCTTCCGATACCTACGACGAGCTGAACTCGAGTAATTGGAAAGTGAACGCATACGCGTACCGCAACTTGTACGACGAGGGCATTTGGGATGGATATCCCTTGGTTACTTGGCGAAAGCTCGCGAATTGTCTTTCTGATCTGGGCTACAATTCTTCCGACTTCAGCAGACCTCTTGTTTACGGTGACGTCGCCGCGGAAGATATCAACATTGGCCACCAATGCTTGGATGCGTGGACGCAGTGCATTTCAAACCCATCCTGCGCAGACGCCATGCGCCAGAACGTGATCTATTCCATGTTGTACCCCATTGTGTACTCCAATGAGCCTGATCAGCGATCGTCGATGGACTTTACGGCAAGCCTAGCTTGGTGGCGAGAAAGTGCTGACCCTGAAGTGTACGCAAATGTACTTGAGTTCCTGTCGTGCCTGAGCAAGGAAGCTTGTCCTGTCGGGTACGCGTTTCCTTCGGATCCTTCGGCATCTCTTGTGCCAGTCATTACCGAGCTTGTGAGTCATTTCGCGGTGAATATGCCCTTGGACAGGGCGATAGTTGCGTACGCCAAGGGCGATTCCTTTGAGTTCGTGCCTGGCAGTACGCCAACAAGTGATATGGAAAGCTGGCTACAGGCAGCATCAAACTATACGTCCGATGTGAAGGTGCAGTCGACATTGACGAATGACAGCTGGGTCCGCTTCGAGGTCACCTACTACCCGGCAGTAGCGGCAATTCCAACCTTCTACTTTACAGACGACGATACTTTTTTGACGCTGGAGGGCTCCATGACTTTTGCGTCGCTGCAGCTCAGTTCCAATCGCGTTCAATACGGGCAAAGTATGTCTATCTCGCTGCTCGAGTCCTGGTTTTCGGCTTGACGCGGTGCCAAAACGATATGGACTGCAACGCATCGGCAAGAGATGTATTGGTTCCGCTGTTGCGCAACGCCACGCTTCCTGTCCTAACGAGCACGCAGGGCACTGGACAAACACAAGTAAGACTCGACCTCAGCTCGGTACTTTTGTCGTTGGAAAACGATGCATTCCAGTCTCGAGAGGGCTGGCTGGCTTTCGCGCACTTGCTTCGCTCCATTTCCTCATGCGGTTGTGAGGTGGGATTCGGCTATTGGGGTGGGTCGCGCTACCTCGAGCCTACTCGAGTTCGTATCGAGTCCGACTCCGTTAGCGTAAGCGTGCGGCTTTACCCGAACACCCAACTGGATGTCTGGTTCAATGGCAATATTTTCTCTTACTCACCTGATGGAGCAAGCTCACCCGATGATGCCGCTAACAATTTCCTGAACTGGTTTACAACGACGGCGAACTCGGAGCCCTTTTATCTGGTTGTGGATCATGTCGACACAACTGTCGCAGTCGGCCACGGTCACGATGAAGCTGTACGAGGTTTACGATGTGGACAGCGAAAGTCAGCCCCTCGTGAACCCCAACTGGATACCCAACTTCGTTGTTACGTCGGACGATGTATCTGTTGTGCCACCCGCTGAAGTGATCGTCACGCCATAGAAAATCTACCTTGAGTCTGTGGACCGCTATCCCGTATTTGACAGGCTTCTGGACTTGCTAGAGTACGGAGCAGTATCCGGTGAAGTGCCCTCTAGTTCGAGTGGGTCTTGGGGATCGTCCACGAATGGCAACTGGGCATGGTCAGCGAGTGGCTCCGACGCTGCAGGGGCGTTTTCTGGAGACGCGTGCGCTAGGTGTGCCGACCTCCGACAGGCCTGCTTTGATGACATGGAGTGTCAGTCAGCTATCGGTGATTATCTGCTGCCAACTCTAGAGACTATGAGCTCCTGGGACACCCCTGACGGGTTTTCGTACGATATGTCTAGCCGGATTCTGAGTAACGTTTTCGGTCAGATGCAGTCGTCGGGGCCCAAGGGGAAGTTGTTCGCGCTGCTCACCTGTAGCGCAACAGAGTGGGCCTCGACAGCAAGTCAAGAAGGAGTATTCTGTGCCCAGCTGCAGGCTCATACAGAATACCCCGACGTCAACGTGTCCCTCGAGATTATCCCGGCATTCAGCGTGTTCCCCATCAGCCAAGGCCAGGGAAGAACCATTAACACGCCCCCAGGCAATCTGCTGTATCCCGCTGGCACCCCCATGTACTACACCGACAACGGCAATGCTGCAGAGCTGGCCGACTTCTTGGAGAACCAAATTCTTGGCGGATACGACAACTCGGGCGTAAGGGTAAAGGTCTCTGCTGATTTGAACTCGGGGATGTGCAACATCATTTACGACGGGTTGACAGCCCCCTCAACGCCATATATCGAAGGCGAAGCGAGCTCTTCCACAACGCAGTTCAAGTTCTTCGGTTCGACACCTGACTTGGTGGGCATATTCAGACCGTGGATGCAGTGGCTTGACCCCACACTGTCCAAGTAAATCTCAAGCTTTTTAAGTGTTGCGTCGTGACCAAGTTGAGTGCGGAGGTGGGTAAGTTACCCATCATGTGACAATGCTACGAGGAGAAGGTAAGTAGCAGGGAGGATCTAGTTTTGCAGCATTTCATTCAATCCATTATCGTTATCTTTTCATCCACTTTCAGCTTTGTAAGCAATTGGCATTCGACTTTACAGGCAACACAAGCACTATCAACGTGTACAATGAATAGAAGGCGACATCAAAGCTGATCAGCATCCATTTCGTAGTCGGCTTCGTCCGAGCTTGAGTCCCCATCTTCGAACGAGCCGCTACTGGCGGAGCTAGGTGCCGAGAGTCGCTCAGTCAGCACCTCCTGCAGGTGGTTCACGTACTCGAAGCTTGTCTTGCAGTCCAGCGAGCAAAATCGCCCGGGGCTGCTAGCAGTTCCAGACCCAGAAGCGAAGAACAAGCGCTCGCAGTTCGTACAGTGTGCTTGTCGTTGCCGCCAAGAAGCGTCGCAGCAATCGCCCCCAACGGATTCTTCTCCTCGAGGCTGCCGAGCTGTTGTGCGCCCAAGTGCCGAGGAGATGGTCCGGTCCCTCCAGGAATGATAATGTTGGCGCTGGCGTGGCGAACGAAGTTTGGTGAAGTGGCCGTGGGTGCTGCCGACTCCGACCACGACTTGGGTCGGCTCTCTTCTGTAGGGCATTTCCGAGTGAACACCATGCGCTTGGCGAAGCTTGGGCGGCGTGGGAGTGGGAGATCTTTGGCGGGACTCGGATGGAGCTGAGGCCGGCAGTGGCTGAGCTCTTGGTTGTGTCGCTCTGGGTGTAGTGTGGTAGTCATGGCCGTAGATGTTGGTGGGCAGACCAGTGGTCGCTTCAAGGCAAAGTGAAGAATGATCACCGACGCGGGTTGATCGTACGAGGGCTTTCGCTGAAGTAACCCGCCATCTCCCCCTTGTCCCGGCAGAATACGCTGTCTGCAGACTGTCGCCGCCTCTCAAGGGGATGAAAATGCATTGTGTCTCCGAGCGAGACGAGGAGTACACCTCGCGAGTATGCGGCTCAAATATGTTCACAGCGGTATTTAGCAACACTTGCAGCGATCGTGTTGTCCAGCAATCTGCGCTCCGTGTCAGATACTGACTCACGACACTACACCTTTGCCAATCCAAGTTGGCAGTAGTGTAAGGCAAAGCCAAGAGTCCCGTAAATACGAAAAATATTTTTTTCAAAAATTTATTTTCGAGGATTAGTACAGACCAATGTGGATTTAGTCCACAGCAAACATCTAAGTTCCATACTCCATGGACTCGCTACGAATAGCAGCGGCGACAGACCTTGCGTCCGCTTACAGTACAGGTTGTAGTAGTTGGTCTCGTCATAATACACGATAAAAGCACCGTTCCGCTCATGCTTCAGCAACGCATCGTTCATTCTTTACCAAAACCTGTATGAGAGCGTCATGGCCTCGCTGAAGGCGTATCAATTTGCGCCATAATCGACCAAGCTGAGCTGAAGATGACCAATATGACTTGTCTAGCTGCAGGCTGCATTTTTTACATGTCAATTTGCTCAATACTCAATCACTTAGCCGAAGATGCCCAACCTCGTGTCTCTCGCCAAACCAACCAGCTCAACTCGACAGTGACACGAGCATTGTTCGTTTGAATTAGGCTTTCTTTACCTGCGTTGAAGCGCCCACTTCCAAGGACTTGGCACATTAACGTTTCTCATTCCGCAATTTACCCTCAAGTTAAAAGGTCAAGATCAGCGCACCATGCATCTCTCCTTCGTTCCGCTAGCTCTCTCGTCTGATCGTTAGCACACAACATAGTACTAAATGAGCACAGTATACCTTACCTGCAAACTGAATGAAATAGCTCTCTCGTTGCTGGCGTCAACGCAGCCATTGGACGCTGACCAGGGTGTTATTCCCGGGCAGCCTGCTTCGCAGCCGCAGTAGATGCCCATGTTAGTATCAACTAGAGAGTTCGGCTGGTAGTGCTCTTTTAAAATCCATAATCATTACTCCCCATCGGTAGGATAAGAAGGATGGCGCGCCTACCGGTAGCCTCAACTTTAAAACTAAATGTTGCTCGAGTGAACGCTGTTCAAACGTCCTACCGACATTCATACGAAAGAGGAGATAACAGCGAGTTTGGCATTTACTTCCGCATCGAATTTGACCAAGGTAAGATGGTAAAACCCCAAGTAGAAAATTGGGCTTTCGACAAATCTAGGCACACCACGATTTGAGAAATTTTGCCATTTAGGTCCTGAAAACGCGTCATTAATGCCCGGGATGGCAACGAATAGCGAGTAATAAGGCAGGGGTGCACTCTAGTAGCCGTGAATAGTGTTCATTGCCCCAATTGTCGAGAAACCTCTTCATTTGGCTTGAAATTACAGCTTTTGGTAGGCTTACTTTGCTCCCCAGTAACTAATGTGCACAGAAGAATCTTGCCATCATGTTTAGCTAGTTAGAGAGAGGAAATGACGTACAAGAAGGATACGAAATATTTCAAGCAGAACAATGATGCCGGTGGCAATACCTCAAAGTATTTGTCTGGGCTACCTAGTTTTACTTTTTGAACCGTCTATTCATGCTCCTGTCAGCCTCCGCAGGAGCTCGGAATACGAATCGAGCCTACATCTCATGCATTATAACTGCCTGACTACACTTCTAAACCTCTAGCGCTTTAGTTTTGCTGAGTTCGCCGCTACTCGCAGTTAGAAGCTATCATCCAAGTCTACACGGCGCAAGTGCCTTAGATCGATACACCCCCACGTCTCCGCCTGCACTTTGTACTGTCTATGATGGACATATGTCGCACTATACAAACTTTCATATTAAAACTAATCTTTACGCGCCTACTAGTAGGATTGTACCCATGCTACTGGTATGCTTTCGACCTGGGGAGAAGAGATTAAAAGAATTAAAAACAACACAACTTTGGGATTTACTCAATTGTTATCCGTTATCATCGTCCATGAAACTATTCGCCGACCTGTGTACAGACAACGACTTACAAAGCCGGCAGACACAAAAAGCCGGCAGACGAAGTCAAGCAAAGCTTAACATAAGCAAACCAGCCAATCAGATTCAATCAAATGACTTCATCTTTGTATACCATCTGGTTTTGTGTACTTTATATGCTTTCTTGTGTACTTTATGCAACACGCCGTGTGTTTTATGACAGTCTTACAGATTTGACGGGAGGGAATTTATCGTTGTTTTTATATAGGAGGATGACATTAAGCATGCCGGCTTTGTAAGTCGTTGTCTGTACCCTCCCGGAGCAACGCTCCGGGTTGCCTATTGTTCCTTTCTCGACTGAACACACTTGTGATCTTGAAGACCCGTTTGGGCCGCTTCGCACGGCACGACAGTAGTCGAAGAGGCTAATGTTGTGGAGGGAAGGGCCTTGAAAGAATGTGGTAGACTTCTGATAAAACCACGCAGCGACTCGGTCGAAGGTGTTCCAAGCACCGCACGTACAATCACCGAGAACCACCGCTTGTACTATGTAGTAGGCTGCACTACTGAACAACAGACACAGACGCTCGTTTTCAAAGACTTTTGGTTATTTTGTTAGTTTACTCTTCAACTGGTAGTAGTTGATATGCACCGATAAAAATGTACAGGCAAATATGGGGGTGCATCGCGTCACGTACTCGGTTGCATTCCATCAGATCGCTGCAGCCGTGGTGGAGTGGCAATAGGCGAGCTGATGCTGCTGTCGAGGTGGGTGCTGCATACGTCGAATATGGCTGGCACTTGCGTCCGCGTTCTCTTCGCCCTCGAGCAAAACACGAACATTCTTCAAGCGCTGTTCGAGCGCGCGCAGGAAATTGTTCACGTTCTTCTGGTCTTCTACCGCCAACGCACCGATGCGTGACCCATTCGCGCCTGGTGTATCCATGAGTAAGCTCTCTAGCAGGAGCAGTGCTTGCAGGTAGTGGTCATGCGCTGCGCGTGTTTGCCCCAAGACTTCACGAATGGCACCTTGGCGTCCAATTCTAAGCGCGTGTGCATACAACAACTCTTCTTGTGATGCGATAGGGCGGGTCGAACTCCGAAGGCGTGCAGTACGTGCCATACGCGCCTTGCATTGCTCCGCACGATCCAAAAAGTGTGTCAGCTGCTCCGATAGAAACGCCATCGACACCTTTCGACTGGTTTCGCTCCAACTGGATGGGGCCCCTGATGACGAACCAGATGATCCCATCGAGCCTCGAGACTGAGCGAAAGCTGCGTCCTGTCGTAAATACAGCACAACGTGCTGTACGAGACGAAGGCACTTCACGTACAATGCCAATGCCTCGGCAGCGCACACATACTGGCGGTCAGCGGTGCGCTTATCATCATCGTCATCATCATCGTCGCATTCGTCATCATCACCAAGCGCGTTGCTCACTCCGATTGACGAAGCTAACGACGAGCTCATCGAAAAGACGGTCGAGAAGTTGACGCCACTAGCACGCTTTCCGCCAGAGGTCGACAACGACGAGTTCTCTGCAACAGTCTGTTGTGGCGACCAGCCTTCCCCTGTCGGCTCACTTGTGTGCTCGGTCTCTGAGACAGCATCCCCAGCAGCGCTTAAAGTCCAGAGCTGATCTGCGATTGGTGCGATTGCTTGCGTACGCAGCACCACAATGTCGATGAGCTGTTGGCCGTACTCGCGAGAAAAGGTTTCTCCAGCACTCGTATTCCCACAACTGAAGGTAGACGTCCTTGTCGGCGCATCTGCTGGGGCAGTGGCATTAGGTTCGGTGCTTCCAACCTCTCCAGGGCCGACGGGTCGACCAGCAGGTCCAGCAGTGACGGATCGTTCGGATAGGCCATCTACCAGCACGTACTCACCACTGCTGTCCAACGCATGACCCCCACCAGCATTTTTCTTTGTTGGCGCCATAGCCTCCGTATTGCTTGATGGAGTGGTAGCAGGAATCTTGATACGAGACGACCCCGTGAGCGAATGGTGCTGCTGTTGAAGCGCTGCAGCTCCAGGAGGCGACTCTGGGAGCTGCTTGAATGGGTTAATCCTTGGGCTTGGACTAGGACTGGGCAGTACATGTGGGCTCATCTGCGGGCTGAGCTTTGGACTCACACCTGAACCTGCAGCAGCTCCGCTGCCACTGGATGTGGCACGACGACTGCGCGCCAGCCGTGATGACGACGACCGACGCAGAGCCCCAGATCCGGAACTCGCGCTAGCAAAGGCAGTCTCCATCACCTCCAGGTTCCCACTGCGAGATTGCCGCATCATTCCGGACGGAGCCGTACTTGCAAACCGCGAGCTTGAGGTGGACGAGTCATGAGAAACTGAGAACGCGCGAGACCGACGGTCACTTCCCGAGCCTCGACGAGGCGTGGTCGAAGGGGTTGAACTTCCAGTCTCCAGCTCGTGTTCAGCTACTGTTCTGCTGCTGCCCGCAGTTGAAAAGCCCCATCGCCCCGAAAGTCCCTGATCGTCTTCTTCCTCCTCTTCTCGAATGCTAGCAGTCGTCGACAGGTTCGACGAGCGACGCACAGCTTCAGCCTCTTCAACCTGCTCGGGTAACGGCTGCAGATCCACAAACGGATCGGAGAAAAATTCGGCAAATCCGAGTCGCAGCGCCGGCTTTCGCTGCAGCAAAGCCACCAGCAGGTGTCGACATTCTCTGGAAAGCTGCAGCGATGGCGGAAACCGCAGCGGCTGGCGCTCGATATTGGCCAGAAGCTGCACGTGGTTCGCTCCGCCGTAGGGCGGGCGGCCCGCCACCATCTCGAAGAGGATGGTGCCCACAGACCAAAGGTCGGCCTTGGCGTCGTACTTCTGGAACTTCAAGATCTCGGGCGCCATGTACAGCGGCGACCCGCACAGCGTCTCCGCCATGGACGTCGTGGCTAAGTGTCTTGCAAACCCAAAGTCCGCTGCATCAGCACCAGCATTAAAACATAATACCGTGTGTTAGTCTACAATAAAAATAATAAAATAAACAATAAGTAAAATATTCCGCACGCACCGATTTTGAGCGCCGAGGTGGGCGAGTCCTCGACGAGCAGCAGGTTCTGCGGCTTGAGGTCTCGGTGGATGAGGTTGTGCTGCCAGAGGCACTGCATGCCCTTGGCCAGCTCGCGCAGGAAGTGCCTGGCCACGTCCTCGCTCAGCAGCTTGGCGCGGTCGCCACCCTCCTGCGCGCGGCGCCGCATGTACTGCTGCAGGTCGCCGCCGGCGCAGTACTCGAGCATGAGGTACATGTGCTTGTCCGTCTTCTTGATGTCGTAGAGCTTGACGACGTTCGGGTGGTCGATCTGGCGCATGATGGCGATCTCCATCTCGAGGTTGGCCAGCAGCTTGCCGTTGAGCTTGTGCAGCGACAGCGCCTTGATGGCCACGGGCGTCTTGCTCGTCTTGTGGTAGCCCTTGTACACCACGGCGAACGAGCCGCTGCCGAGCTTGCTCGTCACCACGTACTCGCCGATGGACGCGCGCCCCGCCATGGCCTGCTCCAAGAGTGCGCAATCAAGAGTGATGGTCGCTCTCAACCCAGGCGAAGCGGAGGAAAAAACTGCGACTGAGCGAGTGCGGAATCGGTAATGTGACTGTTTTTCTCTTCTCGCCGCCATGTTGAAAGTGGTGTGGCGCACGTAACAGAGGGTAGGGCAGAACGGTCGACGCGTGGGGGGCGCCGACCAATCACACGCGCGCTGGGTGACGTCGCAGGCTGACGGAGTTTTCCTGTGGCTGCTGAGACCGACGTTGAAGCCTGGCCATCACGGCTCAGGCGTTTTCCGGCAGGCTTGACTTGCTGCAACTGCTGCAACTCGGCCATGCACTGCAAGAGGGGGAGGGAAGCAGCATGAGGAAGGCAACTAGCACGAGATGGTGCGCCAGTATTTTGTTCTCTTCTCTGTGTGTGTGAAATCTAGAACCGCCCCAAGCGGCATTTCGCTGCTCTACATACAAACACGAAGTGTGCCGCGGATAGAAACGGCGCAGTGTTGAAGTGCCGGTTTAACGGAGACTTGCCTCTAGCATCGAGCTACCGTACCGACTGGGCAATTGCCCCCATGTTCTCCGCAGAAGCAATGGTTGGCTGCCAGAAGCTCGCGGTGGATGATGGTGCCCCAGGAGGCAATGAGTGTGTCGGCTCCATGTTGGACGAAAGCGGCGCGGAAAGCGCGAGAAGCAGGTGAACGCTGCTGCGGGGCCAACGCAACGCGGACGTGAATCTGGCGCCAGATTCACGTTGCTGCTGTCGTTCCTGGCAAGCTCCCCGCGGTTATTCTCGTGGATTGTTGCTCAAGAGAGGTACAGCATGTACCAATTCAAAAATCCCATGCGGTCTGAAGGCGGTAGCGCGAAACTCGCCCGAGCGCAACAAGTTATATCACCCATACAGCAATTCTTGTTGGTGATACATGGGTTGAACACTGTTCAATGAACACTCCAAGAAAATAATAAATTCTCCATGTTAGCACCAACTCATCGATCCTATCTATTGCGTTATCCACTGGAACGTCGGGGATCCAAGGGATTTCTCAAACAATCGGGACACCAATCCCAGGCTTCCTAGCAGGTCCAACATCGGCGTCAAGAAATCCGACTCGCTGTGATGCTTGGCACACAATGGTAGACGGCGTCCCACTCAAAACGCGTCCAGCCACGTAGAATAACTCGCTGGTGTAGATGCTTGGATGTGTACGTGGGCATTTCTTCATCGCACACGTGTGGGAATACATTCCGCAGTGTTTGCTCCGTTATGATGCTGGTTGTAGTGGTGGCGAGGACGGCCTCTCCACCGGCTTTCCTTAGCTCTTCGATGTCGACCACGATGTCTTCGAACCACTGCAATAAATCTGGAGAATGTGCCCTTCTCCTCGACCAAAATTGAAGGCCACATCTGGTGCAATGTACGAGCGCATACGAGCAAACAGGTCTCTCATCGGCTTGGCTTTTGTCGAAGTCGATTGAAGGCCGTAACGAAACACGTTGAAGTACGCTCCACACGTTCTCGAGTGTCGGCACAGTGGTGCAGAGGGCGCCACGCCTCCGTTCAAGCTGTTCAACGACTCCCCTGAGACGCTTTGTGTGGCAACTCCTCTTCAGCAACCGAGACGTTGAGCTCTTCCTGCGTCACCCCGCTGCCGAAAGGAAACTCACCGGGAAGAGCGAACAAGTACGCGGAAATCGAAGCGCTTTTACTTCTCGGCGAAAAGATCCAACGGCAGCGATGGAGAGATGGCCACAGGAGATACCGGAAGAACCAGGACCACAGCATCAGAAATCTCGAGAAAGAAGTTCCTGCGAGGGTTCAATTGGGGCCATGATGCCACTCGGGTAAGGTTTTAAACAGGTCTTATGCAGGTCTGGTCCTGTTTTGATCCTACGACATCTAAACGAGACCGAACGGGAAATAAGTATGATTTCCCCGGTGGTCTCGTTTGGATGCCGAGACCCAAATGGTATCACTACGAAACACGCTAATTTTAGACCCTCTTCACTTTGATATATAATATCGTGATATTTAGTAGTAGTAGTAGATGATATAGCTTAGTATTTTGGGGCTAGTTGACTTAGAGTACTGCTGGGGATTATAATTTGGTTCACAACATGTCTGAAATTCGGTACATGTCCGTGTGGTAGACGAATATTGCATAACAACAACGGAAACGGTGTCCTAAAGGTAGAATTGGTCAATATAGGATAATTTCTAGATCAATGTATCTTCCTCGTACGTTTAGTAACGAGGACCTTTAAGTTTACGAAGCTATTACTATCGTTTGAAAAGGCGGTTGAAAAAGGTTATGCAAAGGCAACGACGACAATGGAGGGGCTAGCCACCCCTTTAGCGGCGCCCGGTAAAGCGGTAGTCGCCATTTGATCAGAGCTGGCCCCTTCATCCGATGTTTGTTATATTCAAATCACCGTTAGTTTGCTGAGAGTACTAAGTGTACCGGACTGAAGACTGGATCTCAAAATCTCGATCTAAATCGTAGTTTGGGCCATTCCAAGTTTAGACTTACAGAGGTGGTCTATGTAACAGGGTGCTACCCTTAGAACATCCCAAGATTTTTAATATTATTGCATGGTGGAACTATTCCATCAAAACTCGGCCTTATTGTCTATTTCAAATCTTCAGACTATTTATTCCCAACATCATGAGATTGTCCAGGGTTGGGAGTTGTATATCGACACTGAAAAGACAAAAACGGAAAACTTTCTATAGTGAAGGCTTCCTATAGGCTGGATTTCTGAACATTCTCAAGCACTATGCGATTGAACAGGGAGCTCCAAATTTTTCTCTAACGGTGTGAGTTTGTGTTCAATCGGATTTTTTTCTGACAACCCACCAGCTCTTCGCCTTCGCCGCCTCCACCCTACAACCCCTGCTCTGCGTCAAGTCGTGATGCCAACCACCACCGCATCAACTCCGACCTCTTCAAGCCACCGCAGCGACGGTGAATTCGACCAGCAGTGGGAATTTGGCTTCAATTCGGATCGTGGAGGAGCGTCGGTGAGCGACAGTGATGCTGACAGCGATGCTGGCTATCTCTCTCCTGTTTATGGGGATCGAGAACCCTGTTTCAGCAGTGATGGCGACAGCGATGATGAAGACTCGCCGACTGGGACTCCCCCGCGAGATATTGAAGTTGACGATGACTCGGTCTCCAGCGGTGGCTCAAGCGTGTCCCCTCAAGGGGATGTGACCAGGCTGCCCGGCGGACTTGTTCTCGGTTCTTCCCGCTATGACATGGACGACAGCGAAGCCAGCAGCAGTTTGGACGACTCTGACGCATACGACCCTGAAATGGAGACTGTTAGCAGTGAGGACGAAGGCGACGAGCGCGCAGTTCAACCTTCTGCGTCAGGGCGTCAAGGGCATGCGGGAATCGACCTCGTCGCGACAGCGCATCGCACCGTCATCCAACTCAACGGCCATCAGTACACGAAAGCCCGAGAGTCCTCGCGCAAGATTTCCTTCCGGTGCAGCTTTTACCGACGTACTCCGGGGTGCAAAGGGAAAGTCGACTACAGTTTTGCGCGAGATGTGTTCTACAATTTTACACCACACACTTGTGAAGGGACGGGCCAAGCTCCAAGCCAATACGTTGACGTCACCGAGGAAATGAAGGCCGAGGTTGATCGATTGTCGATTCTGCACCTTTCACACACGGCGCAATAGATTTGATTGGCGGTCCGCGAGCCGTTTTTGTCAGAGACGACAGCGCGGTTGTTCAAGGACTGACACTACATCAAGTCCGGCAACGTGTGTACCGCACGAGACGGGTTCATTTCGGTGGAAACGTGCATGGAATGGTCGAGGTTGCACCGCAGAGCCTGGTTCAAGGGACTACATTGAATTTTTTCCAGTTCCACCACGTCTTTATGGAGAGCGAGCGGCTACAGCGTGTGCTGGGTTGGGCGGACCCTCGACTGCTGGAGTTACTTCGGTATCTGGGCTCGCAGATGTTCGTCGACGGAACTTTCCGGTGCGTCCCGAGGTCGTTCTACCAGTGTGTCGTGTTAATGGTGAGCGACGCAGCAAGTGGCGTGTTTGTGCCTTCCGTTTACACTCTTACGACTGGCAAAACCCATCAACTATACCAAAAGTTGATGCGGTTCATGAATGACTGCACGGGTAGTCGCCTTCAACCTGGGAGTGTCGTCTGCGACTTCGAGGCAGCGCTGATCGATTCAGTGACCGACCAGTTTCCGCACGCCAGGGTCATCGGATGCTTGTTTCACTTCAAGCAAGTGATCCGACGACGCATGATGAAGTTGCGTATCCGACCCCAGGAGATCTCGATTGCGATGGAAGTCGGCGTGTTGGACATGCTAACCGTGATCGTACCTGCTCATGTCGATCCCCACGGAATCAACTATGTCTCCGAGTTGATTATGTCTCGCTGCCGTACCGAAGAGATTGAGTACTCGGCGGTTGAGTGGGATCGTTTCTGGAAGTACTTTCGTCGCACATGGATCAACATTTTTCCAGTCGATGTGTGGAATGTTTATGGCATGGATTTGGGAGTGGTAAGCCGAACCAACAACCCCCTGGAGCGGTTCAACCGGGAACTCAATGCAGCCATCTGTGACGGGGTGTCGATCCCTAAATTCGGGTGAATGCACCTGAACCTGGGAAGTCCCCATGATGTGGAGCTTGGTGATACTGGATGATTTGGAGTCTTCTATAAAAACAAGGGTAATGTCTGCGAATGGACGCTGAATCCCGGAATATAGATCAATGGGGGCGAGTTGATCCCGTTCCATGAAGTGCAACGGAATGCGAGCGATCCTCCCCAGTATATCAAAGTACGGCGGAACTCGACTCTGGCTTACAACCTGGGAGCTGAGGCACTTCTCAGATTCCCCGTTGTTTTCCCGGAATAACGATTCCCAGACTTCGCGTTCCCAGACTTACCTCCCACAAAATTCCAAGAACGACCTCGGCTTGAGGCGTTCCGAGGCTCCAAACCCAAGAACACTTGGTTTCACTATGGCATCTTCCAAGATCCTAGGTGTACCCAACAACTCCGAGAAGGTATCCAGTTTGGCGACCCTTCAAGGCCAGACCAACACTCCGCAAAAAGATCGCAGTCTCCGAAGGGTCGCTTAGGAAAGATTTCGTCTGCATGTGACCTTCAACCAAACAGAGTTCGTTTTGCTTCGAAGGGCACAAGTGCTTCTTTCACAGCCTGGAAGGCCGTTCTCCACGACAAAATTCAAAGTACTTTAGGTAAGTGATCCACTGCTTCGGCCTGGAGGTGATCATATCTATTCCATATCTGTATATTTGGCGGATTGCAGACCGTCTTTGTTGTATATTTGCGGTCTATTGGGCCTATGTCGAACTGAAGAAGTTGGCGAGAGGGTAGATCGTTTCCTCTCTCCGAGAGGTGGTGCGCGTCCCCAAGATTGATCAAGTGTCTTGGATTTGGACCAGTTGACTTGTATTTTGGCCTTAGCCTTGGGCCTAGAGAAAGAAGAGAGGGCAAAGAAGTATTTGTGTGATTGTATAACGTGTATAACTCTATTTGGGTTGGATTGTTCTAGCGTTAGCCCGGCGTAGCTGTCTGATTCACGGGGTCGATACTAACCTCCTGGTAAAAAGAACCGCTACCCAAGGGATACACATCGTGCGCCTGACCAACAGCGTGTACTGGACCACACAGACCCTGTGCCAGCCGAGACGGATCCAAAGCTCTAGTAGCCTGAGGTCTGTCAAGGAGGGCCTATAACTGTTTTCTGGGAGAAAACACCGCATCGCCTCGTCACACATCGCTGCGCCACACCCAAGCATCCTCGCTTTCGTATCGACAATCTACACATTATCGCGGCGGTACGTGCAACTGCTTGGCGATATCTCTAATCACAGAGCTGTTGCCCCAGCTCACGAGGAGATCGAGTTGCCAGTTGCGGTCGACTTGACATCGCGTGTTAACGCTGCGCGCCGTGAAGCCAGTAGGTCGTCGAACTCACGAACCAGTCGCGCTGGTCGTGCTGCTTCAACTCGCGGTGGTCGTACAGCTTCAACTCGCGGTGGTCGTACAGCTTCAACTCGCGGTGGTCGTACAGCTTCAACTCGCGGTGGTCGTAAAGCTTCAACTCGAGGTGGCAGGGCAACTTCAACTCGTGGTGGCAGGGCAGCTTCAACTCGTGGTGGCAGGGCAGCTTCAACTCGTGGTGGCAGGGCAACTTCAACTCGCGGTGGCAGGGGTGATCATGGAGGTCTAGCATCGATGCGTTCCCAGGAAGCCCAAGTGGATAGACCAAGTCGGACGGCCCGGGCAGCTAGAGTCGAGCGACGTACAAGCCGGGTTACCCGCAGCATGACTGACAATTAACGGTTGACAGCAGGTTGAAGGCCCTGACACGGTTTGTTTTTTATGCAATTTCCCCTCCAATACATAATACATCTAATTTCCGTTTACGTATACAATTATAGAGTTTTTAAAAAACCCTGTTTTGTTAGGATCTTTTTTAGGTCCCATTTGGAGGCTAATTTTTTTTCGGTCCTGTTTTGGTCCTACGGACCAAAAAGACCAGACCTGCATAAGACCTGTTTAAAAATCTTCCGCCACTCGGCCGGCTTGGGCGATTGACGTCGCCAGCATTCGTATCCATGACGAAAACACTTCTTCAACGCTCGGTGTGGATCAAAACGTTGCCGATGATATTGTCGCTAAGTTGACCACTGTTCGGTGGACGGAGCACGCTAGCACTGCTACATGGAGTACTCATGCTACGTGTAACGAGTCTTTTCAACGCCAAACGTAGTTTGAGCTCGGTTGGCTGTGCTACCCTGCGAATTGATAGGATGACGGGACGTGAACTAAACATCATGTGAAACCATTGGCGGGAACCCGGGTTCCCGAAAATGATACCGACCAAATCGCGAATTATTTATTTAATTTTCGGCACCATATTGGTACCGTTGGGGCAAGTTAAACCATCAAACTCGATGAAAGAGTTCCCACTAATCTGTCACCGGTACTGAGTAGACCTGAATAACGTACCTTACCATGTCAAAGTCCACCTTACGTGAGCAGGAGGATAGCAATGTGGCCGGAAAGCCCTCTACCGCTGTACCAGGCAAGAGTCTGGATTTTCATGAGAGACACAGGACGGGAGCAAAGACGAATTCACCTTCCGTTTCTCTACCGAGCTTAAGCTACGTTCAACGTAGGTCATAGAACAACACTCCAATTCATTTGATCATACATGGGTACCGGTAGTTTTGGGGAAACCGGGGTCCCGATGGGTACCCGGGTTCCCGCCAATTGTTTCATGTGGTAAACTTGTGCTTGAGATCAGCGTCTGTATTGAGTCGTATCTACCGTACCCCACAATTTTCCGCAACCAATAAGGTGCAACGCAATGCAATCTTGTGGGGTACCTCCTCAGCTCATTTTCGCGCTAATTTTCCTGAAAAAGGCCAAACCAGAATACAAAGACACTGTCATGGACCCTATCGATACTGTCTGAAGCGTTCTTAAAGACTACAAGTCTATGGAAAATTCACCATGACGACTTGATACTAAGAAACTCTAGTAAAATTAAACGAGATCACTTTGATCTACTACTACTAACTTGAGCCGGATACAAGTTGCCTCGCGTGCTTGTTCACACCACCCGTCGATCGTTAAACGTCTCAGTCTGCCGAGTCACCAGAAACTTGCTTCAGGGCAAAAAGGATTTACTTTGCCAACTACTCACCGATAAATGAAATTATTTAGTTTTTGTCGACTGCCAGTGTTTAACCTTCGTCCCCTCGATGCCGACCACAGCTCACGAAATAAAGGGATCTCAACGAGTTGTTTAGCGGTTGCACCAACGGATCCGTTAAAAAAAGTGATGAGGAATCTCCGTGTATCACACGGCATCTCTTTTACGCATGCCCCTCTCAAGAATGTATAGTTGCCCCGCCGAAGCAAGGTTCTCGTCTTGAAACCAAGGACTGAAGAAGCGCCACAGTACTTAAGTAGTTCTTTGCGACGAGTATCTGTATCAGTAAAGACACGGAATCATTTGCAAGGCTATCGCGAGAGGTCTACAACGTGTCATGTCGGAGATTGTTTGCTCTCAGAAGTTCGCCGACGCTCGGTCCAGCCTCTGGTCTCGTTGCTGCCGATAACTCTGCAGTCCCAAGTCAAAGTAACTAGCATCTATCGGTCAACTTGACCTGCTCTCATATTCACCAGCGAACTGATTTGGCGCGGTTGGACTTCCCCCAATTCTTGCGAGACGACAAATCGAAGCTTTCGGTAGTCAATCCTGCTTCAAGTACGATGAGTCACCAGAACGACCAAATGCTGGCCGCGTTTCCACGCGCGCGTTCGCCCAGCTCTACGGTATAGTCAAGTATACACCTTTGCCAATCCAAGTTGGCAGCAGTGTAAAGCAAAACGGTGTGAAGTAACTTAAGTAACATCCAAAAATCGGAAAATAATTTCTGAAATTAGTATTTAGAGCAATGTGGATTTAGTGCAGAGCAAACTCAAATCACTGGTCAGTAACAGACTATCTCCGCCGGCAACATGCCCCAAGAGCCGAAGCATCGCCGAAGTAGTCTTAAGAAAGCCGGAGTATCGGGTTGCTTCTTCGTGACAGGATCCGAGACTCGCCGAATTTCACTCATGAGGATGTCGAAGCTTGGTGAATTGCGGAGGCTGATGCCGGCGTGCGCCCGGTGTACCCACCGGATTGCTGCAAGTTTGAGTCGGATGGTATCGTATTGATTCCCGGCGCCATTCCATCCGTAACGCCAACAGAATATAGCGAACATGCTGAGCTTGCTGTCTGAATCGTTTGTGTCCCCGCCAAGCCATGGAGACCACGTCATGAATCGTGAGAATTGCACCCACTGCTTCCAGTATCCTTGATATTTGGCAGAGGTAGTGCCAGCGAGGGCATGTTGGCGCAGCACCATTCCCAGAGACGTGAGAGATCGTCGTAGGGCGCCACTACTGGTACCTGCGTCCAGCCAGATGGCAAGTTAGTCCACGTATCGAAGTGTTGATCTGCTCGGGGCCAGGCTCGTGAGCCGGCGTCCGCCATGATGTTGTCGGCTCCGGGGATGTGGGCGGCGGTGCACACGAGCGAGTAGTTGAATTCCGCCAGGGACAGAAGTCGATTGTTCAGCTGCGCGAGGGGTTGTCGGCTTGCTCGGCGTTGAGTCCACGAGACAGCGCTTGTATTGTCGATCCAGAAACGCACTTGTGTCGGTCGATGTGCTGACGAGCGACCCCATGTAGGACCCCAGAGTAGAGCTGCGAGTACTGCACTGTGGAGCTCGCGGACATTAATCGAATTGGCTGATTGGTCCGCTAGAAACAGTTCCTGGTCAGCTTGGGTGAACTGTACTCGGATGAATTGCTTGAGCGCTGGTTCCAACACACAGAGCCCTTGATTGGATGCGTCCATGAAGACGTTTACGGTGGGTTCGTCGAGACGGGCGAATTGTTTGACACGGACACGGTTGCAGCGGCTGCTGTGGTGAAGAATCAATCGAAACCACTTCAGGTCTTCGACTGCCTGGGTGGGGAGCTTGCGGCGCCCTGCTCGGCCCAGTGCGACGCCCACACCTTGCAAGCGCTGGTAAAAGGCGCGCGCCGGAGGACAGCATGTGGAGATGTGACGCAGGCACCATAAGAGGTTAAGCGCAAAGGTTTTGGCAAATCGGACGTGTAAAACAGCTACCTACTAAGATGGGGCTAGGTTATCGGAGCAGATTAGCAGGTCCCTCGTAGGGAATTAGGACCAAGAATTGCTAGTCCGATGGAAGCACTTGCGCAGGTCCTACAAACAGTCGAAAGCCCGAATGTCGCCCATTTTCACGGCATTCGGGATTTGGAGTCTTACGAAGGACTCCTGTCAAGTCTTGTGACAGGACTTTCATACGAGCTGACTCTAATACGGTGTATGTCAAACGCAGAATAAACTTAGGGAAACACGATGCAGTCGATACGTTAAACACTCCAGTCTTCGCCCTTCACCTTCGCGGGTTCCGGTATTGCTTGCTTCCCTAAACAAAGCTTGCTTGGCTTGGACTCCAACCGGAGTCCATTGAACGGAAGACTCCAGGAGACCACTCATCGAACTTGTCCGAGATTTGCATCTCCGATTTAGAGACCGCCAACCTCAGATTAACTGACCTCCAAAGTCCTACGCAGGACTCGGCAAAATGACCGAAAGGCACAATACAGGCACGTGGCGAAAAGCTCCAGCGACGTCACCGAGCATCATAAGTATTCGCGCGAACGGGGGGTCTTGCCGAAGCGAAAAGATTCTCCTGGTGATGTCACCAGGAGGGTTGTACGAGATTTCCGGCAGGTGAGTTCGGTCAGTAAAATCGTTTACAGATTCGCCTTGCGGGAAAGAGTAGTCGTTTATCAGGCGAATATCGGGCGGACTCGTGCCGGCCTTGGCCACCACACCGAGAGGGGAGATGAACACTTCCTTCCATTGCTCCGCTAGCGAGGCTCGCACAACGAGATACCGTCCTTCTTTTTGACCCTTGCGGATATGACGCCATACATTCGGGAGGTGGTCGCTGAGAGAGCCGTGGTTCGGAGGCCGCTGGCTCTTGAGTGTAGGTCGCTGGGGGAGCCACTCAGGCACTACGCCGTGACGGACCACATCGTTCCAGCGGCTCCAGGTTGTCCGCAGGTGCGGCGCTGGGGGTCGTGGGAGTTCGTAGAGATCCTTGTTGGGGCGCGGGTCGTCTGCTGTCTGGCCTCGGACGAGTCGTATGAAATCAGCCAGGTGCATGCGTGATTTTACTGCGAGATCGGAGAGCATGTTCACCATTCCGACGTCAACGCTGTCATCACTGGGCGATTCGGACGACAGGGGTACGGGAATCTTGTACGCCGCTGCCACAGTTGCAAGGTGGTTCGCGATCTCAGCTTGACAATGTACGCGTAGATCCTCCAAAGTCTTCATGTATTTATTGTGGGCAGCAGATAACTGTTGACGAGTGGTCGTGTCCGACACAAAACTCTCAGGTGTTAGTTCGTGCCGTGCTGCCGTGGTCACGGTTGGAGGGTCGGGGCGTGCAAGGCGCGCTGAGACCCGAGGCTGTCACTGGTCGGCAACGTCGGGGGCGAGTCCACCGAAGCGCTGCTCGATGTACTCTTTCACGTTGGCCGGTAGCATTTTGGGGCGGAAGTGCGCGCGTTTAGCTGAGAAGCACTTGCCGGGCACACCGTTGCCTGAGCAATCAGCACGAGAGAGATATTTCATGCACAATTGAAGAGAACCTTGTTTCGGCAGATTGCGCAGCACCACCTTGGGAACCCCGCTCTGCTTCTCGGGGCGGGAGTCACGACCGCTTGCACGTCCGGTGAGGGCGACGGGTGATCTCGCGTCCAGTTGCGCTAGCAGGTCGGCGATTTTTGCCTGTTGTTGTTCGTACAGTAGTTTGGCTAGGAGCGGGTCGTGCAGGGAAAACTCGCTTTTGACGCAGACCGCTGCTCCTATCCCCCCGGAAAGAACCAGTCCTCGAAACTTGCCGAGCTTCATGTTGAGCCATAACAAAATCCGGCGAGTCGTGTCAATGTCGGGCTCGCCACCGTCACCGAATGCTTCAACAAAGACTGCGGCGGCGTCGAGCACGTCCACAGTTGTCGCGTTGTAGAAAGTTCGACCGAATTGACGAAGGTTGCGGAGGGAGTCGATTAGCTCCGAGTAGGACAGGGAACTGGGCGTCGCTGGCAGGCAGTTCTTACGGGAGAAGTCACTCATGTTCACGACCGCTGTCGTGTCATTCAACATCATCTTTGCTGTGTATTGCGCGAAGTGAGCCACCGATAGTCCCCGGACATGGAATCCAAAGTCGTAAGCGCCACGTAGCACCGGAGGGGTTCGGCGAAAGTTGACATCACGAGCCTGTTGAGCATATTCAAGCACACATTGGGCGTCCTTACCTTTGTTGTCCGGATGGGTGATTGCGTCGTGAACCTGCTGCTCGTAGGTTGTCGGTCGGAACGTAGTGGTCGAGCGTCTGCGGGCGTCATCGGTGGCGTCCAGCATAGTGGACGACATGTCGCCCTGACCAGCAGCCAGGCGACTGAACGTGAGGGGCCGGTTTTGAAGTAGTACAGCTTGAAGGTCGTCGTCGTCCACTGCGGTGGGCGGGACCGACTCCTCGATGTCGGACTCGTCGCTTGCAAGCTCGTGCAGTTCTTGTGCGATCTTCTGACGGGTAGCCTGTCGTGTGGCGGGAGGCGATATCGCCCTTCGCTTATTGCGTTGTGCCGGCACCTGGCCGCCGTCTTGGTTGGGCGGCGGCACAAACATAGACATCCCTTACTTTGCTTTCTTCCGGAGGGCGCAGTCGATGACGTGCTCTCGGGGCACCGACACGAGCTCCAGCGTATCTGGTCGAATGGCGTTCACGCATGCGGACGGCTCGTACGGGGTCGAGAGGGAGTACTTCACCTTGGCTGGCACATCGCGGTTCCTGTTGCATGACGCCAGTCTTCCGTCCATGATTTCGACCAGTTCGACTGCGTGGACGACCGCAGCGTTTTTGCCGGCGCTGGGATGGAGTGCGTAGTTGATCCAGTCCACCTTGATGGCATTGGACATCTGCTGGATGGCTACCTTGCAGGTACCGTTGGCGTGTCGAACGTGAAGCCAGCCCTCCGCGCCGACCATGCGATAACCCGTGACGAGGCCAAAGTCCCACTGATCCATGGTGGGTCCGTCGGGCTGGATAAAGGCAATTGGATGGCCGACGTAGGTGCCGGGCCACAGCGCACGCTCCTCATCAGAGACAAGGCGGCGTTTTAGCACCTTGACGCCGATTTCCTCGCCGAGGTCTTCGTCGTCTTCATCGTCGGCGTCAAGGTCAATGGGCGCGACCGTGGCCACTTCTCCATCCAGGTTTATCACGCGCACGTAGCGGAACTCGGTCAGAGCGTTAACGTGGGCGGGACCGACGAACGCGACAGAGCCAACAGCAACCGTAGCCTCGCGCATTCGTCAGCGGGTAGTCGAGAGTGATGAAGTTGGTATTAGCTTCGAGCGAGCGATGAAAATCGAAAGTAAGAAGCCTCTCGGTCGGAACGCTACCTACCTAGTGTAGTCTGCGTACTTCGATTCGTCGGTGGGCGATCGTGCTCCATCAGTCAAGGTCGGATACTTGCCGTCTGGAAACCCTGACATCCATCCTGGATATCTCTCGATGACCCGTCGGAGGTGCATCGTGTCCAATGATCGTGGCTTCGAGGCCGTCTTCGCGCTCATCCTGAGTAAGATCCATGTGCTTATTGACTTCAACTAATGTTGGCTGACCGAACAGTATGACGTCAAATGGAGTTAATTCAATTCGAGGTACACGTACAGTGGAATCCTCATCTACGAGCTCTGCTATGAAGGACTTGGTATCACAACAGGACGTGAAAATGAGCTAGCTATTGCATTCACGTGAAATGTATTGAGATATGAAGCGTGATGGCTCAAAGGTGAGGCTGATTTTTACCGTGTCAGTTACATTTGAAACGGATCGAAAAAATACCCGACTTCCTCGATCAGCTTTTTGAGTTCCCAAACTCTGTGGAGTATTGATGAGATGAGTGACTGTTCACTGCTACGCGTGCGAAGGCGTTTTCACTGCCTGGTCCTCAGGCCCGCGTGGACAGCGTTGCTTGATATTAAACTGCTGGAGTTGCACAATGGCTCCAGTTGAAGTCTTCGCTGCCGTGCTATGGGAAGCGGCGGGGTCTGAGTAAGACGGATGGAGTACAGTAAGCTTCACTGTTTTGTCTTCAATCCGCCTTCCAGTGTTCAAGGCGCGATCCACGGATCCCTGTTCGAGAGCTGTTGACAAGTTGCCCGGGCACCGGCGAAGCCGTATCTTGAGCTAAGGAAGGGTTGTATACTGTTCATCTTCACTTCACGTTGTGTTCCAGCTCATAACTGTGGGATCGACACAATCACTCGTTACAGCAGTCTTTCAGCCCAGTGATTGCCACCTCCAAGTCATCGCTCGCACTTGATCCACGACTCGACATACTACAGCCCCAATTCTTCACGGCCCTGGCATTTCGGTGCAAATCAGGTGCTGAAATCGATAGGCTACCAGATCAGCGCCGAGTTTTTCGGTCCTCGTAAAATCGACAGAAAGTAGGAACTGCCCGTACAGGAACAGGAAGCAGCGCAAATAGTTTTGAGCGTTCTAAGAGCATCCGGAATTCAATTTGGAACCAGCACTCTTGCATCTTACAGGTACATGTACAACCTCACCTGGCTGTATTGGAGGTACTATTGGAAATGGCGTAACAATACTGTTTATACGATTCAATACCTAAAATTTACATGTACCATGAAGTGAAAGTCTCTTGCGGTGGTCGTCAGGCGATTGCCACGATTTCATTATCAAAAGTGTGTGCACAATACTTGATCCCCCTCGTTCCAATGCTGCAAAGGCAGCGCGCTCCCCGTCGGAATTCGCCTTGAGCCGTGTAGTACATGTACATCGATCGGCGAGCTGAGTCAACTGAGAGACGACGGTCCGAACACTTGCGTCGATGGGCTACCGCAGCTTCAAGTGTAGCTTTGAGTCACACCATTTTCACCAGCCAGGCTGCGTTTCCACGCGCGCGTTGACTTTGTGTGGGGCAGCTCCATAGTAAAGCCTCGTGTGTTGTTATCAGCCCCTCGATAGTCACCGTGCCGGACTGTTAGACAACTCCCAAGTACCACGTCGAGCTGAGTCGGAGTGCACCGAGGCCCATGACTCGGTGTTTAGTGCCCGGGAATTTTAATTTCAAGGCCCTTTCCTCCACGGCACTAGCCTCGTCGACTACTGTCGTGCCGTGCGAAGCGGCCCAAGCGGGTCTTCAAGATCACAAGTGTATTCGGCCGAGAAAGGAAGAAGAAGATGAACAACACGAGGTCTCTCCACGATGAAGTCAAAGCTACAAGCACAGCACTTACCAATTCGCCTCCAATCGATTAGTGAACCACCAAACAAACAATGAACCATTCTGCTCGCATCATGATCAACCAGCCCACGGCTGCCTACGGAGGCAACAGCAAGAACACCACGCGCCTCGAAGAAGAACGGGTCGAGTACCGACCGACCTTTGCGTCTCGCGTGGCCAAGTTGATCTTCCGACAGCGTCGATCCGCTGGAGAGCTGCGGGCCAAGTCCTGGCCAGGGCGTGAAAACCCTGTTCCAATCACGGTTCCTGTTGCACGAGTCACCCCGACGAGTGCTGTGCGTCAACCCAGTGCCAGCATCGCCATCCCCAACAGCCTCGGCTCGTCAGCATCGGCCTCTGTGCCACGCACTCGATCTATGCGCATACCCAAGCGACCAAGAATCCACGCCAGCTCCAGTGAAGCCGAGTGGCGACATCGACAAGCTCACTGCGCGAACTGCGAGCGGTTGTTCTTCAAGTCGATGTCGACTCTCGGTCGATTCTGTTCGCTGGACTGCAAGGCCAACTTCGAGTACTTGGACCTCCTCCAGGAGACGGTGGACGTGGAGTTCGACAGCATCAGCAGCGACTCGCTCGGTTGGAGTTTGGAAGGAGACGACGGCAGCTAGTATTTTCGGCAAACTTATATCGTGTCGTGTCATTGCTTCGTCTTCTGTACTGGTCGTTTATTGTGTGATTTAGGATAATAGCAAGAAAATTTTAGTGTAATTGTCGAAAGTAAAAAACGACATCAAATCTGAGGATTTGCATCAAGTTTTAATTTTTTTTACAGTTTTGTGATTGGTCAAAGACGCAGTAGCTTTTTGTTTTGCATGCCTTGGCTTGGGTCCTAAATGACACGCGAAGTTGCATGCAAGAATGGCTGCCGCTAAATGATTTACTGTAGCACGTCAAACAAGACACGTAAGATAATAGTGCGATCGAGATAACCGGTAAGCTGGTCGCGATAGCAACTGAGTTTATTAAACTTGAGGACACATGCGAATACGCTACAGTAGTTTTAATTTTAAAGAAATAATACAAACTGTAGAAAAACTGGTTCTTACAGTACACAAAGCAAAAGCGGCATTCAGTTTTACCTCAGTCTTACCGCCCAAACCCTGCGGGACGGTGCTAATGAGATTAACAACTAACGTTAGATGATTGATTATGGCTGTTCTCTGCTATACGTACGCGTGAGAAGGTGTTTTACTGCCTGATCCCAATTGGGGATCCCAGCGATTGCTTGAAGTTGTCTCACAGCGTTGCTGCATACTACAGTAATATTAAACCGCTGGAGTTGCACAATTGCATATAATTGCACTCGAATTGGAGTCTTCACTGCCGTGCTATGAGAAGCGGCGGAGTCTGAGTAAGACACTGGGATACGATAAAAACAGCGTCATTGTTCACTCTTCAATTCGCCTTTCAGTACTCGGGGAACGATCCCCGGATTCCTGTTCGAGATCTCGCCCGGGTACCGATCGATCAAGCCGTATACTAAGCTGAGAGAAGGGTTGCCTACGGTTCACCTTCGTTTCATATGTGTGTTCCAGCTCACAGCCACCCCGACGAAGTCATCACTCAAATCTGATCCACGACACGACGGACTCCAGCTCCGGCTCTTCACGGCCCTGGTGACTTGGTGCAAATGGGGTTGCTGAATGCGATTTCAGCGCTGAATTCGTGGATCCTCCTCACCGTAAAGTGGACAGAAACTCTAGCGACGCGGCGGTGCGAGGCTGAAGGAAGTAGGTGCTGCTCGTGCAGGGCATTGCTACCCATATACCCATAGTTCAGCTAGGTAAGTGTTGTTTTGGCGTTTTAAGAGTTTCTGAAGTCCAATCTGGAATCAGCACTGCTGCTTTTGTTGCTCTTTCTCAAGAACGCGTTCGTGTCCGCTCGCGGTTGCCGCATCCACAGTTTTTTTCTTCGTGTTGTACTGCCGCTGCTGTACTCTAGTCATTAACTACAGTGAAGTGAAAGCTCTTTCAGTAGTCGTCAGGCGAATGGCACGATTTAGTCGATTCCTAGACGCGGCAAGGCCTCATCAATTACACAGAAGTGTGCACGCAATACACATACAGTACGTGCATTGCCCCCAGTCCCAATGCTACAAAGGTAGCGCGCGCCCGCCGGAATTCGTTTGGAGTCGTGTATGTACTGTATAGACCGGCGACGACAATCGGGTCACTTGTAGTACAAGTTGTAGGATGGTCTACCACAGCTTCATGTGTACTGGGACGCCTTCCAAAAACGGACATAACTCGACATAGAATCTAAATTTGTCTCTAAATATCAAATGCGCAGAGGTCGAAATGTGTGAGAGGTCGCCTGATATATGCGTCAGTTGCTAGAAAAAGTACATCCCTAATGAAATCAAGTCAAATCTAATACCGTTTACTCAGACGTAAAAATCGTCTGAGTAAATATAAGTTTTCTTAAATTTGAATTTGTTGGGTGACTTGTTCGTTTTTGGTAGGCGTCCACTGTCCTTTTGAGTCGCCACCATTTCACAACGAGTCTGCGTTTCCACGCGCGCGTTGCTCTTGGGACAGCTCCATAGTGAAGCCTCGTGTTATTATCAGCCCCTCGATAGTCACTGCTAGACAACTCCCAAGTGCCACGTCGAGCGTGAACCGACCCCATGGCTCGGTGTTTATTAGTGACCGGTACTTTTAATTTCAAGGTCCTTTCCTCCCCAGTATTTTCCTTGTCAACTACAGTACTGTGTACTGTCGTGCCGTGCGATGCGGCCCAAGCGAATTCAGTCGAGGTCGCCATTATGGAGCCAAGGTTTTCACCAGAGCACTTCTCAATTCGCCACCAAACAGACAATGAACACCTCAGCTCGAATCATGATCAGCCAGCCCACGGCTGCCTATGGAGGCAACAACAAGAGCACCACGCGCCTGGATGATGAACCAGTCGGACGTCGACCGAGCTTTGCGGCTCTCGTGGCCAAGCTCATCTTTCGACGCGGCCGATCCTCTGCAGAATTGCGGGCCAAATCCTGGCCAGGACGTGAAGAATCTGTCCCAGTTACTGTGCCTGGGTCTGTAGCCATTCCGACGACCCCTGCTCGGCTGCCAAGTGCCAGCATCGTTATCCCCAACAGCATCAGCTCGTCAACACCGGCCTCCTTGCTACGCACTCGATCTATGCGCATACCCAAGCGACCAAGAATCCACACCAGCTGCAGTGAAGCCGCGTGGCGGCACCGACAAGCTCACTGCGCGAACTGCGAGCGGTTGTTCTCCAAGTCGATGTCGTCTCTCGTGAGCAGCGCTGGTCGATTCTGTTCGTTGGACTGCAAGGCCAACTTTGAGTACGTGAGCGTCCTCCAGGAGGCGATGGACGTGGAATTCGACAGCATCAGCAGCGGGTTGCTCGGTTCGAGCATGGAAGGAGACAACGCCAACTAGAGCCTCTCACCTTGACCTTTCAGCCTTACCAGCGTTCTTTGCGGGTATTGTAGTGGTTCCGTAGTTTAACACGTTAGAACAATAATGAAGACTAGAACATGTAGTGCAGTGTATGTAAAGACTGCAGCAAGAGGAGAACTGTGTCAATCGAATCGTTGCTGTGGACGAAAGTAAACAGCAAACATGACAAACCGAGGCTTTGCTACCAACTTCAACCTTTTACGGCTTGTGATTGGTCCATACGAAATACCGTGAACTTCGAGTTGATGCCTCCGAGTGCCTGCTGCAGGACTCGGTGGGGACAATTGCGCTATGGATTTCTCATTTCGGTGGCTGCGCATGGGTGGAACAGAATACGCGCGTGCCTGCCTGATCCGTGGTAAGGTAAGGGCGCCGCTGCGCGAAGCACAACGGCGCCCGATCACCGGAAGGAGCAAAGCAACCAGACCGGACGCTGCTGTTGCCAACGCGCAGCGAGACAGGGAATGCATTGTAACGACAAAGCGCTCGGATCGACGAACTTCAGCGTTTATTATATATGCGAATGCATGTACATGCATGCAGTGCACGCGAACGAAAGGAGCATCGGTTTGCACCTCGACTAGCGGATCGACAAATGCATCGCGCGTACAGAGCGCTCTGCTTTGCGTCCTGTATACATGCCGTCGATGTAAGAACGCTTATTGCTTCAACGTCCAACAGGCACTGCCGGTCTCCTGGTGACAACTGTACATGGACACGTAGTACAGTAAGATGAAAGCTCTATAGCTACGTAGGTGGCTGAGGGCCATAGTGGCCTATAACAATCCACTATGTCATCGCCCCCAATACTGCTGCGATGTATACAGTAATGTGCGTCAATAAGGAACGTGTAGGAACTAATTTCCTTGTACATATAATAAACAGCTGGGTGGGAGGAGCCCTGTTTCCTGCTAATAGTAATGATTTAGATAAACCATTGATTGGGGTTGACTGGGAAGTAAACCATCTAATACTTGTTTTATACACTAATCCAGTACATGCAACCGGCTTTGTTACACTGTTTGGTCCAATAGCCTCCTTGCTTCTACCCATCAGCGGTTCCTTATTGACGCACATTACTGTATCCAACGTGCTCGGCCTCCAGTGCTGGACCAGCGCGCCAAGCAAGCAAGCACATGCGGAGGGTTCTGTCCGCGGATTAGTCTTGCTACGCCTACAGCAACAGCTGTTTTATTTTGTGCTTGCACCACCGGCAAGGTTGTCCAATTGGATTAGACCGGTATTTCAATGTTAAGGGTTGTAATACAAGCGTTCGTTATTACTCTCGAGTATGTGTACCACTTATTAAGTTTACAGAGGTTTCTGAAAATCCTGACGGAGACCCGATTCGCAAGCTTGAAGTGTCGGCATTCCGCCGTCTCACCCACCACGCCTGACCGGTCAGGCGAGTATTCATCGGGCACCGATGCCGCATAAATGCCGCGCCGCAGTCCAGTGGTCTCGCCGCCTCCGCTTCCGGCCAAAACCTCAGTCCATTCCCGAATTGACCCGCGTCCGCACAAGTCGACCCAAGCCTTCCAAGCTCGCATACCAGCCAGCCATGCACAAGTCCGCGCACGACTTCAACGAGGCCAAGCGCCAGAAAGACATCATCTCCTGGGACGCCTACACCAGCGGCCTCAAGGCCGGCGCCTGGGCCAGTCTGGCTATGGGCGCGGCCGTCTACGGCGCCAACGCGTACCACAGCGGCTTCCGCACGCGCCTCGGTGTGAGCGGCAAGTGGGCGCTCGTGGTCTCGGCCTACCTGGCCGGGTTCGCCATCGTGGCCGAGAATCGACTCCTGGCCGGGGCCCGGAACCCGGACCAGTACATGGCTACACTCGACCCCAACTTCGTCGAGGTCCGCATGATGAAGAGCCAACTGCCGCTGCACAAACGAGCGGCCAACTTCGTGTACGACCACCCGTACCACAGCCTCGTGACGTTGGGGGTTCCGCTGGTGGGCGGCATCTTCGCGCTGCAGGCCACGAACAAGAGCATCAACCGCTCGCAGCAGATCATGCACACGCGCATCTACGGCCAGGCGGCCGTGGTGGCGCTGCTGCTCGGCTCCATGGCCTTCCACGACTACATGGCCAAGCGCGGCCGCTTCGAGGAGGACGAGGAGGACGAGGCCCACGTGCCCAAGATCCAGGAGCTCAAGGCCTAGTGGACCTCCTCACCGGTATTTCTCTCCACTGGTTTAGTTTTTAGTAGTATCCTAGGACGTGGGGCTTGTTACGAGCCCCTCAGCAGAAACCATTGCAAACGACAGGCAACATCACACGGAGGCTGGCAGCTCAGACGTCACGATGAACACGACAGACCGAAGCAAAAGAAATACATGTCCACATTGAAAAAAAAACACACACACACAATACTGAATCTATCGTTTCTGCTCGAGAGCCCAAGTCCATCCGCTCTGCATGTAGCTCACACCGACCAAGCAGAGAAGGCGAACCAACGACAACCATACATCGCGCGGTGAGGAGACAGAGTGTCCAGCGAATATTCTTATGCTTATTTTTTTACTTTTTTCATGTTGGTGACGCAAGACCATGCGCTTGTCTTGCTTTCGGTGAAATGACCATCTCGATAAGATTCTGGTCGCGGAGAGGACTGATAGACGACAAAGCTTTTGGCAGCCACCAGGCCGTGAGTAAAGTAAGTGATGTTCACGGTGTGCAGGCACCATTTGGTTCACGGCATTGGGCATGTGAGGCACGTGAGGCATGTGGCGCAATGATCGATGGGGCCGACACTTGAAGTGTGGCTGTGAGGCTGTTGCGGGGTTAATTGGACCTGTCACGCCCAACACCGAAATGCCCAGTCGCTGTCTTCTTGTCGCGTCGCTGGCCCCCTGCTGTCGCCGCGTTGCGCATGTGCCTGACTTGCAATTGGTCTCTTTCGTGCCCCATCCGGCAGATGATCAGCAGCTTGATCAGCCGTGGCACGGCGTTGATCGGTCGCTGCGTGATCTCCTCTACGGTCAATGGAAAGGCGGCTGGGTGGCACCTCCCTCCCTCTTCATGATACACCGAGGTGGCCGGCCGGCCACCGTCCGATCGACGCAAGTCTCACTTTGCAGCTTGCCATGGCGTCGCCAGCAGCGCCCTACGCCGTAATGCCCGAGATGTCGCCGCCGATCCTCGAGCGATCGATGCTCGAGAGCGGCTACACGCGCGAGAGCGGGCGGACCGTGCCCAATGGCACGTCAGACTATTCGAGCGACAGTCTCCACCGCCGCTGCATTGCGGCCAAGTACGAGGAGTTCATGAACCCGTGCGTGCTGAGCTGGACCGACCTGAGCTACGCGGTGCCCGGCAAGAAGACGGCCAAGAACCCGTACGGCAAGAAGACCATCCTCCACAAGGTGAGCGGCCGCAGCGCTCCGGGCGAGCTCACGGCCATCATGGGCCCGTCCGGCTCGGGCAAGACCACGCTCGTGGACTTGCTGGCCGACCGCCTTAGCACCGGCCAAATGACGGGCACCATCGAGTTGAACGGCTCCGAGCGCGTAACCAAGACGTTCCGGGCCGTGACCAGCTACGTGGCCCAAGAAGACACGCTGCTCGGGTCGTTCACAGTAGTGGAGACCATGAACATGGCGGCCCGCCTCAGTCTGCCCAACAGCGTGGTGATGACGGACATCCACTCGCGAGTGGAGAGCGTCATGGACGCCATGGGTCTCGGCGCGTGCAGGAACACACTGGTGGGCGATATCTTCCGCAAGGGCCTGTCAGGTGGCCAGAAGCGGCGGCTTAGCATTGCCATAGAGCTGCTGTCCAACCCGAGCATCCTCATCCTCGACGAACCTACCAGTGGCCTGGACTCGAGCTCGGCCCACAATGTCATGAAGTACATTCTCAAGCTCTGCGGCGAAGGCAAGAACGTAGTGTGCACGATCCACCAGCCGTCCTCGCTGGTCTACGACATGTTCACGAACGTGGTCCTGTTGTCTGGAGGCGAGACCGTGTACTACGGGTCTCGCACCTACATGATCCCGCACTTCTCGGGCGTCGGCTTCAACTGCCCCAAGTACATGAACCCGGCCGAGTACTTTGTCAACCTCGTGAACACGGACTTCGAAGACCACGTCGACATCACCAAACTCGTCCACGCCTACAAGCAGAGCACGGTCAAGAAGCTGCTCCTGGACCAACTAGCAGCGGACCGAACAACGCTGCAACATTTACCAGACATCGAGCTCCAACCTTCGTCCGCGATGCGGCAGTTCAGCGTGCTCATGTACCGCAACTTGGTGAACAACATCCGCAACCCGGGCATCTACTGGATCAGACTCTTCATGTACTTCTGCCTCAGCTTCATGGTCGGCACCATGTACCTGAGCAGCAACGATGATCTCACCGAGGAAGACCTGATCCCCATGCTGTTCTACGTGCAGGCGTTCCTGGTGTTCATGTCGGTGGCCGTGCTGCCCTTCTTCATCGAGCAGCGCGCCGTGTTCGCCCGTGAGCGCGCCAACAGCTCGCTGAGCGTCGTGAGCTACGTGTGCGCCAACTTTTTGGCCACACTGCCGGGCATCTTCCTCATCGTGGTCATGTCGACGGCGCTGGTGGTGCTGCTGGCGGGGCTCAACGCGTTCGAGTACTTCTTGCTCAACCTGTTCCTGTCGCTCGTGGTGGCCGAGTCCATGATGCACGTGATCGGCGCCGCGGTGCCGCACTACATCATCGGCATCGCGCTGGGCGCGGGCGTGTTCGGCATGTTCATGCTGTGCGAGGGCTTCATGGTGCCGCGCGACTCGATCCCGGACTACTGGATCTGGGGCTACTACCTGGCGTTCCACTCGTACTCGTTCGAGTCGTTCGTGTTCAAGCAGTTCGAGAACGAGACGTCCGATGAGGCGAGGGCCATTCTCAAGAAGTACGGCATGGAGGACGTGGACGTCCCGAAGGACATGCTCTACCTCGTGGGCTACATTGCCGTCTTCCAGCTCATCTTTATGTTCATCCTGTGGAAGTTCCACACTGGTCGTCGCTGAGTTTCTCGTGAGTGAGAGTGAATCAACAAAATAAACTACGCTAATGTATCATTGTACTATGAACAAGTGGATCAATCGTCTTGTCTTGAGATGTCGGCGGAAGGCCGTCCGCACGCGAGGGCGCGCATGTAAAGGTCCCCCCCCCCGGCCACAGCACGCGATCTGCGCCTGACCGTTGCCGCCTCAATGTTCAGCAGCGGAATGGGAGGTCAACATCCTGACCGTTGTCGGCTCCCGCGCAATGCTGCACACGACGGCGTACCCATGAGGCTCGTCAATGTGCGCGCGCTTCAAGCTCGTCGACAGAAAAGGCGAATGACTCCACCTCATGCGCTGCCTGCTGCCGGGTGAGACGGTGAAGACACACACGACCGAGGCCGGCCCGCGTGCTGACCCTCAGTCCCTCGTGGTGGATAGCCCAGTACTGCAGAGCAACCAGCACGACGACCTACCTAAGCCCTCCCCATGCATCCCATCCGATCCCGAGGTCATTTGGGAATTCACCTCGCTGCTGCCAATGGCGTCACCACTCTCCCCTACGAGTTACGCCATTCTTGAAAGCGATCACAGCCAGGAAAGCGGCCACACGGGGGCGGTCGTGGCCACTCCGATCGAGAAGCCTCGAGCTGGCCGGATGATCAACCAAGAGATCGAGGTCAAGTACGAGGCCATTCGGAACCCGTGCGTGCTGAGCTGGAGCGACTTGAGCTACACCGTCAAGGGCAAGAAGGCGCCGGAGCTGCCATGGGGCACCAAGACCATCCTGGACCGAGTCAGTGGCCGCTGCGCGCCCGGCGAGCTCACGGCCATCATGGGCCCGTCGGGTTCGGGTAAGACCACGCTCGTGGACTTGCTGGCCGACCGCATCAGCTCGGGCGACGTGGCCGGCCTGATCGAAGTGAACGGCACGCAGCGAAACACGAAAACTTTCCGGGCCGTGACGAGCTACGTCGCTCAGGAGGACACGCTGCTGGGGTCCTTCATAGTGGTGGAGACCATGAGGATGGCGGCCAAGCTCAATCTGCCCAACACCGTCACGTCGCACGAAATCGAGATCCGCGTCGAGAACGTCATGGACGCCATGGGCCTCGGGACTGCCCGCGACACACTGGTCGGAGACATCTTCCGCAAGGGGCTGTCGGGTGGCCAGAAGCGCCGACTTAGCATCGCCATCGAGCTGCTGTCGAACCCGAGCATTCTCATCTTGGACGAGCCCACGAGCGGCCTGGACTCCAGTGCAGCTCACAACGTCATGAAGTTCATCGTGAAGCTCTGCGAAGAGGGCAAGACCGTCGTGTGCACGATCCACCAGCCGTCGTCGCTGGTCTACGAGATGTTCACGAATGTGATCGTGCTCTCGGCCGGCCAAACGGTGTACTGCGGGCCTCGGGCCACGATGATCCCGTACTTCGCCTCAACAGGCTACGACTGTCCGCAGTACATGAACCCGGCCGAGTACTTCATCAGTTTGGTCAACACAGACTTTGAAGATCATGCTGAAGTGCCCAAGCTCGTCTACGCCTACTCCAAGAGCGACGTGAACAAGCAGATCCAGGACAGAATCAACCGAGACCGATCTACACTCAAACACTTGCCCGATATTCGCAAGCGTCCTCCTTCGGCGCTGCGCCAGTTCGGCGTGCTCATGTACCGCAACACGCTGAACAACATCCGCAACCCGGGCATCTACTGGATCAGACTCTTCATGTACTTCTGCCTCAGCTTCATGGTCGGCACCATGTACCTGAGCAGCAACGATGATCTCACCGAGGAAGACCTGATCCCCATGCTGTTCTACGTGCAGGCGTTCCTGGTGTTCATGTCGGTGGCCGTGCTGCCCTTCTTCATCGAGCAGCGCGCCGTGTTCGCCCGTGAGCGCGCCAACAGCTCGCTGAGCGTCGTGAGCTACGTGTGCGCCAACTTTTTGGCCACACTGCCGGGCATCTTCCTCATCGCGGTCATGTCGACGGCGCTGGTGGTGCTGCTGGCGGGGCTCAACGCGTTCGAGTACTTCTTGCTCAACCTGTTCCTATCGCTCGTGGTGGCCGAGTCCATGATGCACGTGATCGGCGCCGCGGTGCCGCACTACATCATCGGCATCGCGCTGGGCGCGGGCGTGTTCGGCATGTTCATGCTGTGCGAGGGCTTCATGGTGCCGCGCGACTCGATCCCGGACTACTGGATCTGGGGCTACTACCTGGCGTTCCACTCGTACTCGTTCGAGTCGTTCGTGTTCAAGCAGTTCGAGAACGAGACATCGGAGGAGGCCAAGGGGATTCTGACCAAGTACGGCATGGAGAACGTGGACGTATCAAGGAACATGTTGCTGCTGATTGTGTATATTGTGGGTTTCCAGGCCATCTTCGCCTTCATCCTGTGGAAGTTCCACACGGGCCGTCGCTGAATCTGCGAAGCTTCATTAAGTTTTTCGAGAAAATTGAGTTGGTATATAATCTTTTTCGCGTCGACAACTCGTACAGTATGCGGGTGCCTTTGTCAAGGTGACTATCCTATGAGGGAGCCATTTTTTGCGGTGGTGTTAGTTACGGCTTTCGCCACTCAAGGATATTAGCACGGGATTGAGCCTTTCCAAGAAGGGGCTCTCAGTCGAGTGCAAGTGCAAATCGATCGAGTCTGTCGAAGTGACCTCCGTGGCGTTGCGGCTACTACACGTAACGCATTGATTTGACGGCGTGCTAGTGCCCGACCGCCGGGCTGTCGAGCTGCAGGACTCACAGCAACGATTCCTTCAGTTTTATCGATCAATTCATAAATGGTGAATCTGAATTGTATTAACATTTATGCGTACGGCTCTGCATATCTGACCAATCACAAGCCGTAAAAGGTTGAAGTGGTTGCAAATCCTCACGATTTCCGGCATCGTACGTACGACAGCAATTGAATCGGCACATTTCTCTTCTTGCTACATGTGCTAGTTTTTATTAGTGTCCTAACATACCACACAACCACGAAACTAAAGTAAACGTCCAAAATGAACGCGCGGGTGACAGCACGAGAAGCTCTAGCTGTCGTCGTCTCCTTCCAAACTTGAATCAAACGATCCGCAGCTGGTACAATCGAGCCCCGCGTCCATCGTCTCCTGGAGGAGGTCCAAGTACTCGAAGTTGGCCTTGCAGTCCAGCGAACAGAATCGACCGAGAGTCGACATCGACTTGAAGAACAGACGCTCGCAGTTTGCGCAGTGGGTCTGTCGATGTCGCCACTCGGCTTCACTGGAGCTGGCGTGGATTCTTGGTCGCTTGGGTATGCGCATAGATCGAGTGCGTGGCACAGAGGCCGATGCTGACGAGCCGAGGCTGTTGGGGATGGCGATGCTGGCACTGGGTTGACGCACAGCACTCGTCGGGGTGACTCGTGCAACAGGAACCGTGATTGGAACAGGGTCTTCACGCCCTGGCCAGGACTTGGCCCGCAGCTCTCCAGCGGATCGACGCTGTCGGAAGATCAACTTGGCCACGCGAGACGCAAAGGTCGGTCGGTACTCGACCCGTTCTTCTTCGAGGCGCGTGGTGTTCTTGCTGTTGCCTCCGTAGGCAGCCGTGGGCTGGTTGATCATGATGCGAGCAGAATGGTTCATTGTTTGTTTGGTGGTTCACTAATCGATTGGAGGCGAATTGGTAAGTGCTGTGCTTGTAGCTTTGACTTCATCGTGGAGAGACCTCGTGTTGTTCATCTTCTTCTTCCTTTCTCGGCCGAATACACTTGTGATCTTGAAGACCCGCTTGGGCCGCTTCGCACGGCACGACAGTAGTCGACGAGGCTAGTGCCGTGGAGGAAAGGGCCTTGAAATTAAAATTCCCGGGCACGAAACACCGAGTCATGGGCCTCGGTGCACTCCAACTCAGCTCGACGTGGTACTTGGGAGTTGTCTAACAGTCCGGCACGGTGACTATCGAGGGGCTGATAACAACACACGAGGCTTTACTATGGAGCTGCCCCACACAAGATCAACGCGCGCGTGGAAACGCAGCCTGGCTGGTGAAAATGGTGTGACTCAAAGCTACACTTGAAACTGCGGTAGCCCATCGACGCAAGTGTTCGGATCGTCGTCTCTCAGTTGCCGATCGATGTACTACACGACCAAGGGCCTTGAGTCGTGTAGTACAGGCGAATTCCGGCGGGAGCGCGCTGCCTTTGCAGCATTGGGAGGAGGGCAATACCTGTATTGCGCACACACTTCTGATAACGAAACCGTGACAATCGCCTGACGACCACCGAGAGAGTAGATTTAGTTGATACCTACAAACCGTATTGTTACGCCGTCTTTCAAATACTACATGTGCAGCCAGGTTATGTTGTAGAAAGTAAGATGTGGCAATCGCGAGCGGGTATGAGGTATACACTTAGAACGCTCTAAACTGTTTGCATTCCTGATAACTACAGTGCCTAAAGACTGTAGGCTACAGTAATTAGTCTGGCTTCAAAATTAGTCTGGGCCAGACTAATTCGTGTCGACCAAAAATTGACGTCTTCATTATTAGTCTGGCTAAAAATGCTCATAATTAGTCTGTCGTGGTGACCACGATTCTAGTCCACCCCACCTACTTTAAGGCACCGCTTGCTGAAAAACTCCCTTGACAGCAGCCAATTTACTAGATCTCGTACAATATCTGCAATATATAATAGATACCTGGGTATCCAACCCATATATCAGCCTTCTCTAACCATTTGAGAAGCAGCATCTGCGATGATTTAGTGTTTATTTCTTATCAAAGCCACGATAAAATATAGCTACAGTTTAAAATACTAAAACAAATACGTATAAACACATCATTTCACAAAAATAATGGTTTCTTACTTGTACTGGAAAACGAGCATTTTAGATCTTCATAATTAGTCTGTCACTGTTGGGGCCAGACTAATAATTGTGAGCGATGAAAAATCTGGTATTCAGATTTAGTCTGGGCCAGACTAATTACTGTAGGTATTGTACCTGAATTATGGGAACTCTACTTCCTGTAGCCTACCTTCAGTGCGTCACCCAGCTTACTATCGACTCTACAGTGTAGAATCTACAGTATTGTTCTGTTGCATCCCCCGTCCCAGTGTTGGCACGAGCCGCCTCCCATGCCACGACAGCCAAAAGCAACAGTCGCTCTGGCCCCCAGAGCGAAGAAGAGTGCAATGTATCAACGCTGACATCGAGCAACGCACGCGTCGCAACGCTGTCCACGCCGAGCTGATGACTCGAGAAGCACTTGAAGCTGGGTACCGGATTGTCGCCTCGCAAGTATTTGGGCACCATCTGAAGTCTCAGCTGAGCATTGGGACCAGGCATTGAGCACTTTTCGCACCCGTAGGAGAACGATCACTCATCAATGCAAAGTCGGCTCATCTAATCAAGTTCCGAAAGGCGGGGCTATAGCGCGGTTAAGAAGTTGTGCTTGATGGCCTGCTTTATCGACTCACCTACATTGGGAATGTTGGCATACAATTTTGCCAAACGTTCTTACGGCGCCAAGCACCTCTAGGGCAGTCTCTGCGGTTCTCAGAGCGACCCGGGGGTGCTTTGTAGTAATCTCAGATTTGGTCGAACTACATTTATAAACTGGTAATCCTAGATTTGGTCGATCTAAAAAAGGGTACACAAATTTAGTAAGCAATCTGTAAAGTCACAATTTAAGAAATTGGACGTATTTTATAAACACAAATATATTAGATAATCAATATCTAAGTCGTTCGAAAAGACTAAGTGAGTATTTTGATTCAAAGCGTCCTTATTAAGGACGTTCTAAATCAAATACAAATGAAAACGAACAGCACGGACCTTTGAATACCGAGAACTACTTCGAGGTTCCACCTCTCAAGCACAACTACATGTAATGTAGAGTAGAGAACTATTAATCCCGAGCGCAATAGTATCACACGTATTATATTCGCTGACTTCATATATTGGCCTGACTACACTAGCATTAGCCACTTAACGGCGGCCCGTGTGGAACTTCCACAGGATGAAGGCGAAGATGGCCTGGAAAGCCACAACATACACGATCAGCAGCAGCATGTCGCGCGTGACGTCCACGTTCTCCATGCCGTACTTGGTCAGAATCCCCTTGGCCTCCTCCGACGTCTCGTTCTCGAACTGCTTGAACACGAACGACTCGAACGAGTACGAGTGGAACGCCAGGTAGTAGCCCCAGATCCAGTAGTCCGGGATCGAGTCGCGCGGCACCATGAAGCCCTCGCACAGCATGAACATGCCGAACACGCCCGCGCCCAGCGCGATGCCGATGATGTAGTGCGGCACCGCGGCGCCGATCACGTGCATCATGGACTCGGCCACCACGAGCGACAGGAATAGGTTGAGCAAGAAGTACTCGAACGCGTTGAGCCCCGCCAGCAGCACCACCAGCGCCGTCGACATGACCGCGATGAGGAAGATGCCCGGCAGCGTGGCCAAAAAGTTGGCGCACACGTAGCTCACGACGCTCAGCGAGCTGTTGGCGCGCTCGCGGGCGAACACGGCGCGCTGCTCGATGAAGAAGGGCAGCACGGCCACCGACATGAACACCAGGAACGCCTGCACGTAGAACAGCAGCGGCACCAGGTCCGCGTCCGTCAGGTCGTCGTTCGTGCTCAGGTACATGGTGCCGACCATGAAGCTGAGGCAGAAGTACATGAACAGCCGGATCCAGTAGATACCCGGGTTGCGGATGTTGTTGAGCGTGTTGCGGTACATGAGCACGCCGAACTGGCGCAGCGACGACGGCGACGGCTGCTCGATGTCGGGCAGGTGCTGCAGCGTCTTGCGGTCGCCCTCGATTTTGGCGGCCAGCTCCTTGCGGGTCTCGCTCTGCGCGTACGACTGCACCAGCTTGGGCACGTCCGCGTGGTCCTCGAAGTCCGTGTTGACCAAGCTGATGAAGTACTCGGCCGGGTTCATGTACTGCGGACAGTCGTGGCCGGTCGAGGCGAAGTGCGGGATCATCTTGACCCGAGGCCCGCAGTACACCGTTTGGCCGGCCGAGAGCACGATCACATTCGTGAACATGTCGTAGACCAGCGACGACGGCTGGTGGATCGTGCACACGATGGTCTTGCCCTCGGCGCAGAGCTTCACGATGAACTTCATGACGTTGTGCGTGGCGCTCGAGTCCAGGCCACTCGTGGGCTCGTCCAGGATGAGGATGCTCGGGTTCGACAGCAGCTCGACGGCGATGCTAAGACGGCGCTTCTGGCCGCCCGACAGCCCCTTGCGGAAGATGTCGCCCACCAACGTGTGGCGGCACGTGGCCAGACCCATGGCCTCCACCACGTCGTCCACGCGGGCCTCGATCTGCTTGGACGTGACGCTGTTGGGCAGGCTGAGCTTGGCGGCCATGCGCATGGTCTCCAGCACCGTGAAGGACCCGAGCAGCGAGTCCTCCTGGGCCACGTAGCTCGTCACGGCGCGGAACGTCTTGGTCACGCGGGCCTCGCCGTTGAGCTCGATGTCGCCCGTGACGTCTCCGGAGCTGATGCGGTCGGCCAGCAGGTCGACGAGCGTGGTCTTACCGGAGCCGGACGGGCCCATGATGGCCGTGAGCTCACCGGGCGCGCAGCGGCCGCTGACATGGTCCAGGATGGTCTTCTTGCCGTCGGGCGCGTCGGCCGTCTTGCGGCAGGCCACAGAGTAGCTGAGGTTGTTCCAGCTGAGCACGCACGGGTTGGTGAGGTGCTGGTAGGTAGGCTCGGGCTTGCCGCCCGTCTCGAGCGCGTCCAGCGCTGAGTAAGGTGTCGAGTGTGGGGAGGCCATGACGGAAATCGACGGCTTGCGGTCTGGGTCCAGCACGAAGAAGCACAAGCTGTTGGCCGTGCTGCCGGTGGAGGAGCGGAGACGGTCTCGGTCGCACTGCGCGAGTTGGATTGTGATGGCCCGGGGCGGCGCGGCACCGGCTGACAGTCAGTCTGTCAAGCTGTCTTGCTGTCGATGCGGCGCGAATTGCGGAGTGTGCAAATCGATGCCGGGCATCTCGCGGACCCTAAGGCCGGCCCGGCCGATCGCTACGCCTGACTCGCCTTTCCTGTCGACACTGCGGCGCTGCAGGGACCCGGCGGAGAGGTGCATGGCCGCAGTCAGTAACGGTGCCGCTGATGAAAGCGCGCCTTGCACAGACGGGGGCCAGGTGGTCAGGCATGTGGCCGAAGTCAGGCACGCCGGCGGCACCACCACCCACGACGCGGCGAGGCCGCCGTTGAGCGCAGGGTTGGATGCCAGCTCTGCCGGACTTTTGCCAAATGCTGGCACTATTGCAATAATCTAGTCAAATTATGATTACCTTCGACAAATGCTGGCACTCGCTGACAAAATTATCAGAAACACCTTGGAAAAAACTGACAGTTTATGACAGCGTCGCTGCGCTGTCGTTAGGGGCGACATTTCCGGTTCATTCCCGTTCAACACGCTGCACTATCTAGCTCATGGACAAGTTGCTACGAAACGGACAGGGACGCTTTCGAGAAGCGCGGCTGGCGCAGAAAGCGCGTCGCTGGCCCGCCTGCTCCCGTTCAAGCTCCAAGGAAGGTCGGTCGGCCCAATACGAACGCCCCTCGAACTTGCCGCTACTGTCCGCCGACAAATGGCAACATGCGTCCCAGCACGCGGCCAGTGACATCGGGCACTGGTTGGAACGCACCACTGATGAGAGTTCTTCGGAGCTCGTGGCCGTCACACTTTAGGGGTGCCGGGATCGCCACTAAGGCGCCTAGCTATAGGACGAGCGGAATGAGACGATCGTCGACAACGTCGTAGGATGTCATTAGCCAAAGAAGTTAACAGACAACAATGTACCTCAATGCGAAACGAAACGAACTTGCCGCTACTGCAAGAGGACGTTGAAGACGCCGCAAGGGCTACGCAACCATTTATTTGGCTCACAAGAACCGCTGCGATAAACGGTCGGTCGCGGCTCGTGCTGAGGCACGCACGTGAGCCGGACTTACTAGTTCTCGTTATTAGCTTTCGTCTGCTTTCTCTACGGCTTCTCTACTGCTCGTCTATCTTCCTCTGTCCCTCTTGGTCTTGTTATCCTCTATCCTGGTGTCCATTGCATCACGAACTTGTAGCCATGTGCTATCGCTTTAAGGTAATATTTAAAACATTATTGTTGATAAAATTATTAACTTGACGGTATTGCGGTATTTACTAATCGTTTTTGGATAGAATATGATCGTTTCTGGCACATTATTATCAAAACCTGACCATATATCATCGATTTTGGATGGATTATCATCGCTTCCTGATAAAATATTGACTTCATCAAGAAAAATTTACCAGAGCGAAATTTTGAAGTGAACCAAGTTTTATTAAGGAAACTCGAGCAGTCATAAACTAATGCATGGTGCCAAGACTACTCAGACACCAGAGGGAGGCATAATCTCACAGACCACAACAGTGTAATTGTAACCCAAACGTGATTCCTGCGGCAATACCAGCTTTTCCGCGGGGTCCTCTCTCGACATCTTCGTTCATTTTACGCCACAATGTCTACTTTGTAAGTGAAGCGAGTGCGAGCGCTAAGAGTGCATGCGTCTAATAATACCTGCTCAGGCCTGATGCATCCGTGTGCAAATGATAGACTTTTATTAGGTGTTTCTGATAATTTTGTCAGCGAGTGCCAGCTTTTGTCAAAGTGCCAGCATTTGTCGAAGGTAATCATAATTTGACTAGATTATTGTAATAGTGCCAGCATTTGGCAAAAGTCCAGCTCTGCCTGACTTCAGAGCCGACGAGCTATGGACGCACTGGGTCAGGCGCTAAAACCCAATGGTAGCCACGGTTGGCTGGCATCGCTGGCCAACACCGGAACTGCCGCCGTTGCAGAGCGGAGCCCCTCGTAGATGGATCGCCACGTGCCCCAGCAACGCCAGACCACCCCCGAGTCAGACATAAGATAGCTTGGAGATCAGTGATCTCCAGACCACCATGGTCTTCTCGTCGTCGATGGCCGCCACCAATGTAAGCTCGGCGGGCCACACATGCGGCGGGGCCAACTGGTCGATCGGTCACCTCTCCGCGCCACATCCATCAGCTGGTGCGAGCCAGCAGCATGATGTCTTCAGCTTGAAGGCGTCGTGCACCACTAGGTGCTTTCAAATTCAAACCGCCGTGACTCTGATGGCCGTTCACTGTTCACAGTTCGGTCCGCGAGTTCACACATGATATCTCGTTCGAGATCCGAGAAATAAATTTTTGCACGATAGCTACGCTACGCCTGACTCGACAAGATCCTTCGGCTATCCGAGAAGGTCAGGCAGAGCTGCTTGTGGCGGCGGAGGCCTCTATCATTCTGGATACATCTGGCCGATTGTCAGCCAAATCCAAAGCGAACACTATTGAACTCGCTTGTCCGCAGGCAGGCAGTCCTGCAATTGAACAGCACAAACTCGTTTTAAGGTCTAGTGTTCATATTCATGGCGGCCGTCCTGGAGTCACCTCGATCTATGCGAGGGTTATCGTACGCCATGCTGGAATCGCTTGAAAACGGAAGGAAGCCCGAGCCTACCTACCAGCACCTCACCAACCCGTGCGTGCTCAGCTGGAACAACCTCAGCTACTCTGTGGCCTGCCGCAAGACGGCCGACGCGCCCGACGGCAAGAAGACCATCCTGGACCATGTCAGCGGCCGCTGCGCGCCCGGTGAGCTCACGGCCATCATGGGCCCGTCCGGCTCCGGTAAGACCACGCTCGTCGACCTGCTGGCCGACCGCATCAGCTCCGGAGACGTCACGGGCGACATCGAGCTCAACGGCGAGGCCCGCGTGACCAAGACGTTCCGCGCCGTGACGAGCTACGTGGCCCAGGAGGACTCGCTGCTCGGGTCCTTCACGGTGCTGGAGACCATGCGCATGGCCGCCAAGCTCAGCCTGCCCAACAGCGTCACGTCCAAGCAGATCGAGGCCCGCGTGGACGACGTGGTGGAGGCCATGGGTCTGGCCACGTGCCGCCACACGTTGGTGGGCGACATCTTCCGCAAGGGGCTGTCGGGCGGCCAGAAGCGCCGTCTTAGCATCGCCGTCGAGCTGCTGTCGAACCCGAGCATCCTCATCCTGGACGAGCCCACGAGTGGCCTGGACTCGAGCGCCACGCACAACGTCATGAAGTTCATCGTGAAGCTCTGCGCCGAGGGCAAGACCATCGTGTGCACGATCCACCAGCCGTCGTCGCTGGTCTACGACATGTTCACGAATGTGATCGTGCTCTCGGCCGGCCAAACGGTGTACTGCGGGCCTCGGGTCAAGATGATCCCGCACTTCGCCTCGACCGGCCACGACTGTCCGCAGTACATGAACCCGGCCGAGTACTTCATCAGCTTGGTCAACACGGACTTCGAGGACCACGCGGACGTGCCCAAGCTGGTGCAGTCGTACGCGCAGAGCGAGACCCGCAAGGAGCTGGCCGCCAAAATCGAGGGCGACCGCAAGACGCTGCAGCACCTGCCCGACATCGAGCAGCCGTCGCCGTCGTCGCTGCGCCAGTTCGGCGTGCTCATGTACCGCAACACGCTCAACAACATCCGCAACCCGGGTATCTACTGGATCCGGCTGTTCATGTACTTCTGCCTCAGCTTCATGGTCGGCACCATGTACCTGAGCACGAACGACGACCTGACGGACGCGGACCTGGTGCCGCTGCTGTTCTACGTGCAGGCGTTCCTGGTGTTCATGTCGGTGGCCGTGCTGCCCTTCTTCATCGAGCAGCGCGCCGTGTTCGCCCGCGAGCGCGCCAACAGCTCGCTGAGCGTCGTGAGCTACGTGTGCGCCAACTTTTTGGCCACGCTGCCGGGCATCTTCCTCATCGCGGTCATGTCGACGGCGCTGGTGGTGCTGCTGGCGGGGCTCAACGCGTTCGAGTACTTCTTGCTCAACCTATTCCTGTCGCTCGTGGTGGCCGAGTCCATGATGCACGTGATCGGCGCCGCGGTGCCGCACTACATCATCGGCATCGCGCTGGGCGCGGGCGTGTTCGGCATGTTCATGCTGTGCGAGGGCTTCATGGTGCCGCGCGACTCGATCCCGGACTACTGGATCTGGGGCTACTACCTGGCGTTCCACTCGTACTCGTTCGAGTCGTTCGTGTTCAAGCAGTTCGAGAACGAGACGTCGGAGGAGGCCAAGGGGATTCTGACCAAGTACGGCATGGAGAACGTGGACGTCACGCGCGACATGCTGCTGCTGATCGTGTATGTTGTGGCTTTCCAGGCCATCTTCGCCTTCATCCTGTGGAAGTTCCACACAGGCCGACGCTAAGCAACAAGTTGAAGTACCTAAGCTAAATCTCGAGTAAAATATGTATGTATGGTGCTCTACGCTCTTGAAAGTGCTTGATAATTAATACTGCTTGATAGATCTACATCAATTGCCGCGGATCGGCGATTAGTCATAGTTCCGTGGTATGAAGATGAACATCAACCCATTTGTGTTTCTTGGTGTTCTAAGGCCTGACCACTTACAGCGGGTTAACTTTCTGGGTGAAGTTGATGGCCAAGTGCCACGCCTTCTTCACCGCCTCCTTCGTGGCAGAGTCTTCGATGTCGCCGCGGCACACCCAGCCGTGGATCATGTCGGGGAAGTTCACGACGTTGCTCAGCTCAGCGATGTCAGGCTTGGCCTTGAGGATCTGCTCCACGACACCTCCCTCGCTCACGAGGGGAGGGTCGTTGCCCGCCGCGCACAGCAACTGGGGCACCGAGATCGCCTCCGTCATCTTCTGCAGGGCGCCTTCGCCGTTCACGAGCTGCTCGGCCATCCAGCTCGGGTGGAAGGACACATGGCCCTTGATCACGGGCGTCGACAGAGCCGACTGCTTCGCGCCAACGTAGGCGCCCCAGCAGTAGCCGTAGCTGCTGATGGACTGGACGCCGACCTCTTCCTGCAAGTAGGCGATGGCGTTGGCCACGTGGGCGCCCGCAACCTTCTCGAAGCTGTTCTTCTGCAGCCAACCGGGAACATCCTGGCCCTCGAGGGTCTCAAGGTAGTCACCGTCAGTAGCACGACGGCGTAGCCGAGCTTGGCCAGAGCTTCGGCGTCCTGCTTGATGCGGCTGCTCTCCGGGCCGAAGATGTCGGGGATGGCCACCACACCGGCCTTGGCCTGGGCAGGGCCCGCAACGAAGAGCTTGGTGTTCTTGTAGGTCTTGGGCACGATGGCGTTGGCGGCGGTATCCCTGGCGGGCTCCATGACGGCGGGGCAGCAACTCATTTTGGCGGAAGGACTTGGGGCTCGAAGAGGAAGAGTTTCGAAGACAGCAAAATAGGAAATGACCACTGGGAGGCCTGGCCACTGGAGACTTTCGGCCGGCCGGGCTCACAGCATGAAAAACTGAGGTAATCGCCGTGATGACGGGGTTGATTGCGACAGATTGCACGAATCGCTGATGTCGGTCGGAATTGGCCCCGATCTCTGGTACATTTTGGTGTTGTACAGGGATGCGCCCGACTCACATTACCTGCCTCGAGCTTTGCAAGAGATATTTGCAGCCATACATAGGTTGATGAGGAACTGTACAGGTCATCACTGATGACCGCTACATGAGGTTGGGCCACCCCCCAGCAGGACGTAGTCGTGGTTGTCGACGCGATCGTCTTGCTGGAGATACACAAATTGTGTGACGGTATTGGCCCGCCAGGAACCTTGTTGAAGCTGCTTCGGTTCGAAAGTCGAGTGACGTGATCAGCACCGCTGATCTGTACCAGCAAGCGGCCGAGCCTACCGCAGGTGTACCGGAGGCCCCAACTTCCTGCGTGAATGTGGCTACACCCAGGACTGCAGTGAGTACCGCTGGGCCTGCAGGTAGGCGACTGTTGATCCACCTGTATTGACGAAAGGCACGCGTGCACAACATTTCTGCTTGGTTCACTACCACTTGTCTGCTGGCCCGATCTCAATGTTATAATTGCCCAGCAACAAACTAGGACGCAACTGTAGAGCCATCCAGCGGTGCAGTGTTTACTGCTTTGACGTGGCGTGTGAACTTTTAGCTGCTATCAATGCGATGATATAATGACACCACGGAGCTGTTTGGACTGCCATACCGTATCAAGACGGCCAGTAGCTGTGCCGTTGAAACCTCACCCTACTTGCCCGCTGCATACTACTGCAACAAAGAACACGTAAATTCGAGCTGACAGACTTTGCGTGAAGCTTTTATAGGTGACAATGCTCCCAGCACTTGCATCCCTCCAGACTCTTCGATGGGTTAGCCAGGATCGCTGGCTCGAAGCCGCGACGTGGAAGCGGCCTGCCACACTGTCAGTAAAGTTCACTATATCCTTCTTCAGTTAGACTCTCAAGATCCCGCCCCTCGTCGCGGCAATTGAAGTTTGCACCGCCGCAACAAGTTGCCTTTCAAAACGAGCGGCCACGAAGCGCCGGCGCTTATAGATACGCAGACGCACCTCCCATTGGCAAAAACTCTCGTTTTTCGTCCACTCCCCTTTCAGACGCGTTCACCCCCTCCCGAGTATACACAGATCAAGTCAATCTTGCCGCGCCGTCCGTCCCCGCCTCTCCGCCGCAGATTCGAGCTCAGCCACCAAAGCTCACTCTCCGCTCCTCAGCCCCAGACGCAAAGCTAAGCCAGCATGGTGTTCCTCCGCAAGCTCCTGGCCACGTCGGCCAAGGCCGGCCGCGCCGCGGCCACGCGCTCCATGGCCACGTTCGACCGCTCGAAGCCCCACCTGAACGTGGGCACGATCGGCCACGTCGACCACGGCAAGACCACGCTCACGGCTGCCATCACCAAGGTGCTGTCCGAGACGGGCGGCGCCGAGTTCACGAGCTACGCCGACATTGACAAGGCGCCCGAGGAGCGCGCCCGTGGTATCACCATCTCCACGGCCCACGTCGAGTACGAGACGGCCAAGCGCCACTACGCCCACGTCGACTGCCCCGGTCACGCCGACTACGTCAAGAACATGATCACGGGTGCGGCCCAGATGGACGGCGGTATCCTCGTGGTGTCGGCCGGCGACGGCCCCATGCCCCAGACGCGCGAGCACATTCTGCTGGCCCGCCAGGTCGGCGTGCCCGCCCTTGTGGTCTTCATGAACAAGGTGGACCAGGTGGACGACGAGGAGCTGCTGGAGCTGGTGGAGATGGAGATCCGCGAGCTGCTCGAGGCCTACGACTTCCCGGCCGACGACATCCCCGTCGTCAAGGGTTCTGCCCTGGCTGCCGTGGAGGGCCGCGACCACCCCATCGGCCGCGACGCCGTGCTGCAGCTCATGGACGAGGTGGACGCCTACATCCCGGACCCGGTCCGTGACTTCGAGAAGCCCTTCCTGATGCCTGTGGAGGACGTGTTCTCCATCTCCGGCCGTGGTACCGTCGTGTCTGGCCGTGTGGAGCAGGGTGTCATCAACACCGGTGACGAGGTGGAGCTCGTGGGACTGAAGCCCAGCACCAAGACCACGTGCACGGGTGTCGAGATGTTCAAGAAGTCGCTCGACCGCGGCCAGGCCGGTGACAACGTCGGCCTGCTGCTGCGTGGCCTCAAGCGTGACGAGGTGCTGCGTGGCCAGGTGCTGTGCAAGCCCGGCACCATCAACCCGCACACCAAGTTCGAGGCCGAGGTGTACGTGCTCAAGAAGGAGGAGGGCGGCCGCCACACGCCGTTCTTCAGCAACTACCGCCCGCAGTTCTTCTTCCGCACGGCCGACGTCACGGGCAACATCCTGCTCAAGGACGGCACGGAGATGGTCATGCCTGGTGACAACACGGCCATCGACATTGAGCTCATCCACCCCATCGCTCTGGACACGGGTATGAAGTTCAGCATCCGTGAGGGCGGCCGCACCATCGGTGCCGGTGTCATTTCCAAGGTTGATGCTTAGATATTTTCTGCAGAACGGCTGCAGTAGATACCTGGAAGCGAAGCCTGCCGAGCCAAACGTCGAGTAAGATGCGCGGAGAGTGTCGAACTTCGTAACCAGCAATACATACACAAAAGCAAAAACGTCTCTACTATCGTTTGCTTGATCAAGTTTACTGCGCAGGGATGGTGAGGACACTCGTCCAGCAGCACAAAAGAATGGATTGCTGGACACAAAACGTATGAAGCTACGTGTATCATCATTTCGTCCCTTGTTTGCATCTTGTTTACCATAGAAATCAATCTTTGTCTTGTGTGTGTCGCCCTTCGCAGATTGCGTCAAGCCTACTGCGAGAACAAAGAGTCTAGCAGTGGTGGCCTAAGACGCCGCTACCGATGCGGCCATAGCAGCCTTGGCCGAAGCTGCGGCGCTGCTGGTGGCGCGCGACTCCGAGATCGAGCTCTGGTACGTGCGGAAGGCGTTAACAATGTGCGGGAAGCTCGGTCGCAGCTCCGGCTGTCGGTTCCAGCAGGCCTTCATGAGCCTCGAGAAGAACGGCGGGCAGTCCCTCGGGATGTTGGGCCGCAGGTTGCGGTTGAGCACTCCGAGCGCGGCCTGGATCTGACTCATGCCGTCGTACGGACACTCGCCTGTGACGATCTCCCAGATGACGATACCGAACGAGAACACGTCGGCCTTCTCCGTGTACTTCTGGTTGCCCAGCACCTCGGGCGCCATCCACTGCACCGTGCCGCAGTTTCCTGTCATGGTCTGCACGTGGGCCTTGACACGGGCCAGTCCAAAGTCCGACAACTTGATGTTGAAGTTCTTGTCCACCAGCAGATTGGGACTTTTCAGGTCTCGGTGCAGAATCGGTCGCTCAAAGTGGTGCAAGTACGACATGCCCTTGGCCGTGTCGTAGATAAACCTGGAGCGCATCTCCTGGTCGATGGACTTGCGGTTCATGCGCAGCACGCCCCAGAGCGAGCCGCGCTGCAGCAACTCAACGACCAGCGCGCGATGCGGCGGCTCCATGCACGCGCCCAGCAGCCTGCAGATGTTGGGGTGCCGCAGCACGCTCATGATCTCCACCTCGGACTGGAACTCGTTTAGGATGTCGCTGCGCAGGTCCTGGCAGATGAGCAACTTGACGGCCACGCTCTTGCCGCGCCACTTGCCCTCGTGCACCTTTCCGAAGGCGCCCTCGCCGATCATGCGGCCCAGCGTAATCTCGTTGAAGTTGATGTTCTGGCTGTAATTGGTGGGGCGGTGCTTGAGCGCGCTCCTGTCCTTGTCCTTGGCCGCGTCAACAGGCGCGGGCGGCGGCTTGGCCGCGGCTGCAACATCGGGCTCCTTGTGCGCGACCTTAGCGCGGACATCCTTGTCGTCGGCGCTCACGATGGTTGCGTCCGTCTTGGCCGACTCGGGGTCGCTGTTGTCCGTGTCGGTCGTGGCCTTGGTGTCGTGGCCGGCGTTGAACCAGGCCGAGAGGAAGTGCGGGATCTTGGCCTTCTTGGCGCCGTCCAGCTTGAGCTGCTGCACGGGCTCCATGGGGGCGCCGATGAACTCGGTCGAGTTGCGTCGGCCGCGGTGCTTGGCCCGCCCATTGTCGTTGCGCACGGTGGCAACCGAGGCCTCGTCCGTATGTTTGGCCGCCTCTGTGGCGTCGGCCGGCGACTCTTTTGCCTTTTCCTGCTGCTGCTGCTTGGCCCTTTCCGCGCGTTGCTTGGCCTTCTGTTGCCGCCGGAGCTCCTCGCGGAAGGCCGCTTTCTGGTTGATGTCCAGCGTTGCGGCCTCCGAGTCCACCACCGGCGTCTCTAAGGCGGGCGTGGGCGACGGCCGCGGAGGCAGCTTGGGCGCGCGCCGGCCCGCGCCGCCGACGCCGTTGCCCATCTTGATGGGGGACCCCACCGTGCCGAAGAACGTGCTCGTGCGCGTGGGCGCCGCGTCCGGGTCGATGCGCAGCGCGTTGGGCTTCTTGCGGCGCTGGAACGTCAGCTTGCGCTGGTTGCCGCGCACCTTGGCGTTCTCCTTGTTCATGGCGGCGGCGTCTTCGCTTAGGTAGCTGTAGGCTAGTGCTAACCGCGCGCAACACCAACCCGCCGACCTTTGGGGTTGCTGGCGAAGAGGGAAGTGGCCGCGACGGTTGACCGAGAACGCAAGCCACTCGGTAACCCGAGCCGCCCCTCTGGAAGCGAGTCAGACGTACGTCGCCATAGTGAGCCGCAGTGAGCCGCTGAACTCTTGCAGCAGTCTCTGCCGCAGCGACAACCCAGGCTCAAACGACCGAGGGCAAGCGATTCGAGCGGCCAGCTGGAAGCCCCAAGTGTCAAATGCAAGGCGAATTACTCACAGAGTTGAAGAGCCGAGGGTGCAATGGGCAATTGCATCACTCACTGCTCTTGCGGCCGATTGACGGCGGCGGATTTTCGGCTTCCTCTCGCGGCGGCCATCGAGACTTTGACTTTAGCGCCGCCGCGAAGCAGCTTAGCTCAGCTCAGCGCATGTTGACAGCGCGCGCGCGGCTTCAACTCCGTGTGAAAGGACTGTCCAAGTCCGAGCCGGCTGACAGATGGATATGCGATGCCGGCGTCAACTCGCACTGCTCTCGGTCTCTCTCTCTCTCTTGCCAAGAGTCTTGGGTCTTCTGAACGGAGAGAAATTCGTCCACAGCATCTTTGGTGCGTGTTAGCGGATCTCATGGGTTGATGGACGAGCTTTCGCTCTCTTACCGCTGGTTGAAGGTGGCATCCCTGCACTATTCGTCGGCCGACCGCTGCAGTTGCACAAACGGTTGCAACATTGCGAGCTCTCCAGAGAAAGTCTCCGATTGCAGCGCTGCAGGTATCGCACCGCCAACTGCTGCCTCTCGGTGTATTGCGTCGGTGGTCAGCGCTTGACCGTGAGGACGTTTGGAGGACACTGTGGTTGAAGCTGACTGGAGGGAATTTTTTAGTTTTTTTTGCCAGGGGAAGAGTCCAGCAGGAGGCATTCAAAAAGGCAACAATGTGCAAGTTTTGGCGGGAAGCAATTGGCTGCAATTATCCTACTACACGCAACCTCTTCATCCGTGACCGAGATTCCCTCAGTGCGTGGCTTTTTAGAGGCAATCACTCGCGCCGACCGCGGTGTGGCCATGCGCGGCAGCCATCGGCCTGGCCTGGCTGCACCAAGCACTTGAGCCACGTGATACTTTACTTACTTACGTGCTCGACGTGGGGATCACTCCTGCCAGTGTCAACCAAACGCCTCAATCGTAGATGAACCTGCGGTTAAGGCTTGTCATTTTATTTTTTAGAGCCACAGCGACGTCGGACGAGCACTTTGCCACTTTCGAGGCGGCAGAGCGAAGGTTGACTCTCTTTCGAGGTGGCAGCGCTATGCATTTGGACGCCCACGCTTGGTCTTCGCTCTCCGTTTCATCGGATTTGACTCGCTGACTCGCCTCGCCTCTCGTAGCATTTCGTGGCGTCGCCTCGCCCCATAGACCGGGTTCGGACGGAACAAGGCGGAGATGCAGAAGCGAGTCTCTGGGATTTGAGGGGGCACACTGGGTGGCCGCGCCGAGTCTGGCGTTGCATGGCCACGCCCTGGTCGCTCGCTCACTTTTGCAGTTGAGACTTTGGCGCCCATACAGTAATGGACACAGCCAGCGCTCTGGGCGGCATCCCGCGCCTCGAGTTCTCCAAGCAGCGGCGGCAGCAGCTCGAGTCGACGAGCGACGACCTCGTGGAGCGCGCGCTCAACACGTACGATGAGTTCCACGCCAAGAAGCGCGCCAAGTCCACCAAGCACTGGAAGCTCGTGAAGCGGAAGAAGTCGCTCAACATTTACAGGGAGCGCGGCAAACCCAAGAGCGAGAGCCGCGTGTACATTTGCAGCGGCGTCATGCCCGGCTCGGTCGAGGACATGATCAGCGGCGCCTACTGCGACGACACGGAGAACATGCGCATCCTTATGAGTGTGACCACAGACAAGTTCCTGGATGGCCGAGTCCTGCACGTGTTCGAGAAGAACCCGATCACCAGGAGCGTCGTGTTCTCAGGTATTTTGTGGATGGCGCTCAAGACGCCGACGACTGCAACGCTGATCCACGACCGCGACATGCTCTACTACCAGCGGATCGGCCGCATCGTCGATCGTCGAGGCAGGTACTTCGTCTACTGCGTCCTGGACTCGGTCGAGCTCGACGAGCTCCCGGCTAACCAGCAGCACAACGTGGTGCGCGCCTCGCTCTCCATGTGCTATCTCTTCCGACAGGTGCAGGAGGAGTGGGTGGGCTGCTTCGTTATGGGCAACTCCTCCATGGGCGGCACCCTGCCGCGAAGTCTCAGTGAACTCATCACAGCGGAGCGGATGCTGGCTATAGGCAACATGCTGTTCGTGGCCCGCGCAAAGGCGTACTCGGCGCGTATGGCCAACAGCGCCGACCGGATCCCGTCGACCAGCAGCTCGTGTGACGTGTGTATGAAGAAGCCGAACATGCTGAGCGGCTCGCTCAAGCTCTGCATGGGCTGTCGGCGCAACACGTGCAGGAAGTGCCGCGAGTGGTGCACCGTGTTCCGCCTCGAGCTGCGCACGCAGAAGCCCGAGAGGGAGCGCTTCTGCTCGCAGTGCATCTCGGAGGTGACGAGGCCAACCATGTCCAACTTTTACGTCTGCAGTCTCAACGAGTCTACGAGCAACATGCCCGGCGGCTCCAATTCCGTGTCAAACTCCAGCTATTCAGGTTTCCAGCAGGGCAGCAGCAGTCCGTCGTCGTCCCCGCACTCGCACGACTTCTCCGAAGTCGACTCGGACGCGTGGCTCCCGGCTCCTCCAGATCTGCCAGAGAACTTGGACGGCCTCGCCTCGTTCGTCGAGCGAGCAAGCGCCGCCAACGCGAGGGATATGCAGTGGAACCAGGAAGAGCTCGACTACTTCTCGGACATCCTGCGCGAGTCCGGGCGATTCAAGCCAGACTTCAGCAAAAGTGCCGTCGGTAGCGGCCACACCAGCAGCAGCCACTCGAGACGAACGCAGAGCTACACGCAGGGCTTCCACCCGGGCAGCTCCCTGCCCCCACCCAATCATGAGAAACTCGACCGCCGGGTATCTCGGAGCTATGCGTCGGACGATTCGTCCGTGCCGCACCAGAAATTCTTTAGCGTAGATGAGCTAGACTAAATGACATGGTTCCGGCGCCGGAGCCCATTGAAAAGTATCTTAACCAGCAGAGAAATAGAGCAACAACTTTTACACATCACTAGGTACAATGTGCACGGTAGGTAGTGTAGAATTGAATCTTCATTTAAGTACATTCACTAGGTACACACACATATTCGCCCCTCCTCCAGTCTCTCTGCTATAAGCTTACAGGCTGCTGGTGATGACATCTACAACGGCGATGAGGATGTTGAACATCTGCGAGTACATGCCGAGCTTGGAGGCCATGGCCATCTGCGCCGACGTGTTGATGAGCGGTGCCGAGGGCTCCACCTTCTCGTCCATGTCCTTGCTGCCCTTGGAGCGCACCTCGCGCAGCTTCTTGCGGAACCGCTCCTTGACCCAGCCCTGGATCCGCAGCACGACGCTGAACCACTCCTCGAACTCGAGCGTGCGGATCGACTTGAGCACGAAGAAGGTGCGGCGCAGACTCTCCTCCTCGTGCGAGATCATCATGCCCATGAGGAAGATCACGCAGACGTAGCCGGCGTACTGCTGGTAGTAGTCGGGCGACATGCTGCTGGCAGCGATGATGATACCAAGAGCCACAACGAACGTCGTGTACGTCGCGTAGATGAAGCGCACGCGGAATCCGGAGCGGTGGGCGAACAGCACAGCGTTCAGGAAACCCATGTAGTACACGGGCTTGGGCTGGCCCGGCGCGGTGTTGTGCGATTTCTCGTACGCGTCGACGTTGGGACCCGTAGACACGGCCAGCAGCAGAATACCCATGCAGCACACGTGGCACGCAATGACCACAGACGAGAACACCTGCGTGGAGCGCACGTAGCCGCCCTTGTTGATAAGAACGTCGAGGACGCGGTCCTTGGTCGCGTACTTGATCTGCGCCGCCTCGACCACCAGCTTCATGCGGGCCGTGTCCTCCGTCGATCCGGGAGCCTCCGTCGAAACCTCACTCTTGCGGTCCCCAAGCTCCCCATTGGGCGCCTTGACACCGACGGAGACCATCGAGTCCCTCGTGAGCGCGGCGTTCTTGGCGTCTTCCGCCTCCTTTACCCAACGCGCGTAGAACGCCTTGCCCATGAAGTACATGAACAGCGCGGCCGAGAAGTAGAGCGGCACCGTCACGCCGAAGCGCAGCACGAGCGCGTACGTTAGGTCGCTGTCATCGACGAGGCCGTCCTTCTTGACCTTGAGGAACTTGATGTCCTGCAGCAGCAGCACGAGCTGGTTCAGCAGCAGCGTCCAGATGGCGAAGCGGATCGTGCGGAACACGCCCTGGTGCAGCGAGCCCGAGTTAGGGTTTTCGTACGGGAAGGGGTCAATGAGGTACCAGTAGCGGTAGAAGCACTCCTCCACCTCCGGGTGGCGGAACTTGAGCGACCAGCGGTGCATGAGCGTCTTCTTACTGAACTTGTCGGTCTTGATCTCGGCCACGGCGTCGGCGTCCATCGTACCGGAGAAGGGCAACTGCAGACAGAAGTTGCGGCGCCTCAGCAGCTCCTGACGGTACTGCGACACCATACCGCCGATGGCCGTGATGCCGTAGTTAATGGCCTGGTACGAGATATCCGTGTACGAGTCGAAGCTGCTCGGGACCGGCAGGTGGGTGCGCACGCTGGCCATGACGATGCCGTAGCCGAGGAAGATGCTCCAACCGATGCAGCACGACTTGACGAAGCGCATGCGCGTGATGCCGAAGATCGGGATGAGCAGAATCAGCAGCGGGATGACGGGGCCCTTGGCCTTCTCCACGGGCTTCTTGGCGATCATCATGGTGGCCACCACCACGAACACGACGGCCGTGATGTTCTCCAGGTACTTGCGGCCGAGGCTCGTGAACGTGGCCAGGATGCCGATCACCAGGGCCGGCAACATGATGCCGAAGGTCATGATCATGATGGTCGTTTCGTCCGCGTCCGAGCGGCCGTTGGTGGCCGAGTAGTTCCACTTGTTGGAGCGCCACTCGTTCATGTAGAGCGCCAAGAGCCCCACGAAGCCGATGCCGAAGCAGGCCCGCACCCGGTTCACAGACGTCTCCTGGGCGATGGCCAGGTAGTTGGCCTCGTAGAACGTGGGGGCCACGTTCGAGAAGAAGAGCGAGCGGCCCATGTTGGTCTGCTGCTGGATGCGCTGGAACTGCTGCGTGTAGTAGCTCTTGGCCTTGATCTGCTTCATGATGTCTGCGTAAAGGTTAACATGACAGGCAACAAACCAGGTTAGCACTATCGTAAAAAAAGGTTAAGCTAGTGTTAAACGGGATAAGCAAACGCTCGACACCCACCCTTAAAGCCACCCGTGTAATTAGGCGGCGCATTCGCGCGCAGGATCACCTCGTTGGCGTCCTCGTCGGTGTAGGGCTTGCTGCTGTGCGAGTGCACGCGGCTGCGGGCGTGGCTCTGCCTTTGGCTCATGCTGGCGCTCTGCCTGCTGCGGGACATGCGGCTGTGGTTCGACTGGCGCGGGCCGGCCTTGCTCTTGGGGGTATCGTTCTTCAACTCGACAAATGAACTGGTGCGCTCTTCCATGATGTAGGTGCGGTCCTGCTCTGCGGTGGTTGCCATTCACAGGCGCACTGAGCTCCAAACCTCTAACCTGCAACACCCACGCACGACGCGACGACGCGGTAAGCCCACTGGAGGAGGAGAGTTTAACTCATGGAATGCAACACTTCTTTCTTGTGGCCACGTACTCGGTGCTCCGTTCCTTGAGAAATCGGGAACTGGAGCTGCAGGCAAACGCAAAACGCGATGCAAATGTGCGGGCAGGCGCCGAGAGGACGTTACCCTAAATCGCGCTCGAAGGCAGGACTGGCACCAAGCGCGCACGCACTGACCGGCTGTCGACAGGTTCGACTGGCCCTAACCTGCAACACGCCTGCAGGATGGACGCCGCAAAACCAAAAATGACGGCGGCAGCGAGCTGAGAGCTGAGAGCTGAGTTGCTCACCCTTCGCAGCATCGAGGCGGGAAGTCATTGTTCACCCATGGCGCAAGGCGGGCGGGAACTGGAGCCAGATACGCATGACCCCTCCTTTCTGTAGCCATTGCATGCTTCCAGCGGTCGTCCGGTTGAAAGCGGACACCTTGCAGCTTCTAGAAGTTGCGGGGATTTGACTCCCTTGCACCAAAGCCCCAGCAGCGCAGGTGTGCGCGTGAATCAGCCCGCAGCCGATTATGGACTTGGGCGCTGCGACCTGCTCGCCGTCCGCAATCGAGTGCACGGCCAACTAAATGCCGGCAAGCTGCAGGTGACCGCTGCCTCTGCGCGAACGGATGTCGGCAAAAAAGCGGAAACGATTAAGCAGCAGCTGACTTCAGCATTGACACGCCAAACGTCCGGTTCGCCATACTCAAACCAAGCCAGACCTGATGTATCACTTTGCACATGATACATGTAGATCCTGCTAAGATCGTGGTTACCACTGGTAACTTTGCCCCGATGGCAGGTTGCCAACACGCTCACGTCGATGGTCATCGCCCACCCGACGTCTGCTTTAGGTGCAGCCTTCACTAACATATCACAAACCTCTACTAAGTACACGTGTACCCAAACGACAACATCAACTCACTCTATCACCATTGAAACTACAGTACCACACCACCACCACCACCACCACCATTCCACTTCAACGCAGCTCAGTCAAGCTCATCGATGCACACGGTCTTCGGCTTCGGGTGCACGCGCGACGACGACAGCTCCGACTCGGGCTCCACCGGCCCGGGCACGCGGATCCGCGCGTACTCCTGCCGGTCCTCGTCGAACACCACCGTCCACTCGCCGCTGCACTCGGTCCACGGACCGGACTGCACGGCCGCCTGCTCACAAAAGTACCCGGGCTCCTCCGCGTACAAATGCTCGGCCGTGGGGCTCCCCGAGTAGTCGTAACGTTCGCCGTGCGCTTCCTCCAGCGGCGACTGATGCAGCCCGTTGGACGTGGCCGAGCTGCTCGAGTTGTCCCCGCTGTAGTGCCTCCGCCGCGACGACGCCTGGCTGGACGGGGTCTGCTGGGCCGAGCCGCTGCGATGCCGCCGCTCGCGACGCCGGGACTTGCTGCACAAGCTCTCGAGGAGCTGCGCGATCTCCAGCAGCTCCTCCTCGTTCCACGTGATGCCCTCCTCCTCCATGGCGATGCTGTCGTGGCACCGCCGCGTGAACTCGGCCAGCTTGTCCAGCCGCATGGACCGGTCGAAGCCCGACTTGTTGGCCCCCGACCACTCCGACTTGTGCTTACCATGCCGGCCACTGTCGGTCTCGCCTGAACGGGACGACCCCAGGCCGGAGCGGCACAGCACGTCGTGCACCTCCTCCAGCCCTGCGCTGCTCTTGGCCCCTCCGGGCCGCGTCACCTTGTCCACGCACAACCGGCAGAAATACTCCGTCGCAGGCTTGGCCGACCGCAACTGCAGCCGGAAGACGTAGCGGCGCTGCCGACACTTCCGACACACCTTTTGCCGACACCCCATGCACTGCTTGTGTGCGAACCCGAGCATTTTCGGCGGCGGCGACAGACACACGGTGCAGTGCGGCGCTCCGCCCAGCTCGGATATCCTGTCGCTACTAGCCGCCATCAACGCGGAGAAATGCTTGGCCCTGGCGCAGCGCAAGAAGTTGCCGGCACTCAGCACCCTCTCGGCTGCAATGAAGCTCGAGATACTCTGCGGGATGATCGTGGACAGGTTCATATCCCCCAGCGTGAACACGCCCAGCCAGTCGGGACTCAGCTGGCGGTACAGATAACACCACGAAACGTCCACGCGCTGCACGCCGCGCTCGCGGTTGGCCGGCCGCTCCGGCAGGTCGATGGACTGCAGCACGTGGTAGGCGAAGTACTGGCCGTCGCGGTCCACGATGCGGCCCATGCGCTCGTAAGTGAGGAAGTCCTTGTCGCCCAGCAGGCCGCTCGTGCCCGCGAAGCCGCGCATGACGAACCACTTGATGCCTGCGAACACGATGGGCGCGCGCAGGTCGCGCGCCTCGAACACGCGCAGCACGGCACCGTCCACGAAGTTGTCGCTCAGCAGGCTCTTGCAGATGCGCAGGCTCTCGGTCGAGTCGCAGTACACGCCGTTGAGCGCGTCGTCCAGCGTGCCGGGCACGATGCCGCTGCCCAGCAGCACGCGCGGGCCGTCCGAGGCGTCCGTCCGCGGCCGGTAGACGTTCATGGCGTTGCGGCGCCGCACGCGCTGCCACGCGCCGAGGCCGCGCGACGCGTGGAAGTTGTGGTGCGACGCCAGCGCGCGGTCGATGAGGTCGTCGCACTGGCGGTCGAGCTGCGCGCGGCGCTCGGCGCTGAACTGGACGGCGGGCACGCTCGACGCCATGTCGTCTCGGAATATGGCAAAGTGGCGTCGTCCTTGTGTCGGTCTGACACGCTGGTGATGGGGGCCTCTGATGGAGTGGGTTCGGTGGACGGATTGACTCGGAAAATGTATGCGAGGGATGTTGCCAAGCGCCAGCTGGTTCTGGCGCGATCGCCACAATTCAGACGCAGTCGGATTTGGGAGGAAGACCAAGCAGCGTTGTGAATCACACCTTGCCATCACAAGTTGCCACAAGTTGTGAAAACTTGTGATGGGCGATGTACATGTAAGCATGAGCTATTCCGGTAACGTGAAGTGCCGGGGACCAACATGGGCTTTGAACTTGCCGCCGTGCTGAACCCCGGGGCTTTAGATGTACGGAGTGTTTGGCGATACGGGAACCTGCATCAGCTCGGGCATGGAGCACGGAATGCAATGGCGTGGATAGTACAGACTGGGACGAGTCAGTGCTGCCCCGGAATGTGGACCGCCAGTACCCACTTGGACTCCAAAAAGACTCCCGTTTGCATGAATCAATAAATAGCGCTGTACACACAGATCAGAAGCACGTTGTAGCTCGACTGGAAATGCTACGTGCCACTCATGGCCTATGCAGGATTATTTGTCCAAATTCCGCGATGCAATCCAAACGCTCTCTACCCGCGCATACATCAAGCGAAGAATTCTGCTTCAACTCGAAGCCCATGCCACGAAGAATTTGCAGCGTTTCTAGGCGAAACCATCGAAGAAATAGCGGCACACCGCCAAGCCCGAGCTAAACACAGCGCTATGGAAGTCTCACTAAACGGCGGTCACAACGCTGTCGGACAAAGGGGACAAGTTACCGTGATTCTGCAGTTTTACAGTCGTTTCTGCATATTACATGTATTAATACCTAGTCCAAATGAGACGGTTTCAAACCATTTAGAGTTTTCGAGATAATCGCAACCCAACAGACAACGCATACAACACCCTTCTTAGGTTAGACCGACAACAAGAAACTTTACGCTGCTAATAATGCCAAGTACTAAGATTGGGAGGGGTACTGTACTAAAGTTTTAGTGGAGAGTGGGTTACTATTAGAGAGTGGGGTACTCTTGTAAGTCCCCACCAAATGTAATCACAAATGAGAGGTGGGGTACTAATTGAGGGTGGGGCACAATTTAGAGGATACTATTTTAATAGAATATATTTAAAAATATGGAACTGGCGTGATTATTTGTATATTAATATAACACAGAGCATCAGAAAAAACAACAAAGTGTGATGATAATTTGATTTAATATTATATATTAATTTAAGTTTTCATCGAAATATTATTTTAACCGTGGTTAGGAATTGCTATTTTGTAGCAGCATCTAACTTGCACTTTGAATTTTTTTCAGAAACACAAACTAAATAGACTGGTACTTTTGAAAAAATGACAAATACAGTCGAATCATAACCCCAACAAGATCTTTTAAGGATAAAACAAGGATCAAATTTGAGGCAACCCCCTTGATTTCGTCTTTACACGTAAGAAGCTATGACAGGTATGGATAGAAAAGGTCTGTATTCGGTCTACATGAGGGCTGGACCTGTTTGCGCTAGAGTTGTGATACTTTTGCGCAGCAGCTCGACCAAAAGGTCACTCGGACCGTATCGCTTTTTCGAGTTTATCCTTACGTTAAGGACAATAGCTTGGCCAATAGTAGAAACAAGTGAAACCGTCGGCGACTCTTCGCGTCCAACGCGAGGCCCTCTGTGATCGTACATAAGTGTGTGCATACAAATGCTAGGATGATTTTTATCCTTAACCGGCCAGTTAAAATCAAAATCACCCTAAAATTGAGACCGCCGGATTTGTTTCTGTCCTTATTTTAAGGATAAAATTTGTTGGGGGATAAATGCTTGAAAAATAAGGCTAACCTCAATGCAACTGGGAAAATAGTATACTGTATTTAATAGAATATGCTGTAGGATATAACGGTATTCCAAATGAATAGTGTACCGTATACGATTTGGCTTTATCTATTAGCTGAAGCAAAAGAAGAAAGGCTTGTAGCATAATATTTGTGTCTAAAAAGGCTAGTCCAACAAGCAACACCTTTACGTGGTATCAGTAGTTGCAAGTTGATACAGCGAATGCGTCCAAATGAAATCTATGTACTCGAAAGTCCGAGCAGGGACATCACTCAATACTGGAAGGCCCACGAAATGTACTGAAAAAAAAAGATCGAAAATAATGTCTTTAAAAAGACAACAGTACTTGGGGCGTTTGAAAAGAGTTTGTTGGTCGTGTTTGTTTTCGAAATGAGGCTCATTGTCGCCACCTAGCTGGCAGCTAACAACTATTAAAGACTTGTTCCCCCAGATGACAAACTTCGTCATCTAAGGAGTGGGCGTATCGACTCGCTTTTCTCAGCGTCTGCTTTAAAAAGAGCCCTTTCCACCGCTACAATTTTTTTTGAATATGTACAGCATTCGGAAAACTAATCTATTTAGCATTCTCCGTTAGAAAATTCTCCATTAGGTTACATCATTTATTCGATGCGTTACCCCCAGACATATCACTTTGTGCCTACTTGGGTCTTGTTCATGATGACGATGCATGAGCATGGCGTCTTCCCTACATACAAAACCTGGTGTTTAGTTACCCCAAATTCTAAAGAAGTATACTTACAGTTACTAATAGTTCTTGGAGATAAGTAGCGTTCTACTATTACGTTTGAACCAACCAAGCCAAGTAGGTTCCACAATGAAAGAGCCACGGGTTCACTGGGACACCACACGGTCATATGTCGTGTAGGAACACGCACTAAATTATATAATAGCACACTTTCCCCACCAACAACACCCACCAAGTCCCGATGACTCAATGGGCTTGGTAGGGTTAGAACCTGAAGGCCCAGGAACTTTCCCTAGCACCGGGTTGATGTTTCCTCTGTGCACCGTGTTTCCGCTTAGTCAACTGACGGAAACCCAGCGTCACCAGCCACGAGCAAAGGCTGACACGCTCTCACACACAATATAACCTCGCAGGCCCTCAGGAAGGAAGGGTCCCAGCCAGTCACGGCTTGATACGAGGGTGCCGGAGCTATACTCCGACGGGAAGGATAAATGGAGTGCGCTCTCGCTCCTCCACTACACGGCGATGACTCGCCCTTCGTATACACGGCCACTTCTTCACTACTCTTGGCCTGACCACGGGTAAACGCACGCTACAATACTAGCAGGCGCGTCCATCGACAGTCATAATCCTACCAACAGGTTTATCCAATTGCTACGGGAACTCACCGATAGCCCGGACGTCTTCCTTGAGTGGTTGGGAGGAAAAGCTGTTCTGTTCTTGTCGCCCAAAGGGCTTATCTGTTCTATATTCTCTTTCCTATCGTTCAATACAAATATCTAGTATAAACGCGTCCGTTTTGGATCTTCCCAAGTAACCACCGACCCTTCAGAGCCTTCTCGACGCCCCAAGAGGCCTCTCGATGACTCTATTGGGCGATGAAGACTTGGAGCAGTCGCCGGGGCTCGAACGGTCGTCTTAAGTGCGGATCTCGGGTCAAAGTTCGCTGTAAGTTCGGATCGTACTTGAAGTCCTGGGTCTCGAACTTGGGTGTCGACGAGACTTCGGCACCGGTCCAGAATGGCCAATCAGCATCCGCCGAACATTGCTGAACATGTCCCGACGACTCGGGTCGCCACTGAAGCTTGGTCGTCAGCTCGATTCTCGTTTACCGCCAAATCACTACACCACAGCTGCCCCCACCACTATGTGAACCACATGATGGCGAGCGTCGTGGTGCGTTCTGCTTCTGCTTCCTTTCGCTGTTAACGACGTCTGGTGTTGTTTGCCCCGGTTGCGTGCTTGGTAGGCGTCTGCGTTGTCGTAATGTCGCGCCGGTGGCTCGCTGCTGTAGGCTTACCTGGTCCATAACTCGGGTTCGCACCGAGCCGCCGGGGCCGGGTTGGCGACCGCCGCATAGTGTCTTCGACCTCGTCCGGTATAGTGCCGACATATTGTCCGCCTTCGCCGCCGTTCGACGACCTTTGTTGAGTTGAGCAGCGGTGGCATCATCGCTTTCGTCAGACTCTGCTTCGTAGACAACGGCACGACACTCCATGACCGCTCGGCTTGATTCTGTACAACCACCCGGTTCTCGGGAACCATACGATGATCAGCATCATGATGCGGCCGTAGACTGCGGTAGCTCCTTGCGCATAGGCTTCAGCAAGTTCCTGCGGCCGGTCCGGTCCTCAGAAAAACTTCTTAGCCACCATCTTGTCGTAGCGCGTCTGACCCAGCGTAGATCCTGCTTCAGGCGCTTCGAGTCATCGGCAGTTGTCAGCGCACCTCCGTCCGAGCTCCAAGCACACCAAGTCTTCGCCAGCACTGCCCTTGAGTTGTTGGGGGAAGTTGTAGTTCGTTCCAATCGGGATTCTCCATTCGTATCATTCGCGTTCAATCTCCATGTAGCATGCAAAGCTGCAGTAGCCATTTTCGTCTGCACTCCTGGGCTGCATTGCCCCAGGCGCAGTTCACCGTGAGATTGAGTTGTCGCGGACGGGGGCTAGGCGTTGCGCACGACCACGACACTCTTCCAGCAAAGTCCACGTGCAGCATTGGTGCTTGTAGACCGCAGAGGTTGGTACGCAGAGACCTCGATTCCATCAGCCTCTTTGACCCGCTCCATGTACGGCCAGATACGACTGACCCAGTCGACGCGAGATCTCGGTGTGCTGTTGGTCTGTCCGTTCTCTGGATAACCTGCACTATCTACACAAAACTCGCATTCACCAGTCGTCGGCAGTGGTTCCATTGTCTTGTCGGTCCGGATCGGTGGCTTCGTCTCGAGCTTGGTGTGGTGTGGTAATTCCACTAAAATCCTCCTCTACCAAAAGTAATTGAGACACCAACAACACGCTAACCCGCAAAGGTAAGCGCTTATTGGATCAAAACCTGAAGACCAGGAACGATCCCTTACACCGGGTCGGTTGCAAGCGCCTCTGTGCACCTTAGGTTGTCTTCGGTCAACCCA